TTTTGTCAGTATTCCCTCATGAACAGTAGACCACAGTGTGAAGTGTGTTTTCTGACCTGTGAGGCACACGCTGGCTGCTGTGGCGTTGTATGTTTTGTATTAAAGCCAGCCTTTTGTGTTGATGAATTGGGCCATGTCAGAACTGCATGGGTTCAATCTGGCTCTGAATGGACAGTGTTGACAAACTGGAATAGATGGGCTTATGGGATGGTTTCAGAATAAAACCCACTGGAGTGTATGGCCTTCACAAATCAATATGGCTGAGCACCTATGGGACACGACAGGCAGGGGGATCGATAGTGCTGTGGTACAGAGCATACCACATGTTCTTAATAAGGCACTGCAAAACGTGGCTTTAGATTTATACAAGCGGAAATGTACACAGATGTTTAGACCAGAGTTGGATCAATGAAGTTTGATCTGAGAACTTGAAAAGTATCTGCAGTGTTTTTTGCTTAGAAGCCATTATGGCAGATGCCCTTCTCAATGTAAGACTCCCCAGTTAGACTTTATAATAACTATACTTTTGACTTAATAAAGTATAACTTAAGTTATAATGAACAAATGGTTTATTAACAGTTCATTAAGAATCATTCAGGCTTTAACTATACTTAATGAAGTTGTAGTAAGGTTATGTGTCATGTTAAAGATCATCTAACAGCAGATACTGTGTGTTAATTTCAGTGTCGTTAGCTAGTCCCTTCAGGCACATATAAGGCCTACGAGTTTTCCAGTCAGAATTGATAAAGCCAGTGGACGGGGGGCAAAACTCTCAAAATTTTGTTGTGTTGACAGAATAAAATTTTCTTTTGCTATAAAAAAAATAAAATAAAATAAATGCAGTAAAAAATCCTGTCACAAGAGGTCAGTATAAGTGTAAACGCACTGTGAAGTCCCTTTGTGAATCCCTGGTCTTAGTTCCAGATCTCAATTCTGTCACTAGAAATACAACATTCTTTATGTTCTTTTCTATTTGAAAACATTATAATGTTGACTATTTGATTCTGTAAAATGGGTCACTATAAAATGACTAGGCCTGACAACTCAAAAAAAAAAAAAAAACATCACTGACTATTCTATGTCTGTATCTCCACCTAAATGCACAGTGAAAGAGGCTGTGCTGCTATTGTACTCGCCTTTGCCTCAGAGTGAATGGCGATTGTCTCTCTATTGTTCATTAAAACCGCTGCTCTCTTGGTTACAGCAGGTCAGAGGATTACACACCACTCCTCTTCCTCAAAATTCATTCATGCCCCGCCAACTTTTGACCAGGGCACAGAGAGCGAAGCGGGCCGGGCTTTCATCTGCAGAGGGCCTGAATAGCTATGAACGGATCAATATCAGAGAAGAAGCAATTTGGAGCGTGGATCCCCTGGTACCTGCCTATAATCTGTGCTCTATCCCACACAATGCAGCTCAGATATATGGCCCTAACATTGTTTAGATAGAGCATACGGTATACTGCCAAAGAAAATACATTTAAGCCACCTACTATATTGGGGAAAGTGGGAAAACAGCAGATCTATTTAGAATGCTACTTTTCTTTTATCAATATTACTACTGTATTGTCTTGTGAATGTCCCCATCCCACTTGCACTAAGTAATTTTTGAGGTCCTGTTGACAAATGTGTCCTCTGCATCTGACCCGTTCTTCACTGTTGCTAGGGACACCTGTTAGGAAAGAGCAGCGAGCGTCCATGGTCATTCATGATTATACATTTAGCATATGCACAAAAGGTTTAGCACATGTACGTACAAATTACTTAAAATAAAAATGTTGGCTTGCTTTTTCTTCATTTGAAGGCTAATTGGATATTTTTAGTTTATGACAATAACCCAGTGTTTTAGATTTTGAGAAGTGTAAGAAGAGACATGAGGCTGAAGTTCTAATGCAGGAGTAACGGTGCAGCTGGTACCACACACCCGGGCCCACAGCACTTGTGCTGCCCGACCTGGACACGCCCACTCTTTAATGCTAACCCTTTAAGGGTGAAGTATAGTTCTGCGTCAACCCAACCACAAGATCAATGGCAAGATAGGGCCCCATATGTCCATAGATAGCTTCTCAGCTAGCCTCCATGGTCTCCATGGATATGGGAAAAACAAAGAGCTAATTTCACAAAATCCAACAGTCCCTTACTTGTGTCCTTTGATCTGCACCTGCTGGACTTCTTAGTTAGTTAAATTCCCATGATGAAAACTGACCTCAAAAAACTCGCTAGTTTCAAAAACTATTCAGTGTTTGAGCCTGGTAGTCACAAAAGCAGCCAACCATTCCAATGTTATTTGCAATTTCTCAATCAACAAGGACTTCTGAATTTAAAATGTAGGCTACAAATGGTCATGCTAAAGTGCTGCTACTTTCAGCACTGCTACTTTCAGCCATTCAAATCCTCATCTTCATTCCTCCGCTTTCTTTTTTTTGTAATAAAATGGTTTTAAATACCTGCTTTTTGCTGAGACGTGCCTCCAGCATCCAATTATCTTGCTCCTTCAAATGCCTTCGCTGCAGAACATGCTGAAAGGTCTATTCTCCTCTTTTCTATACGCACAATGTGATTTCACTTCATGATGTCTTTGTGGCCTATTTGAAAGAAAGAAAAAAAATGCAATTCAGACACACTAAATGTCCCAGTGCCCTATTTCTGCTGTTACAGTGGCTTTATGTCGCAACACCACAGGACAGGCTGCAGCTGGAGCAGATGGGACGGGCTATTGAAAAGAACCTTCACTCTTCAGGCCAAAATGAATTCTATCCATCTCATTTCCTCAATTCTGACATTACCCTGTTAGCTGGACATCCCGCTGTGATCTGTCTTTGGCACCCACTTATCTCGCCTTGAGCCTTTTAGTTTTAGGAAATATTATGAGCTTTCAAAAGAGATTCATTGTTACCTTTGGGAAAGTTCTGAAGCTCTTCCATAGGGGAAAAAAGTTGACTCTATATCACTGTGCCGTTTGTATTTATAGATAGCCTTTACAGTGCACAATGAATCTGAAAGTAGAAAAACTTTAAAAAATAAAAATAAATGTAGCTAAAGAAAATATTGTTCTCTACAGTACTGCAAGAAACACTAAGGAGAGGTTATCAGCGCAAGTTATTCTTTTGAGTAGCTGTAACAACCTTACAATCACAAATATTGTTTTGTAAGACAGAGATACTAAAGTAAGCCACAAGAAGTTTGTGGCTGAGCAAGCAAACTGTTTTATGAAGACATTTGATATAGATAAATCTGATTTGAGTTACCAGTACTAGTATATGAGCTCACAAAACCCATTAGCCATTTTACTTCAGAAGAACAAAACTGCTCTACAAACACCAGAATGCATGAATAGAACAATAGCTAATCAATTTACAAAATAATAGTTTGTCCACTAATTTGGAGTTTAATTGTTCAGGTTTCAGGTATGCCTTTATTTCGTCTCGTGGTGGAGAAATGTGACTCGGAGCAGGGATTAGCAGCATCAACATACAGACATGACAAAACATATGCAGACAATATACTACCACTCAAACTCCACACACTGTTAATACATTTTATAGACTGGGGTACAAATTGGTGTTTATACCTGTTATTTTTGCATAACTTTATATCATCTCCCAAACTGCAGGAGCTCATACTGTGTGTTGAGCGCATGAGAGGGATCTCCAGTGTTTAAAGATGGGCTGTGGGGAAGTCAGAGTGGAACACACCAATGATGTTACCAACAAGTTTTACCAGTCTGAGAATCTGCAAACACTAGCTCAATAGAGTACTAGCTGAATAGAAGGTCAGCATAATATTTTGACTGCAAACACTCTTAATCTTCTACATACAGACGCTGGTGTATCTTTGTACACACGCTTGTTACATGCTCATGCCATCTTATATGATTGTCCACTTGAACCCCTAAATATTTATAGACTTCAATTTATGGAGTTCAATTTTATGTCCATGTATCACAATCTCATCATGGGCTCCAACTGACCTGGTGTCCACTACAGCTTATTGAATTGCATCAAATATTTTCTGTAAAGCTTCCATGGATCAGCTATAAAGGTGAATACTTTTTTCACAAAGATGTATTGAAACACATTCTTATTCTGATGGGTGTATTTTAAGTAGCTTTTATAGAGACCCAGTTCATTTAAAAATAAGAATTGAAACAGGTCTGTATCACTATGAAATGTGATACTATTGAGGTAATAGTGGTAGAATTACTTAACTTTGTTGCAAAATGTTCTGCTTATAATCAGATAGATGATTTTGTCATAAAACCAAACCCAAAAGTCAGTTCACTACAGAGCAATGGTGGCAAAGAAGTCAAGCCCACCCGTTTCTGATCACAAGGATGTGGTCCGTTTATTTTTATAAGAGGAAGAGACTCTTCATATTAAGTCAAGAATAAGTATATTAATAATGATGATATTGTGAACTTAGTAGTCGTGGATTGCATTTATTCTGCACCTTTGTGTAGGGCTTAAAAATTGAATTATGGCGTCTCCAACCTAAACCAATTTTACAAAAGTAGAACTATTATCATTTTTATTTTAATTTGTATTATCATTTGTATATTTTTGTATTAGTTCTGATTTAGTTCTATTATCTGTGAATGTTGTACATGTACTTCTTTCTGTTTGCTATATGACAAAAAGTTTCATGCAACTGTTTGTCTGTAGCTAATGATGGACTAAATAAAACTAACTAAACTGCGATGTATTTTCATTAATTAACCAAAATGTATATAAAGCTGATAAATGCTGAACTCCATCAGCAGAAATATTGAACGCAGAATAGACAACGTGTTAAGATTGTGGAGCAGTTCTGCCTGTACCCACCAGAGGGCAGAATTTGCCAGTGAGGCCATTCATAAAAGCAGTGCCTCTCTGAAGGTCAACAAGCTATTTTCATCCTCACAGCTGTATTCAGGCTGCAATAGGACAAGTGTGGAGATAGGTCCTGTTTTTGTATAACAGAAAATATTAAATATCTATGCACAAGAAAAAACAAAACACAAAGTAGTGTTAAAGGGCTGATGTATTTTAACAGGTTACATCTCATATGTATGGAAAGCACTGAATGCATACTGAAAATAAGACAAGACATGAGTGAACCTGATATTACAACAAGAAATGGTACTGATATTGTTATAGGGAACACAATAAGCCTTTTAAGGGAAATGCATTATAAGAAGATGAAACTCAAGTGCTTTGGTGCCCATTAGTAAACTGGCAAAAACGTTTCTTTTAATTGTCAGTACTTATTCTAGCTCAAGGCATGTGTTTCAGACAGGATATCAAAAAAGACCTTTACATGGAGTGCATCAGTCATCCAGGTTATCTGTACATTCAGGTTATCTGTACATTTGCTGTGTGATTGTCTTTGAACAGTCCTGAGAAATGCAACCTTCAACCTAATATCTATCAAATAAAACTGTGGCAAAATAACATGAAAATTTTAAAAATACAATTTAAGGCACAAAACCATAAAAACTGAAATTACAACATCAGTCTAGTAACAAATAATGCAAAGTATTTATGGCCCATAGAGATGATAAGGCCACTCCTGTATTTCTGCTACTATAAACTACCAACAGTAAAAAATGAAAATGAAACACTTGGGCAAATACTGAATTTAAGCCATCTAAGTCTGCCACTGCAAAAGCATTACTCCATTTTTTACTAGAAAAATACTTCAATAACAAAGTAGCACAGTGTCAAAATATAACTCTTAGAATGAAAACAATTCGCAATTAAAATTGTAACTTAATAAAACTAAATATTAGTTTTGTTCAAAATTCAAAATGTCTCCAGAAAAAGCCATTTGTGGTTCATAAGGCACACTAAGGCTTGGCATCTATTAACCAAAACATCAGAAAATCAACACTAGGCATGTTTTCCCACACTGCAGATGGGTAGTAGGTCCATTTTAGAGTAACAGCGTGAAGCACAAAATGGCAAAGGTCTCTGCAAGCACACATGTGTTTGACTCAGCATCTGTTCTGTAGTACTTTTGTGCAGGGCTGATCACACCTCTTCATAAAAGGCCATCTGTGACATGTAAGCAGAATTTCTCTGAAAGACAAAACACGTATAGTGTAAAAAAAGAAAAAAAAAAGAAGTCATAAAGAAGTTATAAAACAGGATTGCACCCTCAAGAGTTAAGAGGGGAGACATTAACTGTACAATGTATACTTAATTTAAAGAAAAGACTAATTTTTTGTAGAGGGTTCTCTCCATCCTTGTCTCCATCAAGATGTTATGGCTTGGTCTGGAATGTACCACAGTATGGCATTTAACTTAAAGGTTGTATGGAGGATTTTTTTTTTGTTTCAAATTGTCAATGATAGCATTATAGACGTGCAGTAGCCTTGTAATTATGATGACCAAAAAAAAGAGAATAAAAATTCATCAACTCTGGACGTGGTGGGGCTAAACATTTGCCAATAAATAACGACACTGCCTCGTTATCTGTTAGTTGATAGGCTGTCAATCAATCTCCCTACGTTTCTAGCGTAACTGACTTGCCTGCGCGCTGCCGTTACGTGGTTTACGTACGCCTGTCACGCAGTCCACAGACGCAAGACGCACAGACGCTGTTTACTCCACCAACGCAACAGTTCTTAGCGGCTTTTTTGACCTATATCTTCCTCGCAGTTAGCACAAAGTTTGTTGCAATGGCAGACAAGAATCCAGGAGCAGTTAGTCGCAAAAGAAAGTCCGTTTTTGAGATTGCTGAAAGAAGAAGACAAGGGGAAAAGCAGCGAAGCCAAACTAAGGTGATTCTTGTAGATTCATTCCAGCGATGGCGCAACTGAAGCAGACGAAGGGTCTAAAGACTGACGCACTGGTCCACAAATTACTCCTGGACAGGTCACTTCTGCTTATTATGAAAATGTACTTTATTTCCAAGAGCGAGACAAACGTTTTTCAGGACACGAATGCGATATCCTATGTCTGAAAACGTAATTTTCAAGGCAAAGAAAGAGTCCGCTTGCTGCTGCGTGTTGTAGCTAGTTCATTCGCACGGAATCTCCGGGCACCCCTCTCTTCACCCCTTTCCTGTTCCTCTCCCCGCTGCCCATTCCACTCTTCCCCCTGCTCCTCAAATCTCCGGGCACCGCTCCCCTCTCCTCTCTCCTCTCTCCCCACTCCACTCTTCTCCCTGCTCCTCACTTCTTGTCCGTGCACGAAATGTCCGCGCACCCCCTCCCCCCCCTCCTCACTTCTCCACCTTGCCTAACCAACACTGTAGTTAGTTGTTTACCTTACAAGTCATGTGCAGCGCACCGGCTGTAAACAAACCTGTTTCTGGCGTAAGGAGGAGGAGGGAGGAGGCGTTTCTACGTAGGGAGCTGTGGGGGAGGGGGGGTGATTTCACGCATGCGCAACATTTGAAAAAGGACAAACAGTCGCTGGATTTCTCGTTCCTTGGAAAATCCTCTATACAACCTTTAACCATTTCCACAAGCAGGTGATACCACAAGATCAAGTTACAAGTCAGGTAAGTGGACAGGCAGTTCAGTAAGAATGCATTTTCAAGGTGTTTTCTACAATAAAAACACCTAAACCTGGCTAAATGCAAGGTGGATAACTGACCATCCACACCAGAAAAGTTATATCGGTGTATCTTTAAACTCTTTAGTTGCTGATATAAATCTTTTAAGACTACTAATAACAAACATAGTCATTTGATACATACGTTGCTGTGAGGTACGTAGTGGGGTTCTGGGTGGTACCCGCGGGGGTCTGAGTGGAAAAGGCCAGCTTGCTGCTGCTGCTCCTCCAGCTTTAGGGATTCAATCTCAGATTTAAGCTCCTTCAGCTGGTCCTGGAGGTGCTTACTCTTCTCCATGTACTCCAGTCTGAAATAAGAAATTAAGGATATTATCAAAATCTCTGAAGTCATTGCCCACTCCAGTTCTCCATCCATCCATTTTCTTCCACTTTATCCAAGGCCGGGTCGTGGAGGCAGCAGTCTGAACAGGTAGGCTCAGACTTCGATCTCCACATACACTTCCTCCAGCTCTTCTAGGAAGATCCCAAGGCGTTCCCAGGCCAGCCGAGACATACTTCCTCCAGCGTGATCTGGGTCTTCCCCAGAACACCTCTCCAGGTAGGTGCCCAGGAGGCATCCGGAATAGATACCCAAGCCCTCTCAACTGGCTCCTCTCGACGTGAAGGAGCAGTGGCTCTACTCTGAGCTCCTCCCATGTGACTGAGCTCCTCATCCTATCTATAAGGGGTCTTGTTCATGATATCCATCCTATCATGAACAAGACCCCAAAATATCTGAACTCCTCCACCTGAGGCAGGTACTCCTCACCCACCTGGAGAGGGCAAGCCACCTTTTTCCAGTAATAACCATGGCCTTGGATTTGGAGGAGCTGATCTTCATCCCAGTCAATTCACACTCAGCTGCAAACCGCCCCAGTGCAGTGTTGTAGGTGCTGGTTCGATGAAGCTATCAGGAAATCATCTGCAAACTCCAGTTCTGCCATTCCTAAATTAACTTTAATTGATTTAAAAAAAACTTGTCTTTGCTCTTTCCTCACTAGTTTATAAGGTTAAATCAAAATCTGTCTTCTGTGTTTGACCTAATCTCCAGTGTTGTTATGGTTAACCCTGTCAGCAGCAATTAAATTCATGTTTTTCGATACTGTATCATTGACAATGTGTGTACAATAACCAGTAGGACTTACATGTTGCAACATGCCACTGTACTTACTGTGTTCAGAAAATGTCCCATTTCAAGCTAATATCATATAGCCAAGTGAACAACAGTGGAATACTGCTTTCACTTCTGCAGAGTTGAACAGAAAGCCCACACCTGCTTCTGTTACATTTTAGATCAATACTGTCATTTACAATGAAGTCATGTAAAATCATGAGCTGTGTGTGTTATAGTGTAGGCCTGTTGAACTATCTTACCTCTCTCTCTCAATCTCCATGGAGAGTCTCTTCATGTCGGGGTCTTTAAAGTCCAAACGCATCGATGTGGAGTCGTAAGAGAAGTTTGAGGCTTCAGGAGGAGGGGCAGGAGGGGCAGAGTAGGCTGCTATGAGCTGGACACAAAATGTATTTAGTGTAAAAAATCATTAAAAAAAATACATAATACATAATTACATAATTTGTTCAACTATACCCAACTTTAACAAAAGATAAAAGATAGTAAAGATTTGTATAAAATAAAATGTAAATTTTACAGGGTACAGAGAAACAAGTGTAAGAGTAACATTTATTTATTACATGAGAATGTTTAATTTGAATCAGCTCTTGTGTGTATTACCTTTAGACAAAGTGAGAAGATTTAGAAATATGTTTGTTGTGTACTGTAGTTAGTTGCTGAATGATTGGTTTTACTGCTGCCTCAATTCTGACAACACTTCACTCGCTCCACCTTCACTCATCTGAAACCTCAATCCCACATTATACAAATAACTTGCATTTTTCAATCTCAAAAACATTGCCCGACTCTATCTATTATTACTGTTGAACTGCACTGAAACCTTTGACTGAGACACAAAAGCCACTGAGAAAGGCAAAGTAACTTGCAGCAAAACTGCAATAGTTTACTGCAGCAATCAATAAAGTATCTCTCTCTCTCTCACTTTCAATGGAAATAAGGTCAAAAGATGAATGGATAAACAAACTTGAGGGGCAGAAACAAAAAACAAACAAACTTGAGGGGCAGAAAGCTTAGTCCTTCAGTTTAGATGAACCCAATACCAGCTGGCAAAAGTTATTCAGGTTGGCTTGTTCTCTGCATCTGAATGTCCAAAAACAAGCTCGCAAAGATGACTAGATGAATAAAAATTGCCCAAGGTGATTGAAAATTGCCTCTCTTGGTGTTAAGTAAAATAGTGCCCTTACCCTCGGAAAAAACACATTTAGAAGTTTAGTACTAAATTAATTTTATAGGCATTATGTTGTGAATCCTACAGAAGCTATTAAGCAAAAAGTAAATGAAAAAAATAGGCCAGACATAATAAATACTATATCGACTTATTGCTCAATATATGAAAGCTGGTATGGTACAATATATTTTGGGGCACAAAATGTATCGGGAGGGTCGGGGGAGATTTGGGGGTATTTTTGTTGTAATACAATGATAGTAGAGATTTAAAAGGTTGATTAATTAGACATAGAAGTCACTTATTCACAAATAATAACACTTTCTGTTAGCTGTGGCAGTTTTTCAAACAAAGGAATAAACTAATATTCTTCTGTTATGTATTTCAGGGAGATGTTGAATTTACATTTTCTGTGTCACTCCAGTGGGATTTGGTGGTGGCATTGCTTGCAGCATAAATAAACACAAAGTAACTTCCAAATGCACTGGGGCTCACTGAAAGCATCATAATATTTAAAAATGTGAAAAATTGTTATTGGCAAAAATGTAATATTGACAACGTAAGCTCAACTAAAATAAAACTAAATATTTAATTGTTTTTAAAGAAAGGTCAAACACAGCTATAGTGGTGAATTACTTGTATAGATAATAACTATAACCCATCCATCAATTTTCTTCAGCTTTATCTGGGGCCAGGTTGCATAGACAACAGTCTGAGCAGGGAGCTCCGGAGATTTCCCTTTCCACACACACACATCCAAAAGACATAGTCCCTCCAGTGTGTCTTGGGTCTTCCCCAGGGCCTCCTCCCCAAGGGCTGACTCAGTTGAATCATCTCAACATGTAGGAGCAGCGGCCCTACTGCCGTGAAACTGGGCTCCTCATTCTTGAACGAAGCTCCCGGCCACCCTATAACCTACTTGTACTATTAGCACACTAAGAGCACTAAGCCCTCTGCATTACTACAGTGTGTTTAGTATTTGTATTTAGTATTTGTATTTCGTAAAATTACCACTAAGTCAGCTGATATTTCAAAACTATACTTTGTGTATCAAGATTATTGATTAGTTTTATTTTTTTGATTATTGATTAGTTTTATTTTTTCATCCTTAATCTTAAATAAATCCTTAAAAACATAAACAAGGTCTACTTTTAATCAGAGCCATTTAACCCAAAAGTATGAACATTTATTTGTGGTTTAGGTGTATTACCGTATAAGATCATATTTAGCTTTCCAAGTACCACCGTGGAGAATCACCACAAAAGAAAACAAAAACATTATTAGATTTGTCTCTAAATTAAACTTAAGTACTTAAACTGCAGAGGGCCACACTTACCACCAGAGGCAGCCTGTGTACCATTAGTCTGACAATGCTCTAAACCATGTGCATTTAGTGACTAGATACATGATTTTTAGAGATAATTTAAAGACTGACTGCAGGTTTGAATTTTAATAAGATGCAAGATAATTTCAAACCATTGGATCTTGATTTCATTAGTTGTGCAGTCCTAATTTGGTTGTAAAACTTGTATAATTACCATCACATACTTTACAAATATGACATATGAAGTAGATCTTTCCATGTTTGACAATAAATATTGTAACAAAGAGCAGGGAAACAGGTCTATCCATCATCTTACTGGATAGGTCGTCTTGGTGATCTCCAGCAGTTTCTGTTTGGCCCTGCGCTCCGCATCCTTGGCTTCGGTCAGATCCTGTTTCAGATGATCGGCCTCTTTTAACCTGAAAATACAACTACTTTAGTGACTCCACATCTAACAGGGCACAGTGGGAGATTAATAAAAAAGGCATTTACAGTAAGCCACCGAAGAGCAGGTGAAGGTAACTGTGTTTTTATTCAAGAGTGTGATTTTTAAACTAGATTAGATTTAGCAGGTCATTAATCAGTAAATGGAGCTGGAAGAACAGGTCATGCTGCTCATTCCTGTTGAGAACCAGGAGGTGAGCCCTATTTACCTCACATAACCGTTACAGACAGCAATCCATCAGAAGGGAACAGGAAGGTACAAAATAAATGTAAGGCATGTAAGGAAGTAGTGAATATTAGATAGTGATGACACAGAAAATTCTAAAGTACTACTAGTTAATTGTCACATGTCACCAAGTGCTTTGATGATCAGATTTCTCTTGGGCATGTTACCACACCAAAAATCAGATCTAATTATTTTTTCTGCCCATGTTAATGTACCAGCAGTAAAAAACAAGGCAAAAAATTATGAAATATAATGCTATACCTCTAAAGGCTGCCACAAAGTACAGGATTTTTCAGTCTTAAACAATTTTTAAACGTGCGACAAAAAGCACAAACCACAGACATGAGGAGAATCTTATGAAATTTTAAATCTCCGATCACAAAGACTGTAGTGAGATATGTCTGCAGACCACAGGTTACAAAGCTGTCAGAGTGCTGCACTTTTAGTTTAGATATAAGTCAAAATTGAGTTATTATTATTTGTGAAATGTGGTGCAATACTTCTAGATACATGATTTTTAAAGCACAGAACGTTGGCAATAAAGTACACAGGAAGTAGAGTCACTATAGCTAATCTGCAGCTTCACCTGGTCCGTGTTCTCCGTGGATGTGAACAGACACACCTGAGGAGCTACTCTCACCTTTTTACTTTTAAAGAACGCTTCAAACAGGATTCACAGCACTGTTTTATGGACTGGATGTGGACAAATTCTATGCATAATGTGGGTGAGATGCTGAAGTTCATATTTACAACTTTACGAGAGGTGATTAATAATTATTTTTGCTATGAGTTTATATGTTGCGCCTCTATGTTCGTCACTCCTCTGCCCCTGACGCTTTGTTTTATTGGCTGTATTGTGTCAGAGAAAATAATGATGGTCTACAAAGCTGCATATTTATCATACTATTAAAAATCAGTGCACATTTTTGAGCTTACAAGCCAATACATTATTAAAAGGTCTGCAATATTAGAGTACAATAATAGTGTGACATTTTGATATGGCCAGTATTATTGCAACAAAAGTGCTCACAGGTCTATAGTCCCCAGTGTTGTGTGTGTCTGACCTCCTCTCGGATTGCTCCACCAGTTTGACGGCTAACTGCTCGGCCTCTCTCATCTTCTGCTCCATGAGTCTCTTCTCTTCTTTGGTCTTGAGTGCCGTCACCTCCAATCGCTGCCTCTCCTGCTCAGCCTCGGCAGCTTTATGAGCTAGAAGCTTTGCCTCCTCCTCTGCAATCTGAGCCTTCTCCGCCAAAAGGTCGGCCGTCTCCTCTGAACGCAGCTGAGCCAAAGGGTAGACAATTAAACAAGGGTGCTTCAAGATTAGACTAATTCAATTTAACACATCTTAATAATGACATTAAGAGGAAATGCCAAAATCATCAATGACAAAACAGCAATTATCTTAAAACCCAGATTTATTCATACCTTTGCACTCTCTGCAAAGTTTAAATGTTTATGTAACCTTTCTGGTAGAAGGGCTGCCATCTGCTTAACTCCGTGGAGGTGTTATTGCTTTGCCCCTAATGTTCCAAAGTATGGCATTAAGCTCTTGCCACTCTATGAAAAAATTTAAATGTATATTTGTAATTGTAAAAATTCAAGTTAAATATGTTAAATTCCATACTGTGAAAGAGGCATAAAATTTCCATGGTGATTTCCTATCAGAAAAGTTACATAATGCGTCTTTAAATACACTAACAGAATTGTTAAAGCGGACGTATTATGCAAAACTGACTTTTCACTCTTGAGAGTTTTTAAGCTGTACATCTTTGTTGTGATGCCAACAACGTCACCTCCCATTGGGCACTGCAGCTTTCTAATACGAAAGTCAGTGGACTCATTTCTTTTATTTTTTTAGCTGAATATTGCCATTTTAAATTTTCAAATAATAACATAATGATCCACAGGTGTCATAGATAACTATATAACAGGCACAAGCATAATAGGGTTTTTGATTTAACAGTACACATAATGCACCTTCACACACATGCTTCTTGGGATAGGTATAGATTTTGTTACATATTTAAGTGGTGACCTTAAACTACATCAGCCCTGAAAGGACAAACTTCTCACCAGAGCCTCGTTGGCAAGTCGGGCCTCATCCTGCAGCTGGAAGAGTCTCCGCTCCATTTCCTCCTTTGCTCGCTCAGCCTCTTCCCTCATCTGCTTTTCTCGAGCCAGGATCTGCCTCTCCATCTGAAAGAGAAGACCAAAATTAAGTCATTTAGATGCCATTACAAGCACATAATACCACAATTTGTTTTAAAGTAATAAATTAAACAGTGAGGACGTTGTAACGCATGCCGCTGATTGTGAGTACATTTAAAGCCAACCTTTTTACGAGCTTTCTCCTCTTTGGCTTGAGCTTTCATCTGCTGAACCTCTATAGAATCCACCTTTCTCCTCCTCATAAACAGGTCATGGTTTCCTATGCACAACTGCAGGATCTACAAAAGAAGAACTTCTGCTCAACAAAATGACTAATTATTAAATGTTGCAATATTCAGAAAACCAAAACTTAAACTGACCAGTTTGTTTACGCGAAGCTGAGATGAGTAAAATTTGAAAACATCTTTCTTCTTGTCAAGAGGCTTGATAGTGAACTGCAACGATATAAAGGGTACGTTTAGTGCAACATAATAACATATTATAAAACAATTTATCCAAATTATGGTACAGTAGGCTGCAGAGTGTGGACAGTAGTTTTTGATCCCACCTCTTTCTCGCTGTAGGAGATGTTGCGGATGCCACTCCAGGGGAATGATTTGTTTGGGTTGAGTTTGCTGTTGGGACTGTAGATGTGAAGGCCCTGGGCATCCACTCCCAGCAACAGGTCTGTGTCTCTTTTGTTTTGCTTTTAGCACAAAAAACACATGTAGTTCATAACAGATTCAGAGTATAATTCATATTTTTCTTGCATAGATGCATTTTTATTCAAGCATTTAAATAAACTGTATCTAGCCTGCATTCTCACCATTAACAATCACAAATCAGCCTTGGTTAACTGTGCCTAAACTGCAAATAGAGGACACAGACATCCCTAGTTAAGGTAGTGACAACTCAGATCAGAGAGGATCCTTATAAGTTCACAGCAACTGGATTTCAGCATTGAAACTTGCAACCCAAAACAGAAAGTTGAGTAATACTCATTCATGCTTTCTGATTGGAAATTGTAACATAAATAAATGGGAAACCATGACCAATGATTTTGTAATTATGAATAAATCAGCATAAGAATGTTATAAGTAAATCAGATTTTTACCCCGTATTTGGGTCAAGTTTATGAAATTTTAAATCAAAATCTTGCACACAGTTCCTAAATAGATGCACTGTGAAACATTTCTGGTATCCCTTTGCCTGAAATGTTTAACAATATGGCATTAAACTTATCATTATGACACCAACAGGCCAAGTTACTTGTCAGATCAGTGGAGAAGCGGACCCAATCACAGTAAGAATATTAGATTTTCTGGGTATTTTTAAGAACTAAAAATGCAGGATAAATAAAGTAAAATAGTGTACTGTGATACATCCCTAACAAAGCTATAAGGACTCCATATCCTGAGGGCAACTTTATCCATACTAGATGTGATGATGAGCCTACCTGTTGAAATTAACAGAGATTTTTGTTTGAGTTTTCTATCATTATTGTAGTTAATTGCTCAATGTGCTTTTGATGTGCTGATCCACCAAAATATATATATACAGGTATTAGGGATGCACAGATATTTCTACCCAATTTGATTTTATTTGTAAATGATATGTGACCAAAGAGCTCCTTTGTTTCACATGCATCACTGAAATAAAGCAAATCTGATTACAAATCACGACTGACTAGGCTTGGGGAACAATGGAGGGCACCGAGACCAGACTGATAACAATCCAGGTAAGTGGTGTTGGTGTGAACACTGTGTACTCACAGTTATAGCAAAGTAGCTCACACCATACATTTCAAGGTCTTGTGCAATCTTTAGATACTCCATCTCCGCCTCGTCTCTGCAGACAGACAGGATACATTTTAAGTACAGAAGGCATCACTCTGACAGCTTTACTGGTGTATCCAGAAATACTCCGCATTTACAATCAGAGTGGGACGTTGGGAGCTCGCTCCTTTCACAAAAAAAAAATCTATATATACAGAAGGTCCTCAACCCATCAGCAGGACCGATATCTGCTCCTTTGTGCAAGGAGGAACAGGCTGAGCACTGCTCGTGCCCTACAGAATGACCTCCAGCAGGCCACTGATATAAATGTCTTGTGACTTTGCTAGATCACACCAGAACTGGCACTTGTGAGCACCTGTGATAGACGTGATAGAGTTTGGAGAAGACAAGGAGAATGCTATGCTGCCTGCAACACTGTTCAGCATGAGCGGTTTGGTGATGGGTCAGTGATGGTCTGGGGAGGCATATCTATGGAGGAACATACAGACCTCTACCAGATTTGATTTTCAGGGTGTCTATAAAATTAAGCCCTCTGTAGGATGAACATTTTATTTAAAGAGGTGGGATCCTTTTGTTCCTTGGGCATTGCCCTGTTCATATTTGTTTTCATATTGAGAGCTGGTGTTTTTTCAAAGTGTTCCTTTAATACTTTTGAGCAGCGTACATTTCTGTAAATAATCAACACAAATCAGGCTGTAAATTTCAAAGTTCTGTATTACTTAAAACACATGAACTGAATTGCCAAATCCAGGTTTATTTAAAAACTGACAAAATAAACCCAATAAATGCATGGATCTGATGAAGTTGACAAGAACCTGACAGAGTTGACAAAACGTGAGAACTCAGCTGAAAACTGGCCAAATATGATAGAGGAACATAAATGGAATATTAGCCATTAGCTCCGATGCTAGCAGGCCTTTAGTGGTCAGTGCCTTGGCCACTACAGCAGTGTTTCTCTCCCATTCCTCTCCCTCTCTTCTGCCCCTCTATGAGTTTATATTCTGATATTGGTGACTTGACATGTTTTGTGTGTTGTGGCATCATGTGTTAACATGATTGATCTACAAGAGACTCATAATATAAGTGACAACTGTTTACTAGTTCAAGAGATGAAAAATGTAATCATCTATTCAACGATGCATTTTTGTTAAAGGTGCAGTGCATAACTCTCCAAGTGGAGGGTCCGCCACCTGCTTGTCTTCATGGAGATGTCATTGCTTTGTCTAGAATGTCCCACAGTAGAGATTAAACATATCTATCTCAAGGGAGACAAGTATAGGTTATATTACGGGTAAAATCTGTGGAAAGTCACCCCTATTCACAGAGAGAATTATTTTATTTTTGAGCAACAGAAACACTTGCAATGAGTAAATGCCAGATAAATGTGTTTAATGTCATATCATGAAACATTCCAGACAAAGCAAAAACATTTCCATGGAGACAAGCAGGTGACAGATCAAAAAAATGCACAATGCACCTTTAATTAAACTGGGAATTAAACCTTTATTTCTTTACTAAGTTGGTCAGTCTGCTAACTCCGTCAGCCTAAAATGTCAACTCTATCACACATTCAGCTTGACATCATAAAATATATTATTTATGCTAAATAAATAAATACTAAACTTAAACCATGAAATGACACTTTAACCCATTTCTAAGTTCACAAAAATATATATTATTAGCATATTTAGAGGCTTCAGGTGGATTTCCGTCAGCAACCAGTCAATTCCGTTAAACGTGAAATCTGATGGAGTTGACGATTGGTGGACCAGGTTTTTCCCTTGTTAAACACAGATTGTCACTGCAGCTAGTTTTAGGAAAACCATTTGTTAGCTGCCTTGATGACTTCACTTGAGGTGTAGACTAGTTCTGTTTAAACAAATGTATCAGAATGGACAGAGTTAACACTTCCCAGCTGTGGCGGGAGGAATTTTGACATTGGCAGTCTTAAATATCAGAAAGTCTAAAAGTGACAAGGCTCAGTGTTTGTGCTGTGTTCAGTAGAGTAAGAGTAACAAACAGGGTCCTCAGCGACCCTATGCTGGTTCCTACTGATGCACAACAATGACTTGTGGTAAGAGTATGCAGGCAGTACCTGGAGGATGAAGGGATTGATACAATTGAATGGCCCTCACAATCACCTGAATTAAACCCAAAAGAAAACCTCTGGAATATTATGTCTAGGTCCATTAGACGCCATCAGGTTGTTCTTCAGACTCTACAGGAGCTCAATTATGTCCTCCCAGATCTGTGTAAGGGCATCACCCAAGACACCATCCATTGTCTCCTTAGGCGCATGCCACAACGTTGTCAAACATGCACATAAGCACATGGGGGCCACACAAGAGATTGAGAAGCATTTTGAGCTGCAGAAATGACATTTTGGCAAAATGGACTAGCCTGCCACATAGTTTTTTCACTTTGATTTTCAGGGTGTCTATAAAATTAGGCTGAAAACTCACTGAAAGGGGTGGCATCCTTTTATTCTTAAGACATTGCCCTGTCCATATTTCTATAGATATGCAGCATTTTTCTTTACATTGAGATCTGATGTGTTATGAAAGTGTTCATTTAATTTTTTGAGCAGTGTATACATAGAGGAACTCTGAGATGCTAAGCTCCAAAATTACACTGATATCAATTTATCACACAGGGCTGTAGAGAAATGTAATAAAATCAGTGGTACCTGGCGATGCCTCTGTGCTCTGCATACCAAGCTGTGATCTTCTCCTCCCACATGTCAGCTGTCATTTGATACTGCATCAACACCTGAGCAGCACATAGACAGATTGTGTTAGACAGATTTACTTAAATATAAATATCAAAAGGACAAAAACTTACCCGCTTTGGGAGGAGCTCGTCCTGCGCCAGAAAACCAGGTTTGTGAAAGTTGGGGTCATAGTCTCCGTACTACAAAGCAAAGGAGAATGTCAGTATATAGAGGAAAGTCTAAAATAATCAATAAAATAATCAGTAACAGCATTCCTGACTGAACACATCTTTCTTATGTATCATAATACCTTTATAACATAAAATACTTTTTACTAGTACTAGTAACATTGCTATAAAATATTGCAGCAGACCATGTGTTTAATATTACATATTTGTCTCTATCAAGTCAACACAAACAAACAATGAAAAAGCATGCTTTCTTACCTTGGCTTGAACAGCATATGAGGCCAGTAAAACAGAGGCTTCAGGGGAACATAATATCTCTTCTTCTAATATTTGTTTTTTAACCTACACAACAAAAATTGTTAATAGAATGTAATTGGGTACATCTTCATGTATAATTACTACAGGTCTTTTTTACCTGTAAGAAGAAAAGATGTTGTGTAATTTCTTGGACCAATTCTTCTTCTACTTTTTCTGGGAAGAATTTTGCCAGAAAATGAAACGTTATTGGAGAGTCTTTGGGAACTTCCTGATCCAAGACCTTTGAGGGGAAAATGTTATCAACAGACATCAAATTGTCTGAATAGAGATTCAAAATTCAGGATAAGTACTCACTCTTTTGTCCAGTTTCAGCCAGGCATACGTGTCTTTAACTGTATATCGAAGTCCAAAGAACCATGTTTCTCTCAAACCAACAGTGCGGCAAACCAAGTCAAATAGATCTTTACCTTTCCATTTGACCTGAAACCATTTTTATTTTAATCATGTAGTTTATTGAAAAAAGAATTATTACGAGTAATTGTTTATTAAATTTGCATTTATTGTAGTCTCTATTACCTCACAGCTGAACTCCATCTCAGCATCCATTGTTATAACTTTGACCTTAAAAGTCTTTGGTTGTTTCTTCTTTAATCCAAGGATCGACATTTTAGGATGTTGCTGTTTAATAATAATAATAATAAAAATAATAATAATAATTAATAGATTTAAAGGGGGCAAATGGTACTGTTCAGAAATCAAAGCACAGCTTATATTACATTTTGTATGTTTGCTTTTACAATATGGAGCTAATCTAAATTTGATATAATTTCAATTAAATACTCTCTCTAAAACGTGCAATATGCAATAGATTGAATATCGTTACCTGTGGTTGTCGCAGATATTAACTTCAGTCGTACGCGATGCAATTTGTAAGATTAACCGTAAGTGGGGCTTTTTGTTTTTGGGAAGCGATGCTAAGCTAACAGATGTTTCGGGACCTTTTCAAGCCACGAAAGTATGACATAAAAGGTAATGGAAGCGAGAAACCCTTTTAGAAGTACCCATGGTGGTAATCAACCGAAAAAGTAAACTGAACGTAAAATATTACACTAAAATAAAGTGAGTTAATAACTTCCGAAAAAGTTAAAAACTGTTAGCAGTAGTTCGCAAGACTTTCGGGATTGTTTTGGGAAGGGGAGTATCTGCAGGATAAGGGCACGGCGCATGCGCTTGTCAATAATAATACAAAAAAATTAAATAAACGTTAAATTAGTATTCAGTTATGTAGCTTCCATTTTTCTCGAAGTTCATCCTGTATGAAATATTTCTGATCGCAAAGTGATGTATGATATATGTAGATATTTTGGTAGAAATGGATGTCGGTCCCTGACAGGCAAAACCGAGGGCAAAAAACAAACCACATATATGACAGCATATATGACTGCATACATACCTTTACTTAGCTAGTCGTTCGTGACTACACCGTGGATCTGCACGTTTCCTATGACTCTCGTTGCTCTGACTGGTTCAAAGGGTAAATAATTTCAACTCTCACAAGTTTTATTTGGAATTAGAATAATATGCTAATGAAAACTTATTTGGTCGTTTGGTAGTCTGTGAGTTAAACGTTAGCTAGTTATTTTACTCTAAATTCCAAATCCTCATCTCCTGTATCACAAAGCAGACATTTGTCTGTCTCAGTTTTAAATTATTGTTTTAGGAATTCATTGACTGGATACATTTTATTCAAAATGTTTATTTGTATCTCCTTCACTTTAGAGGAATCTGGAAAGGAAAGATACTTGGTTCTAAACATTTTAATTTCTTTCTTTTAAAAAATTCTTTTAAGAATGTAATCTCTTCTAGCTGACTTGGGGAAGCAAAAATTTAGTAAGGAACGTTTCAAAAATGTGTTTTTGTACTTTGAATCACAAAATTCAACTCTTCAATGCAAAGTTGTCTCAGTCCAGGAGAAATATCAGAATAACATCCTGCTTGACCATTTGACCAAATTTCTGGCAGAAATCAGCATGTTGTAAAATAAATCCATCATCCAAGAAGTGAGCTAGCCCATACTCCACCCAAAAGATTTGTTTCGAGTAAAGGAGGACCTGTTGGTGAAAATCTGAAAGTTTCACTAGTAATTTGTTTAACTCAAAGTCACATTTTAAAAGGAGGTTGATACTGCCAGTCTTATTGAAGATTAGATTGGGAATGTAATACCAAATAGAGTGACTATTACTTATAAAGAGCTTCAGCCGTTTGAGTTTCATAACTCCATTCATAACATAATAAATCTATCGCATATAAACCCCCCTCCGCCAATGGACTGATTAGATCGTCTTCCCCTATGTAATTGGCCCTCGCCACTAACAAAGTTAGGGGCGAGGGGTATTGTTCTTCGTCGATTTCTTTTTTTTATTCATTATTCTTTTTCCCCACATTGAATCGCATTTTTGACCCCCTGAACATGGACGAAAAGTCCCCAAACCGGGGTCCAGATCGATCGGTCCCGGCGAAAAATTCGATAAAACGGGCATCGCGACAATGAAAAGCCCCCCACTCAACAGCGCCCCCTGAAATTCAAAATTTTGAGATGAATGGGGCTGAGACGCATATTTTGTCGCACGGTCACGAAATTCGGAACAGTGATAGAACTCAAGGAGACAAACAAAAGCCAATCATTGTGCACCCCTCTGACGAACAGGAAGTCGGCCATATTGGATCAAAAATTCGGCGCCGTTTTGACTTGGGGGTCTACAAAAAGATTCAAGTCCCCGGGGTTTGGTCCAAATGAGCTCAGATTTGACATGTCACATCTACAGACATGAACTCACAGAAGTTGCCAAATTTTTTTGGGATACTCCTTACGGTTCGCCGTAGCACGCCGGCGAATAACGCCTTCATTTCCTGTTTTTTCGGTGGCCTGTCACGGCCACAGGCATTGTCCTAGAGAACTCAAATTCAAATCACAATTGCGTGATCCAGGTCTGAATGTAATGAAATATGAAATTTAATAAAAGTGAACTCTATAGCGCCCCTAGCATAGACGTGAAACGTCAACATTATCGGATTTTTACTAAATTCGGAAATTAAATTCTATGCATGATGACAAGCAAAAAAGTCTATTACGGACATGGTGCATTTTTCACGCTTGGCCAGTAGGGGCGCAAAGACTCCCCAAAAAATAGTTAAAAAATGATTACATGCCCCTGTTTTATCGGATCACGCTGAAATTTGAATCAATGATGTGTGATCTCAGCCTGAATATAATACACTATAAAAATAAATGAAAATTGAACTCTATAGCGCCCCCTAGCATTGACAAACATCAATATTATCGGATTTGTACCAAATTCGAGGATTAAATTCTAGACATGATTACAAGCAAAAAAGTCTATTACGGTCATGATGCATTTTCCACCACTGGCCAGCAGGGGCGCAAAGACTCCCCCAAAAATAGTTAAAAAATGATTACATGCCCATGTTTAATCGGATCGTGCTGAAATTTGAATCACTAATGTGTGATCTCAGCCTGAATATAAAACAGTATAAAACATATTAAAAGTGAACACTATAGCGCCCCCTACCATTGACATGAAATGTCAACATTATCAGATTAGCACCAAATTTGGGATTAAATTCTACGCATGATTACAAGCAAAAAAGTCTATTACGGTCATGATGCATTTTCCACCACTGGCCAGCAGGGGCGCAAAGACTCCCCCAAAAATAGTTAAAAAATGATTACATGCCCATGTTTAATCGGATCGTGCTGAAATTTGAATCACTAATGTGTGATCCCAGCCTGAATATAAACAGTATAAAACATATTAAAAGTGAACACTATAGCGCCCCATACCATTGACATGAAATGTCAACATTATCAGATTAGCACCAAATTTGGGGATTAAATTCTACGCATGATTACAAGCAAAAAAGTCAATCATTCTGCACCCCTATGACGAACAGGAAGTCAGCCATATTGGATCAAACATTCGCTGCCGTTTTGACTTGGGGGTCTACAAAAAGATTCAAGTCCCCGGGGTTTGGTCCAAATGAGCTCAGATTTGACATGACACATCTACAGACATGAACACACTGAAGTTGGCAAATTTTTTTGGGATACTCCTTAGCCCGTAGCACGCCGGCGAATAACGCCTTCATTTCCTGTTTTTTCGGTGACCTGTCACGGCCACAGGCATTGTCCGAGAGAACTCAAATTCAAATCACAATTGCGTGATGCTGGTGTGAATGTAATGAAAATATGAAATCTAATAAAAGTGAACTCTATAGCGCCCCCTAGCATAGACATGAAACGTCAACATTATCGGATTTGGACCAAATTCGGAAATTAAATTCTATGCATGATGACAAGCAAAAAAGTCTATTACGGACATGATGCATTTTTTCACCGGTTGCCAGTAGGGGCGCAAAGAATCCCCCAAAAATAGTTAAAAAATCATTACATGCCCATGTTTAATCGGATTGTGGTGAAATTTGAATCAATAATGCGTGATCTCAGCATGAATATAAAACACTATAAAACATATGAAAACTGACCACTATAGCGCCCCCTACCATAGACATGAAACATCAACATTATTGGATTTGGTACCAAATTCGGGAATTAAAATCCTATGCATGATTACAAGTCAAAAGTCATATTACGGACATGGTGCATTTTCCACTGTTGGCCAGCAGGGGCGCAATTGACTCCTTAAAAATATTTAAAGGGGCATTATGTAATGTGTCTAATGGACGAGCTGTCGGCCTGGGCGGATGTCGGGGAGAAAGGGTGGCGTGACGGGGCGGTCGCGAGTCCCAGGAGGTCGCGTGGGGGGGCGGTGCGTGCCGGGGCGAGGGCCACCATCGCCGCGCGCGGCTTTAATGACATTTATTCCTCCAAATTAAGTTAAAATGACTGATATTAATTGATTTGATGAATATGTTTGAAATGGGGAGGGAATATGCTGGGTAAATTAATCTGGAGAGACTATCCATTTTGGTCAATAGTATCCTACCAAAAACTGTTTTATCTCTTTGTAGCCATTTGTTTAAACTACATTTACATTTGTCAACATTATCATATACATTTGCTTTGTCTGAAGCGTGTTTGTCTCTTTATACCTAAATATTTCACTTCTTTCTTCACCTTTATTGTTATTAGTGCTGTCATGCGATTAACAAATTTGAGAGATTAATTAATTATGATCTGTAATTAATTAATCTAATTAATCTCATTTTAATCTCACCAAAGAATTGCTGAGAAAAGCCTTCAATTTGAGGTATTTTCATTTAAATTCATTGTTACATTATTGTGGCAGATCAAAAGACTGATATAGAACAAAAAAAAAGTGACTTTATAAAGTCATTTATTGTTTAACAAATCTCTCCAAATTGGCTGTTGAGCCTAAGTCTCCATGAATAAGAAACTGTTTGCTGTAAAGTAGCAAAGACGAGGAAATCTGAACATAATAACTTTTGTCTACTTAAAGACAATAAAAAGTCCAGTCTTTCCTTAACCATATTAAAAATATTATTGATAGAGAAATACTTTATATATGAGTTTAGTCCACTGGTGTTAGTCCTGGTTTAGTCCTGGTTTAGACCTGGTTTTAGTTCTGGTTTAGTCCTGGTTTAGACCTGGTTTAGACCTGGTTTAGACCTGGTTTAGACCTGTTTAGTCCTGGTTTAGTCCTGGACTGGATTAGTCCTGGTTTTAGTCTTGGTGTTAGTTCTGGTTAGAGGCGCACAGGAGGAAGCGCGGTTTACGCAGCGTACGCGAGAAAACACGATCCACACGCGGCTCACGGGAGCACGTCGGTGTCCGCGCAGTAACTACGGAAGGAAACGTGGTCCGCGCGTTCTCAGGTTAATGACAATGATGAAGTGTGTGTTTGTGTGTGTTTGTGTGTGTTTGTGTATAGGACAGTAGTGCAAACATCATGAGCCTATGCAGGTTGTTTTCACCAGTGACATTTAAATTGTAGGCGATATTATATTTGTTATTTTCTTTTATATTTCACGTTGGGAGAATAATTTCCAAGACACGAATGTGTTTTTACCTGTGCACTGCTGCCTCTGTTCTACTGGCTCTTCCACCTCGTCCATTGTGCGACTGACGCCGCCAACGTTAACATGACGTTTACGTCGCTGTTACTGCGCGCGTTTTGTGTGGGTTTCCGGCAATGAGTGGAATTACCGAAATAAAAAAAATGTGTGTGTGTGTGTGTGTGTGTGTGTGTGTGTGTGTGTGTGTGTGTGTGTGTGTGTGTGTGTGTGTGTGTGTGTGTGTGTGTGTGTGTGTGTGTGTGTGTGTGTGTGTGTGTGTGTGTGTGTGTGTGTGTGTGTGTGTTGTTGTTGTCCCAACAACACATAAAAACAGGTTTTATAATAAAGCAACTCGCATACAGAAACAGTAAAGTTAGAATTAAAAATGAGATTAACGCGATAAATATGACTGTAATTAATTAAACGCAATTAACGCGATAATTTGACACCCCTAATTGTTATATAATGATTGCAGTGGATGATCTTTTATCGCAAATAGCTCACATTTGTTCAAATTCAATTGTAGGTCTGAGGCTTTAGAAAAGCTGGTAATGATTTGTAGTGCCAAGGAAATTTGGTGTTCATCTCTTAAGAAGAGGATAGTCATATCGGCTGGCTAGCTGATTAATGATGAATGATTGGCCCATGACATCAATTCCAGCAACATCACTATGTTTTTATTAAAATAGCGAGTATCTCTGGAATTATATAATAAAATGAAACTAGAAAAGCACTCAGAGAGCGCAGACCTCCGCCAAGGACTACCCCCATTTTTTATATAAATTGCGATAAAATCAGTCTTCTGGATCAGATCCGGATCAGCCTTTGGAATATGAAAGAGGATCCCATTGTCCATCCCTGAGTCAAATTTCATGGGGTTTGGTCAATAATTAACCGAGATATTGAGAAAACAAAATTTTTGGCCCCATTTACCACAATGTTAACTAAAATTTCAAAGTGATCCAGAATCCAGGATTTCTTCCGGATCACCCCCAAAATGAAATCAGTTCTTCCTTTTCACATTTCCAACAAATCCTGAAAATTTCATCAAAATCGGTCCATAACTTTTTGAGTTATGTTGCTAACAGACAAACAAACAAAACAGACAAACGCCGGTAAAAACATAACCTCCTTGGCGGAGGTAATAATGTTATTTTACTTCCATGGCCAAACGGAGGAGTCGAGCGCGGAATCACTGCACGCGTATTTCGCACTACGCAAGCGTAAAAGCTGCAACTTTTGGACGCACTTTTGTACTAGAATGCATGGTTGGACTCGACATTAACGGCTGTCCGCTGGCCCGGGGCAACTAAAAGTTTGTCCGGGTAAGTACTCTCCGCTGCCTAGTTGCCCGAGTGGGCAAGTGAAAATAAAGCGACACAAATCTAGTTCCCCAATAATAATAACTATTAATTTGGTTGAAGAACAAAGCGACGGGTTGTCTGATCATAACGCTTTTTTTTTCATTTCCGTGAAAGGAACAGATAAGTCCAGCATTGTTGACTGCCGCGATCGGGCAATTGCCGCTTTTAACTCCGTGAGGTGCGGAGCTGAGCCTGTCCTTTCTCCTGCGCTGTTAATTAGTGCTTTGAAATTAACTTTTGAAATCCTCCCGTTTGCCCTGCAGCCTGTACAGAAGGTAAATAAACGCCTCTTCGGCTGTTAGTTGCATTGTGGATCTGATACAAGTGGCTACACGCTCCCAGTCAAGTTTAGTCCGCTTTCCCATTGAGAAACACAGAGCCAGTGCCAGGCGCATACGCCTCGCGTTGGCGCGTGGCTGTGGTACAAGCAGTGGAGCCAGGGCCTAACCAGCTGAACAGGCTTGTATGTAAATGCGAGGATTTCAAAAGTACATTTCAAAGCACTAATGAACAGTCTTTCTGAACCTGGGCTCTTTCAAACGACACAGAACTGCACCATGAGCACAATGTGTTCTTGGGGCAGTTATGTATGTGCTTTGAAATGTACTTTTGAAATCCTCGCGTTTGCCTTGATCAGCCTGTACAGAGCCTGTTTGATCGGCTTTACCATTGAGAAACAGAGTCGGTGCCGCGCGTATTGGGGTTTCCAACCTTGTTCCTCTGGAGAGCTACCTTCACGAAACGAAAATGTCAGAGTGCTATTAATTTTAGCGGTCACAGGAAATAAAGTATACATAAGCGCCATGGCAAGACTTAGATGGGGTACAGTTAGATAAAACACAAAACATAAACCATTGTTTATCTATGAATGAAATTCAGAAATCTCTTGCCGAGCTACTTGGAAGGGGCTGGAGAGCCACTGGTAGCTCCCGAACTACAGTTAGGAGAATCCGGTTCTAGAACGTCATGATGTCATACTCCCAGATGCGGGGCAAGAGGCAGTTTTTACTACTAATTAATTACATTGTATTTTGCCATGAAATATTGTCAAGGTAAATTGCCAAATATATATGGAATCTAATCATTTCTATTATCAACTACTAGACCCAAGACCATGCTGTGTTACAACAAAAATATGCAGTTGAACAATATATAATATAATATAATTTTAACCCTTCTGTGTTAAATAATATTGGCCTATAGAATGTTGTTGTGACGTCATCTGAAACCTAGTAATATGTCCTGCTGGAGCTGCCCGTGTGGCCTACCTTGAGAATCTCATGCATTTTATGAGTGTAAAAATAATGTAATTACTGGGTTTATATTAAACTTAATCAAGATGTTATATACATTTAAAACTGTAAACTGGGATTTTCATTTTCTTTCTTTTCTAGTTGTAATGGCATCCTCCAATGATGAGTTTGAACACGTGAAAGCAGTTGTCTTGTCATGTCATGAGGTCACATCTGCAGAGGAAAAGATAAAAATTTATGACACTTGGGCCAAGAACTTCGACCAGGTAGAACCACACAGTAATTAATGCCTGATAGCTCAAACTCCAAAAGTAATAACAATGTAATAATATAGTTTTGTTGCATTAGGATGTGTCAGTGTTGGAGTACACTGCACCAGATTTTGCTGCCAAAACTGTCTCCTCTCATTTCACTGGGGACCGAAACACAGCAATGGTGTTAGATGTGGCTTGTGGTACAGGACTGGTGGCCAAACAGGTATTACATTACAACTGTATTATTTATTAAATATTTGTATCCATAAAGTAGTGACATTAATATTTCAAAATGTATGTTTTCATAAAAGATATTGTAGGCTTTGTTGATGCATTCGTCTCATATAGTGCTTTCCAAATGCTCAAAGTGCAATGATAAAATACTATTGTAGCTCCATCTGCCCTGCGGCAGACTGGCGGAAGCAAGGCTGCCAATCTACTCCAGCAGCCACTCTGACTACCACCAATACTCACGCACACACAACATTTTAACGAGGCAGGGTGGGTAAAGCGCCTCATCAAAGAGCATAACCGTTTTTCCCACTGCCCATTGTAGCACCAGGTATTCCTAGCAGTCTCCCATCCCAGCTGGGAATCATCTGAGGTCTGAGGAGATTGAACTTTGACTCTTGATTACCACTACTACTGTCAGAAAGATGATTGTAAGCCCTCTTAATTGATGCTAATTTTGAGATCAGATGGCTGGATTGACCTTCTTAAAGAACTCCAGAGATGCTATAAAGAATTGTAAACCTCAAAAGGTTAAGTTTGTTGACTTCTTTAATGTAACACAATATTACACTCATCACTGTTTCTTCATTGTTCCATTTTCAGCTGCAGAGTCATGGATTTGGTAATTTTGTGGGCATCGATGGCAGTAGGGCCATGCTGGAAATGGCTAAGAACACCACGTTGTACCAGGACCTGAAGCTGTGCATGCTGGGAAGTCAACCTTTACCTTTTGAGCATGGTAATAGTCCCGCTGTAAGTAACTCAGTTCTTTTTTTAAAATGTAATTTGGTTTATTGGGATTATAAATTGAAATTATTTCAAATATTTAAGGCCTCCACACGCTACGGGATTTTTTGGTCTTAAACGATTTTTTTTTTTAAAAAGCACACACCACAGACACAAGGAGAATGTTATGTGATTTTAAATCTGCAATTGCAAAGGCTGCTGTGGGATATGGCTGCAGACCACACACTAAATTGTGAGTGCACCTCGCATCAGCTGTTTACTGTCTAGAGTAAAATGACTCGCTTTGAGATTCCTAAGTGTTCAAAAGATCAGAGCAGTGCACATGTAGTTTAGATGAAAGACAAAACTGTGTTATTATTTTTTGTGAAATGTGGTGCAGTACTTCAGATACACGATTTTTAATGCAACCACGGTTGGCTATAAAGTACACAGGAAGTAGAGTCACTATCGCTAATCTGCAGCTTCACCTTGTGGATGTAAACAGACATGTGTGAGGAGCTATTCTTGCCTTTTTACGCTACAAACTGGATTAACAGCGCTGTTTTGTGGACTGGGTGTCATTACTTTGTCATTATTATGACAAATTCTGTAGATAATGTCGATGAGATGCTACTGAGATATTCTGCAGTTTAAATTGATAACTTTATGAAAGGCAAGTAATAATTATTGTCACTACTTTTCAGTTACTTTTTTGTATCTTGCACCTCCTGTATTCATCACTTCAACTGCCCCTGATGCCCTGTTTTATTGGCTGTTACTGTAATGTTGCTGATGCTGTAGCTCAGAGTCACACTGACACCACACACTAGCACAGTGGCTTCAAAATTGCACACAGAGACACAAAGACTGGTCATGTCTTCCTGAACTCGGGGAGAAGCCAAACGCTTGCAAGAGAGCAAATTCTTGTGTAGTGTGTGACGGCCTTTACTGCTGTAGGAGAACTGTAGGAGAACCGTTACTTCCACAGATCGCACTATTGCCTATTTACATAGTGCCACTTTTCTTTTGCTGCAGGTGTATTTGATGTTGTTGTGATAGTTGGAGCACTCAGTGATGGGAATGTTCCTGCTAAAGTGGTCAGAGAGTTGTGTATGGTGACCAAACCAGGTGAGTTTGATTTTAATTCAAATTATTTTTGCAATGTGTCATTGGTGTAGCACTAATAGCATTATTAGTGGTTAAAGGATTGGATATAAAAAAGATTGATTAGATGCAAGAGTAATGGAATAAATAAGATCGGAGTTTTTTTTCACTTTTGTAGGTCAAACACTGAGAGTTTATTGAATATTCAACTTTGTGAAATTTTTATCATGTAGTACGTTACTTATTCTGCTCTTAACTCTATGCATCTATCCAGGAGGCTACACCTGTATGACAACTAGAAGCAATAAAGACAATCTTGTGTACAAGGCTAGTTTGGAGCAGGAGCTGGGGACTCTCGAGGAGCAGGGTTTGTGGAGGCGTGTCCAAGTGCTGTCTGTGGACCAGTGGGAGCGCGCCGTGTCCCATCACGAAGAGGGCTACATTCCTGGAGTCGTCTACCTCTATCAGAGACTATAAAGAACAGTTAGAGTAATATACTACATTGTTTAAGAGACATCATGTTCATATAAGATGCAGGTTAGAGTTGTGGGCTGCTGTGTCCATGGGATGGTAGCACAATGTCTGTTTATCTTAATAACATATCAAATATCATAAAATCCAATGGTCCAGAATTCAGCAGCCTCTATCATCACCAGAATACCCCTCCTTCCATCACATCATCCCTGTCCTTCAGCACCTGCACTGGCTCTCTATTCAGGGCTTAAATGCTTTCAAGGCCATTCACAATCTTGCTCCTCCTTACCTCTCCAATTTGCTCCACACCTCCATCTACTCTTGCTCCCTCCACACCTCCTCTTTAGCTCTTTTTCCCTTGCCCACCTTGTCACCATGGGGGGCAGAGCTTTCAGCTGCTCTGCTTCTCATCCCTGGAATCACTGAAGTATAATAAGATCTTATTATGGATCCATCCCTCGAACTCCCTTCCACCTAACCTCTGCAACACTGACTCTCTTCACCAGTCATTTCCAACTTTTTTTTGTCTTCAATACCCACTAAGCGTGGTGCCACACTATTAATGGTACCAGTGTTTCTTTAGCAAAAATAAATCTGTTAGTACATCGCCAATTATTACTACTGTATTTTCTTGTTTTATAAAAAAAAAAATTTACCAACATTATCCAACAAAAATATTCCTAAGGATGCAGAAAGAATATTTTACATTTAAATGCCATTCATTGCCACCTTTCCTATATACCTGGTTGGGAAACACTGCGCTATACAACCCACTCCAAATGGTTTAATTCCCTCAAAGTATTCCCTGTGAAAGGTCTTTTGTCATATTTGCTGCTCCATATGGTGTAAAAAGGCTGTTACATTTCATATGTCCATACCTAGCTATGTGTTACCTTTTGTGTTTTTAGGTCTTTCAAGCCTTTGTAAAGTGCCCTTGAGTGTGCTGGTGTTGTTAAATAAAGTGATTTCATATGTCCATACCTAGCTATGTGTTACCTTTTGTGTTTTTAGGTCTTTTAAGCCTTTGTAAAGTGCCCTTGAGTGTGCTGGTGTTGTTAAATAAAGTGAATTCTTTTTATTAGCCTCTAAAATATTTTACGCAAAGATGACATCTGTGAGAACACTAGTTTTGCTATTGTCCCAGCCTGTTCTCATTGCCCACTGAATTGCATTAAACTTAGATTGCGTGTGTCACTCTATCTTGCTGTCTTTGCTAGTAGGAGGAGAGAGTTTAAATAGACAGCTAGTTGTGCTACATTTTAAACCTAGACAGTAAAATTTTTTTAGCCTATCTACTGAGTATTTAAAGGTTTTTAGAAGAAGCGATGCAGGCAATCCATGAGCTTTGCAGATGTTCCACAGTCCAGGAGAAGTTGTCCTTTTATGACACCTGGGCACCTACATATGATCAGATAAGCATATTTTATCATGTAATACGTTAATGTTTTGGTAGAATACTGGAGTAAATTCACGTAGTTCTAAATGATTTGTAGGATCTTGCAGCTTTTGGCTATGGTGCGCCTGCACTGGCTGCACTTACTGTGTCTGGGCACTTCAGTGGTGATCGAGCTGTAGCAAAAATTTTGGACATGGCGTGTGGTACTGAGGCAGTAGTCAGACAGGTAAACATGAAAAAATGTGGCTGTCTTACTATGAAACTTATTAGTGTTTCAAATTAAGGTATGAACAGGCCTATTGCATTGTGTATATAATGATAATAAAATGGTATTTATAGCCTATTGTTGTGGAAAAAAATTATGTAGATCTTGATGATAAATAACTGATCCGTTTGCGAAGCCCAGTGAGTTTTTGAAATACAAAGGTTTATTGTTCTTGTTACAGCAGATATGGACAGGGCATAGGCCTGCCCTGACTCTCCTTACCAGCAGTATGCCTCTCCCACCTTAGACCTTCTCTCCATCTCCCGAGCATCTGAGCTCTCAGTTTCTGCTCCAGAGCATTTGAGCCCTGAGTATTTATACAGAAAGTTACATACATATCAAAGCAGAGTGACTTTTGTTTCACATGCAGACATTTGAAGACAGCTAAGACAACAAAGGGCTTCCTGAGGGTGGGGATAGTTGTGTCTGCTGAGCCTTTACATATTTTAATGACTGGTCTGGTCTAAGGGAGAAATCATATTCCTTTACACAAAGACAGACTGAGAGAAATCTTTCCACAATATACATTTCCATCACACCTATATCACTTTTCTAAACAACAGTTACAAAGTGCATTACAGTGCCTAAAATACAGTCATTTAGATTTAGCTGATTTGTAAAATCAAGGCAACCCATAGGATTTCCTTATGTTTTTAAATCATTAAACTTTAAAACTTGTAGCCATCCATTTTTTTATTAGATTAAAACTGTGGAAATTTACAAGACTGCAAAAGGAGGGAGACAGAGAATGTCCTAGAAATGCTGCAGCGCCAAATCCAAGACTCTAAATCATTCTAACAGAATGCCATGATCATTTGTGTCAAATATTGCTCTTAAATCTAAGAGGATTAAATGTTTATTCCAACAGTTTAGTAGACTAGTTTATACCTGACAGTTTTGACTGTTTACACTTTTCCTCAGTCAGTGAAAATTGTCAGGTATGAAAAAACAATATGTTGGAATAAATTATGGGAAGACCAAATGAACTTCATTGTACTGGCACATGATTAATATATAGTTATATTTGATAAATATGTGTGGATGTGTGCCAAAAGCTGTTAAGGTATCCATCATTCTATAACAACCTCATTATTTTAACTACAGGTTAGACTTGTGACATTGTGCTGCCATCAGCATAGCAGCACAATGCCTGCGTATATTAAAAATAGAAATGCATTAGATTAGGAAAATATAAGTGGTCTTGATTTTCTTTTCACAATAAGAGAGTTTCTCTGATTTTGCTTGAATTGATGGGCTGCAAAGAGCCAAAGAGACTAGACTGTACAAAGAACTCAAGCTTTGCCTTATCAGAGATGGACCACTGCCTTTCCCTGAGGGTTCGTAATACTTGCTTTCACAGCCATTTACTTATGCTGAGTTTCTTATGCTGAGTTTGTTTAGCTGAGAAAGTTGCAGTGTACCATGTAAGAATACTTTTTTCAGCTTTGATTCAATAACCATGTAATGGGTCTTGAGAGATTTGTTCCCAAGATGTACCCATCTTGACACATAGAACCATGAAAGTAACCAAATGATTTAGCAGTCATTGATATTTTTTAATATATATTTATCTTGCTGCCTCATTCGATGTTGATGATGTATGATGTTCAGTACAGCACTGTCAAACAGATGTGTGATGTCTCCAAACCTGGTCAGTTTTACCTCAATAAGAATTTGCATTTATTGTTGGTGTGCTTCCATACATTGACTTGTGTGTCCTTGGGCGGGTACATTTGCAATAGTTCCACTGTGGGTCTGTGAGAAGTGAAATGAGGTGCAGAACTGGAGGAAGTGTTCTTCCCAAAATAAGAACAACAACTTCCCTGGACGTTGTCTTTATAAGAAAGTGTAATCTGAAATTTATATGGCAAATTAGAATCATGTGGAAATGGATGCTGTTTGTTTTATGGGATTAAACACGCATACATACATTGTTGCCATGATGTCTATAGTGAGTCTATTAATAAACAGAGTAAACTAATGAGCCATAAAACAAATGAAACGTAGGCAAGTTACTGGGCCCAGTGTATGCAAAGTCTTTCTCTTTGTTGCCTACATAACTTATAGTGTTTTATTTTATCTATGTTATTTACACACACACACACACAATCATTTCAGTCTTCTCAATACTGCGTGCATGTGAAAAGTTTTCAGAAGTCTGTGGTTGTGCGTTGCCATGTCCTCCAGATGGCAGTGTACACCATGGTTCTTGTTTGTGTTTGTCTCAAATTAGCAATATTTTAGTGATTATATTTTTTGTCATGAATGCCCCATCACGAAATAATGAGCGTATAAAAACACAATTTGATAATGCAACTATAAGGCTATAAATTAAATATATAGCTACAACACCATACCAGAGATGATTCCTGTTAAAACTGACACCAAAAATGTGTCGACAGCTCTGCATCTCGTATTATCCACTCCCCACTAGGAGGAGCCCTATCAAAGTCAAAGTAGATATAGGCCTATCACGCGAGCAAAAAAGTAATTAGCCTACTTAATTACTTCAATTCATTAATCTGACATCATTTTTACATGATAAAACAATGGGAAAGATTTATACATTAGTGATGAAGATTCACAGCTTTAATTAGGCCTAATTTTTGTTTGTATTTACAGTTAATTGCTGTTACGTTCAACCACTGAACCATGAATATGTAAATACAACTTTATGTATCTTCATTGTTTTCTGAGGAAAAACTCTTACATACTTTATTGCAATTCAAGGTTGTTTGGAAGAGCTAGTTAAACAGTCAAGTTGTTGCCACATTTGAATAAACAAAACTAAAACAAAGTATTTCCTGATGCTGAATTACTGAAACTCTCTTCAATTCCTGTTTAAATACTCTTTGAACGATACACGGACAAACCAGTCTCGGTTAAACCAGTTTGTCCATTAGCTGTTAATAGCCAGCAAGGCAAAAACAAAAAAGATGCATGTTAAAAATAAACTACGTAAAAACTGCATCTGAGTAATCAGATTAGAAGAAAGCAGATTTAAAGTTTGCAGTAATTTGCAACAACAATGTGGAATTTTAAAACATCTTTTTTAAGTAATTTTGAGTAATTACACATTGCCCCTCACAAAATTACTTGTTTTTGGTTAAAATCTTTATTAGGCTAATTTAATATGCATAGGTTATTGTGTAAGATGTCATTGTTTTTGCCATTGTTACTGACATACAGATCATTTAAGTACAATTTCTTTCACTCCTTATTTTTATTGATATAAGATTTCTTTATGTCAAATACAGGCAGACAATTAAACAGGTAACAAATAAGATTTATGACAATCATTCCCCCCACAGTGCTCATCAGACCACCTGAAAAGCACTTTAGTGTGAGACTGAGAATGTTGGTGCTATTGAATTTATAAAATCATACAACATTTTTCACTTTTGTCACAGTTGGAAGGGGTACTCAAACCAGATACTCAAATAAATGTTTGTGATAGTTTATTAAAAATTTAAGTGCTTCCAGTTGGTTCTATACACTGACATTTGATACGAATCTTCACATCTTTTTTTTAGCAGTAGTAAAAGTAGGTTATTGCATTTCTAAAATATAAATCATTTTAATCAAAGTATGTTACTCATCTCAAAGTTTAATGCATATTAAACTGAACTTAAACACGGAATAAAATTCTATTCTGTTCAAACCATAGACCGTATATAGGAGTCTTTGTTTCGATCTAGAGGAGCTGTGCCCAAACTATGGCTTGGGGCCAAATGCGGCTTCTTCTAAACTGGCCCAAATGACCACAAGCATTACATTTAACAGCAAATATAAGTAATTCTACCACTACTACCTCAATAACATCACACTGCATTGTGATACAAACATAAAATTAATATTTAAAGCATTATTAAATGTACGGTGGATGTGTGTTAAATGCCCACTGTATTAAGCACCAGTCTATGTCCCTCTGCTTAGAATATGTTTTTTGATGTTTTCCTCTGTGAAAAAAGTTGGACAAACCTGACCTAGAGCAAATACAAAAATGTAACTTTCAAATCTTTGCTTTGTTGCTGCACAGAAGCAACATTAGACAGTAAAGGAGCTTACAAATTCAGACATTGTCACATTTTGTTTTTGTCCTTCATAAAACTTTAAAAAATAACATTAATGTAAAAAAAATGTAAGTACAATTGTCCAGTGTAAACTAGATAAAATTTAGCAAGTAAAAAAGTCATAAGTATGTTTTGGCTGGATGTGATGATACGTCCTCATTATCACTTTGGGCCAACTCTTCCACCTCCTCTAACTCAGCTCTTTTCAATTGGGACTTTGTTGTTGATGCCTCGCTTACGTCCGATTTGACCGACCCGGGGCGCTTCATTTGGGACTTCGTCGATGGCGCCCAAGACCTCTCCGACTCTCCTGCTATTGGCTGATCATCTTCCACCGGTGGCCTGGTGTACATGACATTGGATCTGTTCATTGGTTGTTCGTAGCTTTGAGCTCTAGACATTGCTCCTACAGGATGGTTTTGCACTGATGGTAGCCTGTAGTGGGACCCTGCTTGACTTCCTCCATTTGAAGATCTGACCACAAGGTATCTCACTGAAGGGTTCTTGTCTGATTCGTGAGACTTGAGTGGGCACACTGTACTTATAAACAAACCTCCTCCCAGCATTAGCAAAATGGCAGACCCCCATCCTATGTACAGGCAAGCCCCAAGTTCTCGTCTCTGGGCATCAATCGCAGCGCTGTAGAACTTCTTCACCACCGCACCAGCTGCCCATGAAGTTGGTATCAAACAAAGCAATCCGGTCGCAATCAAAACCGCTCCAGCTGCAATAGCAACTTTCCCTTTTGTCTCAGGACCTTCTTCATCCAAAAATTTTGTGCATTTGCCTCCAAAAAATGCCAGAATCAACCCGGCACCACCTGTTATGATAGCGAGTACCATTAGTGCCCTGGCAGCCTGGAGATCAGTTGACAGTGCCAGCATGGAATCATAGGGTTTGCATTGGAGCTGTCCTGTGCTCTGGACCACACAATTCATCCAGATGCCCTCCCACACTGTCTGAGATGTGACAATTGTGCTCCCCACAAAAGCAGTCACCCTCCACATTGGAAGCACACATGCAAAAATGATCCCAGTCCATCCGACCAAGCAAAGGACACTCGCGAGCATCTGAATCCCAACTGATGCCATATTGAAATGCGTCAAATTTTTCTCTCTCCTCTGACTCTGTTGCTTCTCACTGCTGTTCACATACCTTAATTTTGTCTATTTACAACATTGTATCTTCCTCAAGGACGGAGAGCTGTCCAGCTATCCTGCAGGTTTTCCCAGCCAAGTTTTTTTTCAATTATTTGTGTCCAGTTTTGTTGTTTCATTCAGATGTCTAAAACCACTTTTCATTTTCCTCTCTTGAGTGGAGTGCAGGTTTCAATTGTGTTACCTGAGCGTATGCTTGTGCTACTGTTCATGTGTTACCAGACCACACCTACTCTATTGAGAGAGAAGGGAGGGAATCTGCCATGGAGACAGGTGCAACCATGACATCACATGATTGTAATGTATTACTTAGCTTTATATGCTTTAAATGTATTTGTTTAGTTTTTTTGTAAAAATAGATTTGCAGATACGCAACTCCTTTATAATTATGTGTCTTCAAATATAAAATATATAAATATTTGATACTCTACATACATACATACAAATACAATCTACATTATATTTAACTTTTTTTTTTTAAATGTACTTAAAGTTAAAAAAAAAAAAAAAAAAAAGCAACATGACTACCCACCCTAATATAATTGTGGTTACCGTATTTTTAAATAAATAGAAGTTTCTGTGTGCTGTCTTTATATGGTGCAACAAGAGTAGAGTTAAGTGGTGAAACTAAATCTCGTGGGACAAAATTGGTTTCATTCTAGTTGCCTGAGTGTGTGTGCAGAAAAACCTGTTTAAAACATGCTCTCCCCACCCACAGTGCCACAGCAGTCTCTAAACACACATTATACACATCACAGGCTGCTTTACAGAGTGAAACCTTTTAGATTAGTTTGAATATCTCTATAGGTCACGTCATCTGGTATCACTGTGCACTGCAGAGTACTTAAGTTTACCACTCTTTTCTTCAAAGAAGACTATGGGATATTTAGTTTTAAAAAAAATAAAATAAAAATAAAGAAATAAAGTATAAAATAAAGTATAAGATTTTAGATTAATTGTGTTCATTGTAAACAACAACATTTAACAAAAACAGCTCAGTAATAGTAATAGCTCCGCTGACTTCCTGTTCAAAAATACAAAACTAAGAAGCCACACCTCTTCATCGTGGAGTATCACTGTATCACACGGGACATTTTCATGTGTGTGTTTTGAACAATGGCAGTGACATTTTTTAACCCTAACATGTATGACCTGAATTCTTTGAATAATGGTGAGTCAGTACAGGAGAGTGGGTGGAGATAGGTGAAAACACTCAAGCCTTAAATGTATACAGGACAATCTACAATTGTACTTTGATACATGAATCCACTTTGATTCATGAATCCTTCAAAATACAACTCTCATGAGTAAACCATTGATGATGGAATGTCATTATAACATTGTTAAAATCATAAACCAACCATTTTACATAATACGTTCTCATAGGATTTACAATATATATATAACTCTGTATTAAGAATAAACCCCAAATTGTGGAGTTGGTTTGGGCAACTGATGATGTAATAAGATGTCAATGCTCTGAAGTACTAAGTTTCTTAAAAGGTGGATCAGATCATAAAAGTGGGGGGGTTTGCGGAGTTGAATATGGTGTACTGATTTTACTTGCTTAAAAATTGTGGACCTATTCCTGTACTCAGATGTTATTCGCCTCTGGAATTATCCATGAAATGGTACCATAAATATAACTGCAATCAAGATTTTAGACTCTAGACTGCAAGTTTTTCAGCATTCAGCAAAGAACTCATGACTCATTTTGAGAGAATAACACACTAAATGTTCAGTGAGCTATGTTTTAAACAGTATAAATGCATTTCATTAAAACATTAAAAAACAAATTACACAGTTGTTGTGTTTATAAAAGTTTAAAGTTTACATAAAGTCAAAAGTCTGTACAATACATAAGGGAACATATAAACATAATAAGTACAAATTTAATATTTATGGGGAAAAAAAACATAATACATGTCTATTCTTCTACGAGCACTATATTTACCACTTGGTATGTATTTGCATAATGCATGATCTGCTAGATTAACACAACTGACATAATGACATCACAAAGCTTATGTGTAAAATACACTGGAAAACTTAAATAAAACGGAAATAACCTTGAGGCATGGTGGATTCACATTTAAATAAAAAACTTATTGTCACTGTTTTTACAGTACAATACTGTAAACTAGTGGCCACAAATCACTTCAGGTTTAACATTTAAAATAGTTAGCGCATTTCACAGTTGTAGCATCTGTCTATTATTATAAGACATTGTTCTACTACACAAACTACATCATATTTTTCAAATGTTATTATATGTACAATTGTAAATTGTCCCTCTTCTGACAGTCTCTTGTCTTACACATAGGCCTTGCTGCTGGCCATGGAGCCCGCTTTGGAGTACTTCACAGGGTACTCCTCACTGGGAGGGCATGAGCTACAGAGGAGACCACCACCCAAAAACAGCAAACCAGCCGCACCCCATCCGATGTACAGAGAAGCCCCGAGCTCCCGCCGCTGAGCATTGGTCATGACTGGGTTGTAGAAGTCCCTAATGATGGTATTGGCGGTCCAGCAGACAGGAATCAACACCATCACTCCTGCCATGATGAACACAATTCCAGATGCGATGGCCACTTTGCACTTCTGCCTCTCGTCTTCTACAAAGTTGGTGCATTTCCCACCAACAACCCCAAGTAGGATGCCGAAGACTCCAATGATGATGGCAATGACAACCATAGCTCTTGCTGCTTGGAGATCTTGAGGTAAAGCGAGCAGGGAATCATAGACTTTACATTGCATTTGACCAGTACTTTGGGTCACGCAGTTCATCCAGAGGCCTTCCCAAATTACCTGAGAAGTTACAATGTTGGCGCCAATAAATGCAGTGACTTTCCATGTGGGTAGAGCACAAATGATGATGCTACCCAAGAAACCGATGATAGCAAGGACCAAGCCTAGCATCTGCCGACCTGTAGACACCATTTTGGTAAGTTTAAGTCTTCAAAAAAGCAGGAAGAAGAACAACAACCAAAAAAAACCAAAAAACTAGCTGTTAAAACTAGTTGTTATGAGGTGGTTAAGGGTGTAGAGTGTTTGACAATGCCCTGTGTGGTGAAGTACTTGTAGTGGAGGAAGGAGGAGGGGCAATAGTTTCTGTGAAAATGCAGAAAAACTTGACTGAGAGGTTCTTTTAAAAAAAAACACAATTGAAACGCATGGTAAATGTTTATTGTAAGAAAAAATCAATTGAATGGTAATCATAGAACTATAAGAGTAAAATAATGTGTTCAGTGGATGAAAAAACAACAACTGATGTTTCTGAAGTTGTGAGTCTGTGATCAAAAGTAGGTCATAGGGTAAGTTCAAAACATTGAGTAAACATGAATTGGTTATTTTGACTAAACTGAGTAAACTCAAAATACATGAAATGATTTTTAAATCCAATAAAAGCTGGTATATCCTCAAAAGTGGGATTTTAAAAATACAATTTTTATTATTGAATTAACCTAGGAAGAAGGAAGAAACTAACACAGTCCCTCATATTGTCTGCCTAAGTTGTATGCAACAAAATGAAACAATAAAATAATCAATCACATTTATTCATGTTTAGAAAATTAATTTTATCTTCTTTTTATAACAAACTTTTCTTCTAATAAGACCAATATTGTACGTCAAATGCACCATGTTAGGTAAATAAGCTATTTAGCCTTTTACAATATTTGTCTTATTAGAAGAAAACACAACCTTTCACACTGACTCATTCTTTTAGTCATGTCTATTCTTTTCATATTTCCATTACATTCTTACTAAGAGAAAAAATAAATTGATTTTCAAACCTTAGTTTCAATCTTTTATGTCTTTTACAATCACAGGAAATTGCCATATTGGGAGATCACAGGTCATTCAAAATGCTCAGAAGTACATGCCATATAAGGACACTTTCCTGTGGCACTCCTAAGCGCCACTTGTGGTTTTGGTGTGTTACTGCAGCTGAGTGAGACTCACCTGAAACTGCATGAGATCACGAGATGAGTTTCAGAAGCCAATAAAAATTGTGATGCTATTTTAATTTGAATAAACAACATTACCATAACATTACAACAACATTCAGACATTCAGCAAAAGAAACACATGGACATGAGCAATAAAAGAAATAGTTTTGTATGATTTTTATGGTGAGTGAAGCTTGTGTACAAAACAATACAGGAATTGTTTTAAATATACCCAAGACATGAGTTGCAAAGTTCAAATTATAGACCAAAGTGTTACAAATTGTATTTGGTAACAATAAAGTGTACTGACAATCTTTAAAATGAAGAAAAAGATGAGCATAAATATAAAAGAGAAAGAAAACATGTTCAAAGTTTGTAAAATAAGATAAAACTATTTATCAATGTAATCGTCATTTTTTTCATTTTGACCATGAATTGTTTGAGTTATGGTTTCAGTAACAACAATGGAAAGACTAGAACTATATTTAACAGGTTCAACAGGTTAAGGTCTTGATATGAAATAAAAAGTCTTGCAAGACATTACAAGTAAGCAGGAGGTGTCATTAGACTAGGATACCTTGTTGTGTACTCCCGAAGCCCCTGGTTGTACAAAGAATTATCTGGATACACATACTTGTTTGGATTTAGGTTTCTATCTGTCCTGTGTGTGCCTGAATGATAAGAATAGGTGTAATGTGAATAATCTGATGAAGGAGGACGAGGTGCATTTTTCTCCCAGCAAACCAAACCAATGAGGAGTGCAGACAGGAGCAGCAGCACAGAGGAGACCAGGCCAATGTAGACAGAGGAGCCAATGTCACGTTTCATGGCCGCGACCACAAGGGGGTCATTGCTGATTAAGGTGGTGATACCAGCCGACCAGCTGACCGAAATAAGACAGAGTACACCAGACAGAGCACACAGAGCCCCACCTAAAATACGGGCCTGAAATAAACAAGATGACGATTACCGTATAGTTATATAGCAGAGGTGGGGGAAGGAAAAAAAGCCATATTTTAGAAGATAAAAGAACTTCTGCAAAAATTTAGGGGGCAGGAGTGCTACTTGGATGTGTAGAGATTTCCTTTTGGTGCTCTTCAATTTAGTTACCAGTCTCAAATACAAAGTTGAAAAAAACTGAGCCTTTATTATATATAAAATAACCTTTATTTGTCCCACAGTTTGAAAATTTCATAGTGGCATGCCAAAGAACAAGCCCATCATTTCACTAAAAAGTAAAAAGATTTTCAATTTGCCAGATGGTGAGCTCATATAATCCTTTTTGAATTATTCTTAACAAAACAAATGAACACTATGAAATCTTGAGACCAAAATGTATACCTTCTTCCTGGTGGGACTGCTCTCATATTGGGTTCGATCAGGGTCCTCTTCTTTGTAGTTCAGCACTCCACCACCAAGTAGCGCCACCATGAAGCCCAGGAAGCCACACATGATTGAGATGAGAGTAAGAGCGCGCCCTGCCTGGAGGTCTGCTGTCAGAGAGGGGGCTGTGTGCTTCTTACACTGCATCTGTCCTGTTGCCTGCACCACACAGTGTTGCCACAGACCATCCCAAACCTACGGCGCATAGCAGGAGGGTCATAGACATACATTCGACAAAGGTTGGGATTAGAACTGCACTGACAGATGCAAAATTGTGAAAAATTTTGGAATTGTGTGAACTAAAAGTGGGGCATTGAGTGTCATTTAGATTTCAAATAGTAGGGTTATGACTTCCTTGACCTTACTGGGACTATTCTAATGAAATAAAGCCAAACAAATATTCATAATTGCTAGCACTGTATTGTCCAATCAGGTATATGTTCTTTATATCTCAGTGGTATTGACTTCAATGTGTAGTTAAATTAGGGTTTTTCAGAAGCGGAGGCACAGTATAGAGTTTCTCACTAACAGATTCAGTCCCAGCTTGTAACAGTGGATAGGCAACACTGTTTTTCTATCCTGGTGCAAGACACTTCACTCATATGCGTGTGTTTTGTGACTCCAGGGGTATACTTGTGGTACAATGATGTAAGCATCAGTCATAGAGAGATAAAGGATGCATTTGTATGTATTTTATTTGGGTAATTTTCTCATTACTACACAAGCATATTTGACTTTACAAGACAATACAGCCCTTGAACAAGTGTAGCGTTGCAGCTTACCAACTGAGCAGTGACAACATTGGCTCCAACGAAGGACATCTCTCTCCACATTGGGAGTACACACGTCAAAATTACTCCCAAAATACCAACGAAGCACAGGGTCAGACCCCATATCTGCCGACCTCGTCCAGGTCCAGCCATGTTCCCTAACACTGCTATGAAATAATGCTACAGTTATCGCTCCACTGACTTCATCTGGGACTTTTTTTTTTTTGCCTGTAACATTTCACGTGAGAGTAGATAAACAAAGACAGGCACTTCTTCACACAACACCTTGGAGTCAAATACTAGTCAAGTCTAGTTCTGCAGGATTTTGTGTAAATTTAAACAACTCCTGTGTATACATCTCCCAACAAAATCAGCCCTATAAACCACCCAACTTAATCTTTAAAATCAGGAGGTGGGTTTAGAGTTTAAAATTGGGTTTGTGTCGATGTTAAATAATGTTTAACACTTCACATTAAAATAATAATGGCATCAATCAACATTTTGGAGATATGTAAAATTGGTGTTTACGTCTCACTATGCAGCAGTAGAATGCAGTCTATTTTTTTACCACCAGATGCCACCAAAACAATTATTACAAATTGAGTCATACAAAGTGTATTTACAAAACATGAATCTGATAACATTATAAAATAAGACAATTAAATTACAAAAAAATTAATCATTCAGTCAAATAGCTATAGTAGCTATAATAACTGATACATTCATTTAAGCTTGCAGCATTATCATTATTATTCATGTATTAGTATATACAACATGTTATGATTTTCAACACATACAGTTAAAAATAAAATAGTTCAGTTTATACATTTTTCAAATGTCAGAGAAACTACTACACAACATGTAAAAGTTGTAACAGACATTTTAAATTCACTTCAATCTCAAATATTAGTGCAGAATTAGAAATATTTCATGTTTTATGTTTTATAAAAAATATATATAAATGCATGTTTTGTGTATTATGTGCATTGTATTTATCCAAGTGGTGGGTACAGTGGTACAGATGTAATTTGTCAAGGAAAGGAGACATTAGTCCAATTTAAGTAAAGTACAAAATCAAAGTGCTAAAAACACCGAAACAAAACTAGAGAAGTCTATTTTGAGCTGCAGGTCATGTGTCAATGTCACACTAACATCCATAGGTGCTACACAGGACACCTCCTCCGATGACCAGCAGTGCTCCAGATGCCCATCCCACGTAAATACATGCACCGAGCTCTCCTTTACGTCCCTCTATGGTCATTGGGTTGTAAAATCCAGTTATAATGTTATGTGCTGACCAGCTTACAGGTATGATACATAGGGCCCCTGCAACAATGAACACAATTCCACCTGATAGCCCAATATTGAGCTTCATTCTTCTGTCATGTCTGTAGAAGTTAGTGCATCTTGCTCCAACCACTGTAAGTCCAATAGCCACCACACTCACCCCTATGGAGGCACAGATGAGGGCCCGGGCCGCCTGCAAAGACTCAGGCAGTGCCAAAATAGAGTCATAAGCCTTACATTGAGCGTGACCCGTGCTTTGGATCACACAGTTCATCCAGATGCCCTCCCAGAACACCTGCGCAGTCACAATGTTGGATCCAATGAAAGCAGACATCTTCCACATGGGCAGTGCACAGATGAGGATAGTGCCAAGAAAGCCGATAATCGACAAAATTATCCCGACAATTTGGGTTTGCATGTTTTCAAGAGCCAAAAATGCATAAATGGAGTTGGCCAAAGGAGCCAAGAGAGTCTAGCGTAAACAGCATTAATGGTGTCACTCTAATGCTGGTATGAGAGCAAAAGGGAGGGGACTATAGTTAGTTTGTAGATCAGGTTTCTTGCTTGTCCTGATTCCTTCTGTGTGTGAAAGAATGGGGGGGAAAGAGAGTGGACAAAAGACTTCATTGTGGATAAATGTCCCCATCAGATTGAATAACAAGTTCTGTATTAGGAAAAAAGTTAAGTTTCTGGAAATCAAAAAAACTTAAACTAGGTTACAAGAAGCTGAGTGAAGGCTCTTGTAACCGTTTAAAGGCAATTTCTTTTAAAGGCCAAGAGCAGCATCTAGTTATGAACAGACTCAGAATGTGTAGTGGCCACTAGGGGGCCACAAAAGGCTGATTTAGATGAGAACTAGTGTGCCAATATATTGCAAGGATGGTCCAGCTACAGCATAAAAAAAAAAAATAAAAATCCTCAAAATGTTTTATGGGCACTTAAAACAGATTCCTCATTTTGCCACTGCCTACCTTCCTATGTTCTTGATTATGGTACTGCATTGCCTAGGTTTTCCCCTCTTTTGTAAAGCTTCAAGGCTAATGCAGAACAAGGAAGCAACAAGGTTACCTGTTAGGCTAGAAATCTTTGCAATATGTGAGCCACAAAGTTGCAGTTTAAGCTCATACTTAAAAGCAAAGTACTCTAGTTGAGTAGAATTTATCTGCAGAGAAAGAACACGAAGTAAAATGACAAGTTTTAATTTATTAAAACAATTTTTAAAAAACATTTAAAAGTTCAGTTTAGTTCTTGGTGTGCAGACTTCTTTGGTGATCAGACATAGGCACCTGCACTGGCTGTTGAGCGAGGAGCAGAGTATTTGACAGAGTACCTGCTGTCCTTTTTTTTGTTGCACTGGCAGCACAGAAGGCTCCCCCCAATCAAAAGCAGCCCGGCAGACCCCCATCCAATGAACAGGGATGCCCCCAGCTCCCTCCTCTGGGCATCGATCATCACAGGGTTGTAGAAGTTGCGGATGATTTCGTTGGCTGACCAGGAGACGGGAATGAGACACAGGATGCCGCCAACAATGAAGAAGACACCAGCAGTAATGACCACTTTGCTTTTGGCTGCCTCATCCTCCACACAGTTGGTGCACTTGCCTCCAGCGACAGAAAGGAGCATGCCCAGGAGCACGACCAGGATGGAGATGACAACCAGAGCGCGGGCAGCCTGGAGATCTTGGGGTAGAGCCAGCATGGAGTCGTAGACCTTGCATTGCATTTGGCCGGTGCTTTGCTTGACACAATTCATCCAGAGGCCCTCCCAGAAGGTCTGAGCAGTGACAATGTTGTTTCCAATGAAAGCTGTTACCTTCCACATGGGCAGAGCACAGATGATGATGTCTCCAATGAAGCCAACAGTAGCCAAAAAGACAGCAAGAATCTGGAGGCCAGCAGATGCCATGGTGTAAAAGGCTTCAAAACGTTTGCCAGAACAAGGAGTGCCAGTCTACAGCACCAGTGAAGAAAAGCGTGCTACAAGGGGTCAGGACTGCTGCTTTTAAACTGGTCAGGTGGGCAGAATGCTAGCTGCTGATTGGTTGGTTTGGAAATTGAAACATTGAGGACACCTGTAGTCATTAAGTGGCAGTGTTGAACTTCCAGGGGTGCATCCTTTTTCTGTTCACTTGCCTCCTCAATTCCTCAGCACTAAATCCTGCCCACTAAGAAGAATGAGCCAGTGGGGAGTGAGGCATGGTATTACCAATTGGCTCTCTCTTCAAACACGATTGACAGCTAAGAAATTGAGGAATTGTGGAAGTATGGGAGCAAGGTAGCAGAAATGAGATGGGGCCTACATAGATCTCAGGGGAATTTGGAATACTTTTATTTACTTTTTTTTTTTTTGGTGCACAAATAACAAATCAATCCCTAACACTGAAATTACACATCTAAAATCATGGAGTAAATAAAACTGTGATTGATTTTTGTTGTAATATTTTGCAGTGAAAGTACAGTTGGAGCAGCCACTGTAGTTATATCTGTCAATTTGTTCTAATCAAGACAAGCACAATCACCTGAGTGGAAGAGTGTGGAGCGCAGTGTCTCAAACTCAAACTGTCCAAATCTGATTCTGAATTATGAACGAGCATTGGCATTGGCATTGTTCAAAAGGTTTATATCATTTAAGTGCATACAATATACACAGTATTTGGACATCCAGGAAAATGTTATGTTCATTGTTTTATTTTACTTTGTTTGGGTTCATTCTTTTCAGACACTTCTGTGCTACACTGAAAAAAAAGGTTGCTGGATTTGCGTGAAAAAGTTATGGAAAGCGGTTGCATGCAATAAAATTATGTTTAGGCTTTGAAACTTATTTCGATTCCCTCTACACATATTTTTCTCAAAACATGAATGTCACTTTTTCATGTTGATGAAATTTGATCAAATCATGTTCAATATGCATCTTATGTTACCTTATTGTGAAATGTATAAGTATGTATAATTAAATTTAATTGATCTAATTCTGTAAAATAATACAAAAACAGTCTTTAGTTTTCTACAGTTCTGTATTGTCTTAACTGAATCAAACATACAAAGAGCACAAGTACAGAGACACACAGTTTGGATCTGGACAGTGTGAAGATTTATTCCAGTGAAGACGCTCTGGTCTCTGCCTGTGAACACAGGAATAAAATGATTACATTATGATGATCTACTCTGTTGTACATGTTTAAATACATTCAAAGTACCTATAATGGACCAGAACAGACTCAGAAGAACATTAGAACTGTATCTGCAGAAACAAAACTCACCATGTGCTGCTTTTCTTCCTCTAAATGCAGTAACAGGGAGGGCATCTGGTATAAAGTCTCCTAGTGCCACATCACCTGTACAAACACGATAACTGTTTCAATAGGAAGTATATTTTGAAAAATTTGTTTAAAATCATTTTAGTTGAGTTACTTACTTTGTTCATCTGTGCTCTGTGTTTTGTTGGTTCTCAAACATCTTCCTTTTTTCTGAAACATCAGCTGTAACATTCATAAACTTCCCCACAGCTACAGCAGTGTGCTGGATGTCACTTTTTGTTTGTAGACGACTCTGGAACAAACACATTGAAATCTGAGTACAACTGTCACACTCCTGTAGATGGACAGTCAAATATAATTTGTTTCATAGAAGCAGTCCTTACATTAACTCTAATTTCAAATAAAACACCACAAACATGTTTTAACAATGACGACATTCTAGGCCAGAGAAGCACATAAAATCTTTAAAAAGTCTCACCTCCAGATCATAATCCTCCTGCTCCACACTGTGTGTCCTCTGCTCCTGGATCTGTCCTGTGTCCTGTTACATTTGAATTTTCCCTCCAAAGGTTTTGGGGAGCATTCCAGAGGGAGGAGCCTCACCAGAGGTTATAATAGAGTCATGTTTCCTCAACCTGATAGAAACGTGCAGGTCTCACATCGGCCAAAATCAAGCGATCTTTGTAAGATTTAAACATGCTGGCCAGAGAAACGTAAAAAAGTCATGTTATTGTTGTCAAATTAGTTTTTGCAATTTGAGCAACCCCTCTTGGACCATTTTTTCAGTGTAGATTTTGGTATTATTTTGATTGTTTCTGTGATTTTAACTTTAAATGGCATTTCTTATCATTAAATGACAAAATTTTGTGTTGCCAAAAACACACATTTTTATATTTTTCCAGTATGATAAATGCAAAGCAGATCATTTTGTGCTGTTTCCTTGCAGCCTGGTAAAGGTCAATTATTGGCACCAACATGAGTTTCTATGCATTTGGTAGATTTTGTGTCATGTGAAATACTCGTTTGGACCTTTATTATGTTCAGCTCTCTTTGGGCTCATTGTTTTCTGCTCTAAATATTGATATATAATATTATTGTAATTTAAAATATTTTAACCCTTTAAATCCCATGATTTTGTTAAATTACACAAATGATGATTTCTTTCCAAAATGTTAAATACAAAGCAGATTATTTTGAGCTCTTTTATTGCAGTCTGGGGCAGGTCAATAATTAGCAGCAGTTTTTGTGCATCGTGATTTTATTTTTATTTTTTTTTGTAATATTAAATAATCACATTTGTATTGTTGAGCATGTAAAATACACTATTGAAACCCATTCAAACTGGAAAACATAAACATGCTAGTGCTGTCATGCAATTTAAAAAATTTAGAGATTAATTAATTATGATCTGTAATTAATTAATCTAATTAATCTCATTTTAATCTCACCTAAAAATTGCTGAGAAAAGCCTTCAACTTGAGGTATTTTCATTTAAATTCATTATTACATTATTGTGGCAGATCAAAAGACTGATATAGAACAAAAAAAGTGACTTTATAAAGTCATTTATTGTTTAACAAATCTCTCCAAATTGGCTGTTGAGCCTAAGTCTCCATGAATAAGAAACTGTTTGCTGTAAAGTAGCAAAGACGAGGAAATCTGAACATAATAACTTTTGTCTACTTAAAAAAACAATAAAAAGTCCAGTCTTTCCTTAACCATATTAAAAATATTATTGATAGAGAAATGCTTTATATATGAGATCACTGGTTTTAGTCCTTGTTTTAGTCCTGGTTTAGACCTGCTTTAGTCCTACTTTAGTCCTAGTTTAGTCCTGGAATGGATTAATCCTGGTTTTAGTCCTGGTGTTAGTTCTGGTTTAGTCCTGGTTTAGACCTGGTTTGGACTGGTTTTAGTTCTGGTTTTAGTTCTGGTTTAGTTCTGGTTTCTGGTTTAAGTTCTGGTTTTAGTTCTGGTTTTAGTTCTTTTAGTCCTGGTTTAGTCCTGGTTTAGTCCTGGTTTTAGTTCTGGTTTTAGTTCTGGTTTTAGTTCTGGTTTAGTCCTGGTTTAGTCCTGGTTTAGTCCTGGTTTAGTCCTCGACTGGATTAGTCCTGGTTTTAGTCTTGGTGTTAGTTCTGGTTTAGAGGCGCACAGGAGGAAGCGCGGTTTACGCAGTGTACGCGAGAAAACACGCGCCACACGCGCAGTAACTACGGAAGGAAACGTGGTCCGCGTGTTCTCAGTCATCTCTGTTGATGACGATGATGAAGGTGTGTGTTTGTGTTTGTGTGTGTTTGTGTTTGTGTGTTTGTGTGCGTGTCCCCTCATGTGGCAGGTCACTATAGGACAGTAGTGCAGACATCATGAGCCTATGCAGGTTGTTTTCACCAGTGACATTTAAGTTGTAGGCGATTTTATATTGTTATTTTCTTTTATATTTCACGTCGGGAGAATAATTTCCAAGACATGAATGTGTTTTTACCTGTGCACTGCTGCCTCTTCTACTGGCTCTATGACCTCGTCCATTGTGACTGACGCCGCCAACGTTACCATAACGTTTCATCGCTCTTACTGCGCACGTTTTGTGGGGGTTTCCGGCAATGAGTGGAATTACCGAAATAAAAAAATGTATAAATGTGTTTTTTTGTGTGTGTTGTTGTCCCAACAACACACACAAAACAGGTTTTATAATAAAGCAACTCGCATACAGAAACAGTAAAGTTAGAGATTAAAAATGAGATTAACGCGATTAAAAAACATAACGCGCTAAATATGACTGTAATTAATCAATCGCAATTAACGCGATAATTTGACACCCCTAAAACATGCATTTTTACATATAAAAGTTTCTAACTGAGCTTCAGACTTTAAAGTGTTAATATTGCTCTCCACCAGAAATGTTCAACATGTCCCGAATAAGGCAAACAAACCAGACTACCAGACTCCCACTGAAATGCATTATAAGGATACATAGATGTTTATTTCAAATGAACTTTTTTGGTGTTTTGTGCCCAAAACTATTCTTTATCATGAACACCTGTCAACGAAGATGATTTAATTCTTTTGTGTGCAGTTTGTGTGCATGCACGTTTGCGCATGTACATTAGAAACATGATCATAAAATAGTCTTTTATGCCCCTTTAGACGGGATCTCTACAGAGGCTGTAGGTGGTGTAACCCTGTTTCTCTGATGTGCTCCACACTCTGACTGCTCCTCTGGGCTGTGTCTGGGATGGACCTGGGCTGCTGTGTGAAGAGCAGCAAACAACAGAGCTGCAGAATAGAAGAAGAACATCTCTTTTTGTACACAATTGACTCAGTGCTCATCCAAGTGATAAAGGACTTGTACTCATTGCCAAGCGCTGGCCAAAAATCTGGTTAAGGCTTAAAAAATATGATTTCTATTTTGGGAGGTTTCCGTAACTTTAATTTGGTTTCATGTGGGGTCTAAAATGTGTATTATCCAGTATTTCCTCATTACACATAGTTCCATATGTAAACTTAGATTAGTTTTTACTATTTCCTTTATGACTAAAAAGTGCTTTTTGAGTTTTTGTTTTGCACAGTAACTGAAAACACATTTTTGTATAGTATCTATTGAACAAAGTTGAATTTAATTCAAATCATAAACATTATATATCGGAATGCTAATTACATTTTTTTAATAAACTAGTAAAATTGACAATGTATGACAATAGCCCATTATTTTGTATTTCTTTCACTCTTTCACTCTCTTTGAAATTTTTGACCCTTCTTTTTAAGTGGTCATAATAAAGCATTGCACAGTCCTTTTGAATGAGGCCCACAGTTGAAGTCTTTCTTGTTGCTTGGGGCCACTGAACCCTGTGTCAGGGTGATAGATGTCTGTGTCTTTGCTGTTTGAGGCCACAACCCACCCAGTGAGTAGGGGCAGCACTGTGCAGCCCATATAAAACATTACCACTTTCTCTACATCCACAAACTGAGAGGACTAACTGCGACCATGCCATCTTTGGGGCTGCAGATTTTGGGCGTCGGTCTGGCTGTTCTGGGATGGATCGGTAATATCCTCATCTGCATGCTGCCTATGTGGAAGGTGTCTGCTTTCATTGGGAACAATATTGTTGTTGCTCAAACTATTTGGGAGGGTTTATGGATGACTTGTGTAGTTCAGAGCACGGGTCAAATGCAGTGCAAAGTTTACGATTCTCTCCTGGCGCTACCTCCAGATCTCCAAGCCGCAAGAGCCATGGTCGTCATCGCCATCCTTTTCTCATTGTTTGGTATATTGCTGTCAGTGGTTGGAGGCAAGTGCACCACATGTATTGGAGACAAAGGGGCAAAAGCACGAGTGGCTATTTCAGCTGGGGTTTTCTTCTTTTTGAGTGGAGCATTGTGCCTGGTGACTGTGTCTTTGCCGGCTAATACCATCATAAAGGACTTCTATAACCCCTTGGTGCCAGACGCTCAGAGGAGAGAGCTGGGGGCATGTCTGTACGTGGGATGGGGCGCATCAGGCCTGCTGCTGATCGGAGGGGCACTGCTCGGCTGCCAGTGCCCCACCAGAGAGGACAGATACAATGGACCTAAGTACTCCCCCAAATCAACCTCACCTGCAAAAGAGTTTGTGTGAAAGAGCTTGAACTGTTGAAAAACATTTCTCAAACTAATTTGATTAACACATTTGGACTTTCAGACTAAATGCAGTTTCATTAGCAGTCAAATGTTGTTGTTTTTTTTTGTTGTTTTTTTCATGTATTCCTGTTGAAAGTGTATTTGTGCATGTTCTATTTCAATTGTCATGTTTGATCTAATAAAAATAGACTAACATTGCTGTTTGCTTGGTTGGTTGTTTTTGTTTTTGTTTATTTTGTTGTTGTTGTTGTTGTTGTTTTGTTTGTTTTTTTGTGGGTTTTTCTTTTTGCTCATATCAATTAAACAAAAGCTATTATGACATAAATCTGTGTTTCTCAAACTATGGGATTGGGATTTAATGTGGGCTAAATTTGGCTAAAGAAGAAGGGACAAGCAAACTTCTACCTTTTTCTTTATGTAAAACTGCTAAATATTAACTCAATAAATATAAAATGTGTTTTGCAGTATAATATAGGGGGAATGGTAGCAATTAGAGAACAAAAATTAGAATTGTTTTACTGTGGTTAATGTTAAATGTGTACATTTGTGTCATAAGCTTGTCTATTTAAAACATATTTTATCAGAGATAAAACTGTATTCTGCATTCCAACTTACTGAGAACCCTTATATTCAATGCAAAATGTACTTATTTGCATCACTTATCATACATCATTGTTTTTTCTCACTATCTGCTGTCATGAGTCTGCAGCCCTGGACACAATAAAACATCTCCACACATTCAGCCTTTTTGTTTCTCCCGTCTGATATTTTAAATCTAACGAGGCCTTTTGTTTTGTCTGTCTGGAGGTTTAAATATGTCAACAAAGCAAAACCACTTTATAAGATTTAGGAGGTTCTTAGTGTCCTGGCTTGGACAGATGTTGCTCCTATTTGCCTCAGTGTAAATAAATTGTCATTCTTTGAGGGGAGATACTGACTCCTTAGCAACAAGCATTCATGGTCCACTGTAGTCTCCAGTCTGGTCCAGTTTAGACCTGATCCTGACTGTAAATTCCAGTTTGAACACAAGAGTGAGGGGGAGTGGTGAGTAGAGCAGGGCAAATACTAGGCAGAGATACACAGGGTCTCCATCAGTGTACTTGAGGGACTCTTGAAGTTTGTAGGAATGTGGATGCTGAGTTAATGAAATAATTCATTCAGTAAATAATGACTACCATACACACACAACCACAGACTGTATATATAAATGGGCATAACTAACCTGCTACCCATCACGTTCCAAATAGGAAGTGAGCGTGGGGAGCGCTTCTGGCTTCATCCAAAAATTGTCACCCCTCTCTCTGTAGCTGCTGCAGTGAGGCTCATTCTTCTGGTCTTAAAATGTTCATTGTTCATGTTAACCAACTTTACATGATCCTGGTGTTTTCATTTAGCTAATTTGTCCGTAAATATATTCCTATTCCTGATGTGGAACTTGGCACCAAATTTGCCCCTGTAACTGTTAGTCTTGTGAGCTTTATTTGACTGGCGCTGAATGCTATGGGTGATGTCAAACTCCTTATTTACACTTCACTTCTTTATACAGTCTATGCACACAACATATGGCCAAGTTACATGTAAAACATACTCTATCCTGAAGTTTTTTTGTTAAAAAAGCTAAGTAGAAAATTAGTAGTAATCATGTTAGAATACATGTGATGGTGATAGCATCTGTAAAATGTATGTAATCATTCATATTGTTAAAACACAAAGAAAATTAAAAAAAAGAAACATGCATACAAGTTATGATTTGTTTTATTAATCACCACAAAACATGAGAAGAATATTTCAAATGTCATTATGTTTCACAATAATAATGATCTGTTATCTGTGATCATTTGCAATCAGTACTGATACATGAGACATTCCTTCCTTGGTTTGGTTTTTAACAAAATCTCACAAACAATAAGAGACAAATTAGAGATATTTGAATTTCAAATAAGGGCACCCAAATCCATATTATATACTGTAAGTGTGGGTAAATTTCTCCAAATTGAGACATTTGTTCTTGTACTGTGATTTATTCAATGTATAAATCTTTGGAAAAATATAACAAAAAAACAAGACATACAGAGAAACTGCAACAGTTAAAAATAAATTGTCCAGTCAAATAGCAAATACTACCCAAGTACTACAAAAGTCATTTTAATCACTTTTTAAGTATATTTCATTTCTTATGAACTCGAATGCATGACATAAAAAACACCCTGAACCTAAATATGTGTATGGATTAAAATTATGCAAATTTTGGCAGATGTTTATCATACTTCTTTCACATATTCAAGTAACATGCATAAAAAGATAAAAACATGGCCGTATAGTTTGAATCTACTTCCGAACAAGTTATTGTTCAGTGATTAGAACATGGTGTGTGCTGGCACCATGGTTCCCCATGTACTGATCCCTCACTCACACATAGTCCGCATTAGAGTTGGAGATGCTCCTCGCCGGGATGAATTTGGCAGGCATGTAGGGTGGACTATCTTTAGGAGGGCAGTTGTTGCAGAGTAGGCCTCCTCCAAGCAATTGCAGTCCAGCCGCACCCCACCCGATATACAATGATGCTCCTAGCTCTCTCCTCTGTGCCGCTGTAAGGATGGGGTTATAAAAGTCCCTTATTACAGCATGGGCCGACCAGGACACCGGAATAATGATCAGAAAAGCAGCAATGATAAAAATCACTCCAGATACGATGCACGTTTTGGCCTTTGACGCTTCCTCCTCAATGCAATTCGTACACTTGCCTCCAACTATTGCCATGAGCACTCCAAAAATCCCAACTATTATTGATATTATCACCATCGCCCGAGCTGCTTGGAGATCCTGAGGTAGCGCTAGCAGTGAGTCATACACCTTACACTGCATCTGGCCAGTGCTTTGGACTACACAGGTCATCCATAAGCCTTCCCAAATGACCTGAGCAGTTACGATGTTAGCTCCAACGAAAGCAGTCACGCGCCACATAGGCATAGCACAGGTGATGATCGTACCTAACCAGCCGATGAACGCAAGCAGAATGCCCAAAATCTGGAGACCCTGAGAAGCCATTGTTACACGCCTCTGGGATGAGACCGTGAAGACTTGAAAGTTCACAGCTTCAAAATGGTCTTTTGGTTTAGCTGATCTTTTAATAAGACTTGGACTGCCTCTGTTTTTGGTTAAGGGTGGGGTTAGAGCACAAAAGATGGAGACCTGATACCAAAAAGCTCCCAGTTTTTTGTTTGGGCTCATTGTTCTCAGTGTGTATAGTTTTTGTTACCTCAAGCAATGCTCAGAGCGGGAACAATGGCCATGGATCCCACCTGTGATCACACAAACAGGGACTAGGCTGTGGGCAAACACTGGACTTTACTGACAGGGTTCATGCATTCAGATGACAATGGTGAAGGAATTTATCTCAAGTCTAAATAGCCATAAGGAACAACTGTATCTAGTTAATGTTTTGTCAATAAATTCATTTGTATTCCCATTTTAAACAAACCCCATCCTTAGTTTGCTGTGTAGATGGTACCAAACACTTTTTTTTTTTATGTTTACCCTAAAGACCGTATATACCCCCATAATATTTTGAATTTATTAATGCTTTAGTCCTTTTTACAATTATATTTTCCTATATTTTATATAAGTCCTTGCCACTGGATTCAAAGCTACAGACTTCAGTTGGTATGATACAAGACATATACTTTCCTAGAATCCTTCACGGCTCTCTACACAAACAGCCACAGTAGTCTTGTGACTCACATTAACCTTGCCTATAGGCAAGGCATGTCTTAAGAGAAACCAGTTTTTCTGCTTCAGCGGTTTAATGTGGTGGCACACCTAAACCAGCAAAACTAGAACAACAAACAATAGATGTCGCTCAAATGCCGTTGAAGGAGATTTTCATTGTACTTATGTCCCTACCTTAATTCATGCCACTGACACATGAAGTTTATTTCTATCTCTTATTTACATTTGGCCAAGTACTTCTTTGGCTATTACTACTATAAGTACTAGCCTTACTTCTAGGCCCTCTTTTTGTGGTTTTCAGATTCTAGAATGTGATGATACTCTTAGATGGCAGCAAGAACCAGTTTTTCCTTCTGATTACATTGTAGTTCACCAAAATTGAAACCAAAAGGTAAAATCACAAATGTTGAACCTGATCATTTCTATTATTGATTAAACCCATGAAGTCACAACAAAAAACAACATTTTTACAATATCCATTTTAGCTTCCCCCCATCTGCATTAAATATAACTGGCCTAGAGAATGTTGTGATGTCATCTGAAAACCAGCAAGTGTATAAAAATGATCAAACAAATCCACTTAAAGCATTTGTAACCAAAATATTTATTTACAGTACAAGAAATTAATCACATATAATGAACACAAATCAAGAGTTATTCAAAATGTGATAAAATGACAGTGAAAAAAAATTTACATATAAAATAATAACATAAACAAACATTAAACATCTTAAATTTTCCCATGTTTAAAAATGATGAAAACATTTCAACAGTTATGATGAAAACACAGACATAAAGTGGCGCATACAAAGCCTTAAATCTCCCAGTAGGTGTGGTTCCTTTGTTGATTGCTCATTTCCAAACCTCTCTCACATGAGGTATTTCTATTTGTTTTACAACACACTGCAGTTGACCATCAATCACACCTGATTAGCACCATTCTGTCCATTTAAACTGCTAAATTATTTACACATAGTCCTTTGATGACACAGGTGCTGATGCATCCGATCTTGCAGCCTTGTACCTTGCCGCGTAGGATCCTTCCTCTTTTTCGGGACATCCACAGCAGAGCAGCCCACCTCCAATCAGCATGAGAGCAGCTGCCCCCCACCCGATGTACAGAGCCGCACCAAGCTCCCTCTTCTGGGCGCTGACCAGCATGGGGTTATAGAAGTCCTGGACAATGGTATGGGCTGTCCAGCAGACAGGAATGAGACACAGGACACCAGCGGCGATGAAAACCACCCCCGCGGCAATGCCAACTTTGGCTTTTGACTGCTTGTCTTCCACACAGTTAGTGCACTGGCCCCCAGCAACAGCAAGTAGAATGCCCAAGATTCCAACCACAATAGAGATAATGGTAAGTGCTCGAGCTGCTTGGAGATCAGAGCTTAAGGCCAGCATAGAATCATAGACCTTACATTGCATTTGACCAGTACTTTGGACCACGCAATTCATCCAGATGCCCTCCCAGATCGTCTGTGAGGTGACAATGTTGCTCCCAATGAAGGCAGTGACTCTCCACATGGGGAGAGCACAAACGATGATAGCGCCAATCCATCCTATGATGCCCAGGGCAGCGCCCAGCATCTGTAGACCTGTGGACACCATGTTTGATTGGAAAAAGCTGGTGTAAAAGTTCTTCAAAAATAGATCTCTGAAGAGTCTTGGTCTTTGCTGGAGTTCGATGAGTTTGTCTTTGAGTGAGGACACACAGGGGCAGGGAGATATGTTGTCCTTTAAAAAAATGGGAGGAGCTAAAAAAAAAGGCCAAACAACAGTTTAACGTCAGTGCGACCTGCTGGTCCAGTCACACCCACAGATGCTCCTCCTGTGGTGTACCTGAGCACAATCCCCCATGTGATCTATGCAAAATGGTAAGACACCATTCTCTCTATACAACTACAAATAGTCTGTATAAATGTAAATAAATAAAATAATAATAAGAATAAGATTTTTTTTTTTTTTATTAATAGACCTAGACTCACAAATACCCAATTGTTTCTTAGCTCCATACGCCTCTTGTTATGAAGGAGCTATACATTTGTAGTATACATCTGATTATTAAATAAATATTTTCCATTAATTCAGTTTTTTTGTTTTTTTTTTGTTGTTTTTTTAATGCAGTTGGTACATTTGTCGGATATGTTGGGAATGCTTTATTCTATAATAGTGTCATACTGTTCCATGTTTACTGTTTTAAATTGAATCAATATGCTGAATCAACTTTGAACAATTCTTAAAATACACAAGTCTATCGAAAAGCTCCTCATTCATTTCTTTAAAAATGTTTCCATTCCTCATCTCAAGTTTCACCATAAGCAGCAGGAAGTGGAGACAAAGGTATTTTAAATGACAAAGACTGTGCCTAAGATGCCACTATGACCAAATATGGGCTTCTGGTTGGGGATGTCACATAATGATGTCATGGGACAGGAACAGGTGTCCGTTCTCATCACGGTCCAGATATTAAGACTTATTTGTTTGTTGACAATGAGTCACTGGTCCTACATACTACTGATGTTGTTAATAGTATCACTGGAACAATTACTTAATCAATTTTGAATATTTAAGAGATACGTTATATTACTAAATAGATATTAAATGCATTCAGGTCATTTGGAGAGCATTGTTGTCATAAATCCATATCCAATGACAGATATGATGACCTCATATAGTATAAAATGAATGGCATGTTGCTGTATGTGGTGGGACATATAGGAACAAACTAGATAATAACTGAAATAATACCATATGATTTTCAGATCATAATGACCAGAGAGGTATGGGAATAACAAAAGGTGTCAAAAAACTAATAATGTCACTTCTGTGTATAAGTTATGTGGTATCAGTGACATTAACTAGTGACCAAACTTACATCTTTGTAACGTTTTAAATAAGTGTGTGCTCTGGATCCCAGGCAACCCAATGACAGACCCTCTGATTCATAATATTTCCAATTAATGTAAATCTTTCCAACTATAGTTCTTGATATTTCACTGAACAGATATGGTTCTCTGTGTGAAGAATTTAAAGTTAAGACAGTTAAAAAGATGGAAAGCCCCAGTGGATTGATATATAATTGATTGGGGACCTCTCTGCCACATTCACAGAAGGCTAATTGTGGCATGAATGAACACAGACTTTGTTCATAAAGTTCAAAGAATAGTATCAGAGGGTCAAATATAACATGGGGACATTTTAGCCCATTTCCGGGAAGGCTGCTAGAGTGTCTGTGTGTGTGGGTGTGTGGGTGTGCGTGTGTCTGTAAGGATTTTGCAACACTTCCTGGAATCAAAGAAAAATCGTCTGAAGTTTAATACGTGTCCATTAGAGGGCAGCAGTTTTTAAACACCATCACACTGTTAGTGCGGCACTTGAGGTGTGCCCTGGATTTGAAGGTTGAAAGAGTTACTGGGACACACACAGATCTTCCCTTTGATACATAGGGCCTAGGAGGTGTGGTGATTGCATATTTAGGTCAAAATGAAGATATAGAATGACAGAAGAGATGATGAAATTTGTTTCCATGGATTTGTTCACCATGATCTAGCTAGTTTGTAATAAGCAACTGAATATCCAGTTATTGGGTGTGTCCAATTTAAACTTTTTTTTTAATCAGTAATCCTAATAAAAACCTTTATCTTGTTTCATATTTCATCAATATAATATAACAACATAACACCATAACAGACCAGGTCCAGTTTTGATTTATCAGTATTGATTTAGTTCATTTTATTTTATTTTTTTAAGTATGTATTTATTTATTTTTTTACCAAAATAACAGTTTGTTCTTTCTTTGATTTGTCTGAATGTAATATTTATTTGTATAGACTTTTTTTAATATACATAAATTTAAATCTTTCCCTCAATGTGGACTATGTGGAGCACAATTAGAAAATGTGATAATGTTTTTGCTATAAACAATATATGGTTGTCTATATATATATATATATATATATATATATATATATAAAATTGGTTTTAAAAAGTAAGAATACAGCTTCATACTTGATTGTGAAAAGGCTCAGTTCAAACAAATTACAAAGGCATACAAATTCAGATACCACAATTAAAGTTCAAAAACACATATCATGTAATTTTACTTTTTTTTTATTTTGTGAACACCATAGAACATGAATAGCTGTCAGCTCATTATGCTTCCCCATATACAACACAGTGCAAAACCAAGAATGTTTACCACCATCTCCCACTCTTCAAACATCCTCAAAACATTGTGTCTATAAATTTCACAGAAGTCATTTTAAACACTCCTCAAAGGACTTCACCAACTGAGTTTTTTTTTTTTTTTTTTAATGACCAGCACCTTCTGTAGACACTGAGCTAATAAACCCTGACAATGGAAATCCCCGTGCAAAGTGAAAAGTCAGTGATGGGTTAATGCACTGAATAGACAAAAGCGATACTGCTGTTCAAACACAGAGAGCAGTTAAACATGGGCAGATCCTGGTTTATGAGGTCAGTAGTATCAGTTACATAGAGACTGGCCTGAATATTAATACAAAATGGAGTACAGAACTATAGAGAATACATTCCTCATAATTTCATTTTAAAGGGATAAAGAAGAAAATTACACATAGATCAGCAAGTTTTGGACTGTCACAATAGCGCTCAACGTTACACAACAGAAAATAAAAAGCAATATAATCGTTTTGAATGCTTTTTGACTGATGAGTGCAAGTTTCAATTCCCCTTTTCTCAAAACAGGAATTAATTTTAGAGATAACAAGCTATGTTCGCAAAATTTGTGTTGTGTAACATTTCCAATTTCTAGGGCATCAGCTTCAACACATATAGAGGCTTACTTTACTATACTATATTGAGTTTCCTGATAGCCTTGAAACCTACTTTCATTGGCCTTCATATCTCGATATCAGTACTTCCACTTTGGAGCCATAATTTTATTTTTTTATGACATCTGGATTTAGGTTACCTCAGGTTTAGCTGCAATTGATCATTTCCCAATCTGATAAACCCTTACTTAATCATTCACACAAAGCAAGTAATGACACAACACATAACAAATGACCGCATTTGATTTTAAATCATGTTAAGAAGCAGTAGCCTGTAGGAAGAACAGCTACAGTATGTACTCACTCCACAGAAGGTCCACACCTCAGAGTAAACAAGGAAAGAGATAATCCTGCACTCACCGAAACTCAATTATCAACGCTTATGTGAGATTAAGTCATCAGCACTCAGGTGTCTGTGAAATCTAATGCCAAAGAAATAGGATTAAAGATATCAACTACAAAGACTACTGGTGCAATGTAAAAATCTATAAGGTTAAAGTACATTTTGTTGCCTCAGTAGGGAAATTTACACGTGGCTTGGTCATATGAAAAAGAGTTATATTATTTTATAGGTATCAAAAAATAATAAATGACACAGGGATTATGGCACAGGCATTTGCATTGGATCACCATTTAATTTTAATAACTGATACTGCAACCAAGAAGTCCCATTGAGCAGGCCCAGTTTTATAATAGTGCAGCACCAATTTGAAATTATTAAATTAAAAGATATGAATAATATTTGTCAATTTAAGGAAGATACCTCATGCAGGCTTTATTTCATTTACTAATTGAACTGTCTGCTACCTGTTAGTCTCCATGGAGAGATGACAGGTTTGCCTGAAATGTTCCATAGCATGGAATTATTTTATCAATCTTGCGTTTATTCAACTACAAGTGGTTTTATTACTTGAAAGATATGTATTCTAAAACTGAGCAGAGTCGTAGTTCCACAGGTGTGGCTTGAAACATAGGCAAAGCTATAACATCTGCATTAAGAGAAAAAGGTACCCGTCACCAAAGAAGTTACATATAGTTCACCTTTAACCTATAGCACATTTACAGAATAACTACAGCATAGTGATTGTGGTGATCCTACTTGTACAGTGTGAACTTGTAGAATATGTACACATCTTTGCCAAGTAAACATTCATGCTGAGTTTAATGAGGCGGCTATAAAAACACAGTCATATCAGTCTCATGGCTACTGTAGCTACTCAAAAAGTAGCTCAAATTGCACCAGTTTACTTGTGTTCTGACAAAAGCAAACAATAGTTGAGAGAAGCACAGTAAAACGTTATTGAACGTGCACTAATAATCAGCTATCTTTATTTATTTCAACTGGGACTTGGGGTTATTTACATCTTATATCTCACAATTATTACAAATAATCACACTTTATGTGGTGTTTTATTATCGCGGTTATTCTTTAGCAAATATGTTGTGATAATATTAGTTGTTCTTGTATTTAAACTGTGTCAGGAAGTGATAAGGCCATGAAGTGCAGCCTGCATAGCTCCTGAATTGTCTTAAATAAAACCACACAGTGACACACAGTACAGAAAAGAAACTCCTTAAAAAGTTTTTCAAACTGACTCATATGTCAGATAACACCAAAAGGTTATCTTAGGCATTTACCATATATTGGATATTTCCGAGAATTGGCCCAATATAATTTCAACCCAAATTACCATACATTTACAATATTTGTTGACTATATATGGCTTTTTCCTTGGCTTTTTCCAGTTTTTTTTTTTCTCTCTCTCCTTTTACATTTTCACATCTTTTCTGATCTATCTTTCCAGCCTGGGTTATCTGTCCTTGCAATTGAATTGCTGACTAGAAAAACTAATAACATTAAAAACAATATATTTTGTATCACTGAGCCTGAACTTTTGTGGACAGCCTAGCCAGTCCATAAAAGTTGTACAGACCTATAAAATATAATTTTAGATTCTCTAGTTTATCATTAACATCATAACCTCACTGCAACATGACCCAGATGAAGGCAGTTTCAATTGTTTTGCCAGCACTTACAAATATATTGAAAAACAGTAGTAACATCAACTTAATTTCACCTTTTACATATAGAAAAAAGCCATGTTTATATGTTGTGGGACGTGCGTGTGGTCACCCATCAACTATAACAAGCTTTTCCTTGGACATTCATTACCTACTGACAGTAATAAAGTAGACACGCCCCGCGCTACCATGGGTAAAGGGTCAACCCATAAAATGTGTCTTTATTTTTTTTAAAAGCACATTGCGCTCCTTCCTTTCTCTCTTTCATACACGGTAGAGCTACAGGTACGACGTGATCTGATTGGATAAATTTATCAAATTATGTCACTCCTCAGGTGGGCTTGACCATTCAGCAATAAAAAAATAGGCAGATAAGGTTGATCGGACAAAAGGAGGTATCAGAGTGACAAGGCACATATGCGATAAAGACGGAAGACTGAAGACAGGACAGCATTTTTGGAGCTACCAGCACAGGACAAGACATCGTGAGATTTTTGAGTCAATTGAATTATATTTTTCTGGACAAACAATGGTGTCTTTAGCTCTTGAAATCGTCGGCGTCACATTGTCCACTTTGGGATGGATTTTGAGTATAGTTTGCTGCTCCCTGCCCATGTGGAGGGTCTCTGCATTCATTGGTGCCAACATTGTGACTGCTCAAGTTTACTGGGAAGGTCTGTGGATGAGCTGTGTTTTCCAGAGCACAGGGCAAATGCAATGTAAAGTATATGACTCCATGCTTGCTCTACCCCAAGACCTCCAAGCCGCCCGGGCCCTTTCTGTAATCTCTATAATCATTGGGGTCCTTGCACTTCTGATCGCAACCGTGGGGGCCAAGTGCACCAACTGTATCCCAGACGAAGGGGTGAAAGCGCGAGTAATGGCTGCTTCAGGAGGGGCCTTCATAACAGCGTCGCTTGCCTTGCTTGTTCCAGTGTCTTGGTCGGCGAATACAATTGTGGTTGAGTTTTACAGTCCCATAATCCCGAATGGGCAGAAGATGGAGATTGGGGTAGCATTGTACCTCGGATGGGCTGCTGCTGCCCTGCTCATGATCGGGGGGTGTATCCTTTGCTGCAGTTGCCCCCCACAAGAGGAAAAGGGATTGAAGTACAGCCTCCCTCCCCAAAGTCGAGTGGCGTATTCGACCGCACCAAGATCAGTGGCTCAGAGCTCATATAACAGGAAGGATTATGTCTGAAGAGGAGCACTTTAATATACGATGAAAAATGCGCCAGACAAATTATGGCCAACTTTCTCTCATTGGTGGTCATAATAAGAAGTTCCAAACTACAACTATCGCTCACTTTTTGGATCAGAATATGCTTCACTTGTTCCCCAGTGTAGGACCCTAATGACTGCAGTCCATGGAAGACCATAAGAGCTGCGGTTTCAGAGATCTTCTGACCTATTTTTGTCTATAATCCAAACTTCAACTACTTGAGGAGAAAATTTTTGTGTGTGTGTTATATCATGGACACCTGCGATTCACCATGGTCACAGTGATCATATGATACACCTGACTGATCAGCTGTGATGCTTTCAAATGTCTTAGTGAAAAAGAAAAGACAGTGACTGTTTACATTTGCCACTGGTTCAAAGCTTCAGCAGTAGCAAAGATCAGTTTTGGTAAGATACATTTGAAAGACTTTGCTTTGGGACACTGTTCCAGATTTATATTTATTATATACTGATCACTGTATATGGCAAATTATAAATGTATTTTAATATACTTTTTTTGTCGGTAAAGCTATGCCATATTCAATTGTTGACTTCCTATGCTGTCTTCTTTCCTAGTCCCGTGACAAGGATTACAAAGTCCAAACTGGGTCACACATTAGCAATATTATACAACTTTGTGAAAGGGGGTCCAATAAGAAATGAAATGGCTGACTTGTACACATAAGAAAGAACTAAAGTAAATGCATTACCTGTTTTGGCTTAAAAGTAATATTTGTATGTAATGTAAATATGTCATTTTCTGTTTGATTGCATTTTGTCTTATATTATAATAAAACCTTTTTTACTTTATAACCTTATCTTGTAATTACTCAATACTAAACCACTCTGTTATCCAGTACATGTCAGTAGATTAGATAAGCACTGCGCAGTTTCTGTCAAAATGCACTGGCTACAGTCTACACACCCTGATACTGGCGCTCTACTGTTTTGAATAAAGGCAAATCGTCAAGGACTTTTTTTTTTTTTTTTAATATAAACTAAATAGAGTGTGTGTGTACAAGTAGACAGGGCCAGTGGTTTATCAGATAAGTTTGGGTCAAAACTATCTTGGGTGGCCTGCACTATGGTTTTGTATAAAAGCACACTGCAGGCTTAGAGAGCTGTTTTCATGAACTGGTCCTGGTTAAATAAGTACCCCTGAAAGTGGAAATTATTCGGTCTTAAATGCCAGTAGAGGGGGCGTTCATTCTGCAACGCTGAAAAAAACATACAGATTCAAAGTTGAGATGCAAAATGAATCATTCATATAAGAGTGATGAAAATGTATGGACTTTAAAAACATGGAGGAGCACTTCCTGGATTACTGATACATGTAGAGATTTTCATTGCTAAAAGGCTCCATCAGGAAAATTACATATTGCACATTTAATAAACATTAGCAAATAATAACATTAATGGGTGAAAGCTGAAAAGGGTGATTTATCAAAAATAGTGAAGCTGTTAAGGATCAAAAAAGTGCCCAATTGTTCATTCTGAAATGAAACTTCGCAGGATTATTAACATCCCTAGGACCAACTCTTCTGGATATGGAACCAAGCGCTGGGTTAAACCATATGTCTGATAGAGACATTAATAACCCAAAAGCCTATACAAAGAAGGTGATGTGTCTTGCCCAACAGCACTATTTACAATGACAATATACAATGTTGCACGATAGTGGTAGAACTACGAACAAGTGGGAGAAAATATATACGTCTCTTTTCTCAAGAAAATATTTATACTTAATGTTTGTTTTTCTCCTCAGAGTTATGTGGCTAATGTTACAATGAAATAACAGTTGACTCTATTCTTATTCAAAGGCTCAGTTGGCAGAGGCACTAGCCCAGGTTGGTAGTTTGAACCCTATATTTTGTGTTCTTGGGCAAGACACTTCACCTCCATTGCTGTCTTTGTCTGCATACAGTAAGAATGAGCATATGCATATTATGTATGAAATGTGAAGTGCACTTCAAGAGAAAAAACAGGATAGAAAAGTGATGTATTTATCAGCACAACCATCTAGCCAAAATGCACCATGCTTGATAGATTTTGTACTTTTACTGCCATTTCCTAAAGTCCTCTCCTGCTTCAGAAATGATGTATTTGAGGTGAGTTGGTGTCTGTTTTATGGTGAAAATCACAGCTCTTCAAATAGGACGAGTTTACATGAATGTTTCTCCTAAAAAACAAATAATGTTTTGACTACAGGCACATAAACCACCTACTCCACTTCCCTGACATGTTTACTCAGCATTGAAACTTGAATTTTGGATACGTCACAGTATTTTTGATGAACATAGTGAAGTTTTCGGCTGCAGCTAAAAGAGCAGGACTTGAGGACAATACTGTACAAGTTAAGGTCTAAAATGTAGAATGTAGAAATAAATCGATCAGTAAATGTGTGTCTCAGCAAATCTGTGTCATCCTCCAAAGGGCACCATGAAAACACCTGACATGTTAGAACTGAATCAGAGAAGTTCACACACTGCCCAGTCTGGATACCTACAAAATAAATAATATTATTTAGTATTGCTTTGTCATTATTGTATTTTAGATACAACCACTCATAGACTCTTTTAACAAACACGGCTGGAGAAATAAAGACATATTATTGAATTGCAAATGATATGGAAATCCAGTTTTTGTTTTTTTTAACTGAAGCTTCCCTGGCTGCACACCAAAACTGAATTTGAACAACTCATATAAATAACAATAATAACAATAAAACTGTTTTTCTCACGGTAGCTCAGACATTTCACAATACAAAAGACAGGACAAACAAACTCAAATAATGAGGAAACAGTAATTTTTGGGTGTTACAGGCTATAAGGAAAAGGTAATCTTTGAGCTGTTTTATGAAGATGTTTAGTGAGTCAGAGTTTCTGATGTGGAAGGGGAAAGAGTTCTAGGGGGTTGGGCCAGCATTGGCAAAGGCTCAGTCCCCCAAGTTCTGATGCTTTGATTTGACTGTGGGAGTGAGGAGGTTTGAGTCAGCTGATCAGAGTCTGCAGGAGGGGCTGGAGGAGGTCAGTGAAGTATGGAGGGGCCAGGTTATAGAGGGCCATAATGTGTGATATCACTTCTGTAAACATTATATCTCCTGTGACATTTATTACCAAAGCACAGTCCTCACTTCTGTGTTTTCTAAAGGTCGATCTCTGATCAGTGTTTGGAGTTAAGCCTCGCTTCCGTGCAGCATTTAATTATCATTATGAAATATGTTATGGCACTTCTAGAGAGACTGTTAATTAATTAATTAATTTTTATTTTTATATATATATATTTTTTGTTATCAAAAATCCAATAAATATGGCTTTGAAAGATAAAATATTTTATTAACTTGGATTTCAACCACAGGGAACCCACACAGCCCTTACATTCTCAAGAAAAATGGTCACATGGCAACCTTAAGGCTTTAGAGTTTAGAAAAAAATAGTCGTTCAATAACTAAGCAAATTAGACTATAAGAAAGGATTATGCAGTATTTATGCAGTCTCATTTTCATGTTGTCCATTTTGCATTTTGTGACTTGCGCAGTACTCAGTTCCAGCGTTAAATTGGACTTAGTTCCATTTCCAGAAATATTAGTCCTGGTGGTGTTAGTAATTGTTTAGTTTGCTTAGTAATTGTTGCAAAGTTTCATGCTCGTACCATAAAAGCAAACTATTTTGGTCCTAAACAGCTCCACTGAAATAGGACTTCTATAACATTGCAATAAATTCTAAAATAAAATCTGACACTTGAAAACAGCTCTATGATGTATTTCAGCATTCAGTTTATGCCTGTTTACAGTGTGTGGACACAGTGAGGTTGTGTTTAAGCTCTTTGTTTTGATTAAGTAAGGATGTGGCCAGTGCTGAAATTCTGATTGAAAATATGGGGCAGTCCTGCATTATCTGAGCTGGGGTACAGCTTTTTATTATCACATAAACATCAGGGAGGCATCTGTGGGTATATGATTGCAAGAACCTGTGTTATATCTGTGCTATACTCTAATGAAGTTACTGCTTAATAGTAATAATGTGTTTGATAATTTATAATATAACCATTTTTATTGTCTTTTCTTTAAAGGCACACATGTGTAACTTAACACAGTCACCTGCTTGCATCTGTTGAGAAGTTATTGCTTTGCCTGAAATGTTCCACAGTATAGCATTAACTCTGGTGACACCATTATCTTAAGTTTCAGATCAGATCTATGGAGAGGTGACCCAATCATAGTGAGAATGCCTGTTTGTTTCTTTGTTTCTTTGTTTTTCTCCTGACATAAAAATTTGTGCACTTTTAATATTTGTCTTCTCTTTTCCAATTGAATAAAGGGAAGTTTTATAATGAACTTACAAACAATTAGTTTCCATTATATTAAGTGACCTTTACTTACAAAAAAGGAACACTTTTAGATTTTCCCCATTATTCTAAAATAATTACTCAGCAGTTTTCGCACTTAACTTCCTTCTTTTGTGTATCTTTGATCATTGTTTGGTCAAAGTCTTGTGCTGATACTTAGATGTTCGATGTCTGTGTACTGAAGGTGTCTCTTACTCATATTTGCTTTAGGTGCAGTTCCTCCAGTTTCTTGGAGCTGTCAGATCATTTTTCCAAAAACAAAATCCCAATTGCTGAAACCAGAGCAACTGAAAGCACAGAGTTTAAACAATGCACAGGAGATCCTATAGGTTGGTATTGTCTTCATGTTTGGACCAATAACATGGCTCCAATGCCACAGGGGGATTACAGTTAACCACTATTCTGAAGGCTCACCATTAGACCACAGGTGGACAGGTGGTCTTTTGCCTCTTTTGATTATGTATTTTCTGTGTTGCAACACTTTTTGTGACTATAAAAAGAAAATTATAATAATAATATTTTTTATGTATAAAATGAATCATCATCAGAATGTACATTATGTTGCAATTTGGAGCTCATTTAAAGGGACATTGTAAATATACTGTGACACACTCAGTTCTTACTTGAGTCATTAGTTTCTATAATGTGTGTAGCACAATAGACTTAAAGCCTGTGTTCTTATTAGTTTAGAAAGGGAGTTATTATCTCAATGGAACCTGCCAATGTCTTAACCTGCATTGATAATAAATACAAGTTCTCGATATATGTTTCATGTGAAAGCTCAGACCCTGCAGAATTCCCTCAGAGGCAGCACTAGAACATATCAATGACTGGCGCTGGTGCTGGGGTTTAGGTAGTGACCATTCAGATCAGAGAGGCATTTCAGGTTTAAATCAATTGGATTTCAGCATGGAAACTGGCAACCCAAATGAGAGACTCATAATGCTTATTCTGATGAGAACCAAAACACCAAATTATAACATAAACAACTGAGCCAACATGTCCATTGTGTTTGTAATTAAAACAAAATCCACAATAAAAGCTGTATATGATCTGAGCATGTGTACCTGGTCTGTAAAATAATATTATTCACGTAGAAGTGCAAATTAGTGGTCCAAGAAATTACTCAACTAACAGAAAGAAAAGTATTAGGTAAAAGTATTGCTCAAGTAAGAGTTATTAAAGTGAATGTAATTGGAAGGACAAAATATTAAATAATACACAAAATCTAATATTTTCAAAGGATAGACACAAACATTTAAAAAACTAAACCATAGCTGAAGGAACAGTGTAAGAAGCATAAATGTTCAAATAATTTCATATAATTTAACATAAAGCTTTTGTCACTTAGTGGCAACATACTATTACTCAAGAAGGAGTAATAGTATGTTACAATTAAAATACAATTTCTTTAAAAAGTTACTCATGAAATCGTAAGTAAGTAAATGCAACTGACTATTACCCTGTGCCATTGCTCCAGACACACACATTACACTCAGAGTGTAGGACACCAAGTGCTTGCGGGGACACCACCAAAAAATCCATCTTGTGAATCCTTGCAAAACTATCCATTCAAAGTGCAGGAGAGGTGAGAAGTCTGTGCCAGAGTGAACAGTATCCCCCAAAATCTCTCTTTCTCTGTCTATCCCTCTCTCCCTCTCTTCCTTCCTTATGTTCTCTCTCCCTCTATCTCTCTTTGTCTCCCTCGGTGTCTGAAGTTTTCACTTTCAAATTCTTAATTAAAGTTCCTTGATTGAGTAAATTCTACTGTGCAATTATTTGTACTTATGTACATTATTTACCAAAGAAATTTGCATATTATTACTTACAAGGATATATACTTGTTCTGTGTTTACAATGTTCAGTTCAGTGTTCAGTCTGCAGTCATTGCACAAATGTTTGTTTATAATAATGGTGGTGGTATTTTATTTTAATTTTTTTACCTTTTTAATAATTTATTATTTTTACTTTCATGTTTGGTGTATTTGTTTTGGAAATAAAGCAAATCACACTGATAAATTCTGAATTATTGTTCATTGTGGTGGGGAACCACAAATCATTTGTTCTTAGGGCACCCAAATGGCTAGCAACCAGTGTTGGGAGTAACGCGTTATAAAAGTAACGAATTACAGTAATGCATTACTTTTTGCTGTAACGCAGTAATGTAAGGCATTACAGGGGAAAAATAGTAATATTTTACTCGGTACAAATGTGAGTAACGCGCGTTACAATGTTTTTGTTTTTTTTTTACCTGGATTGAAGTGGTGGGTTTTTCTTCATACAAATTCGCTAAAATCACCTCGATATCAGCAGCGGTGAAACGCCGGAGATGCTCCTCGTGGACCTTCAGGTGACCGCGGGCGAAAGGACTGACAAAGAACACGCTGTTTAGACCTGGTTTAGTCCTGGTTCAGTCCATATACAGCGCAAAAGTTATTTTGGTGAGAGTAACTTAAAGTAATGCAATAGTAATGTAATGCCTTACATTTTAAATGCAGTAATATTGTAATGTAACAAATTACTTTGAAATGACAGTAATAGGTAATAAATAACGCATTACAGTTTCAAAGTAACTTGCCCAACAGTGCTAGCAACAGTCTTGGTATCACCCACATGTTATTCCCAGATCAACTGTATCTAGATTGTGTTGCATCATAGTCACAAACACTAAATGAGGACGTAGATTTCAGTGTGGTTTGACCCTGGAATCACTGTGGTTTGACACTCATACAGCATGTTCTAGATGTAGTTAGATATTGTAAGTAGGGGCTCATTAGGAGTACCCTTAACATTCAGTGCTTCCTGTTCTTATATTCAATTTCTTTAATTCTATTTTCTATTCTATTTTCTCTTTTCTACTTTTAGTCCTGCCACTTTCAGTTAAATATTTCACATCAGTGTATTGGATTTTTTAATCATTGCAAATCATTAATTAAAATACACCCCACTTTAAACAATATAAAAACATTAAAGATAGACTATCATTCAGCTTGTCGAATTTGCTTACTGACCAAACTCTGCGCCCTTCCTCCACTCACTCTTTTGACTCCTCCCTACCCCCCATCCTCTTCCCTACCTGCTGTTACTCCCTTGAGGTATAAAGCCTTTCTGTTCCTATAGTATCATCTCTTAGACACACACCCGTGAACAGGTGTCTCCACTCCACAAAACCACCTGAGCAAGACAGATTTTCAGAGCCTTTGTCTTTAGAAGAACAAAGCAAAACTTCACCAACATGTCGATGGGAATGGAGATAGTTGGCATTGCGTTGGGTGCCATAGGTTTTATCATGGCTATTGTGACTTGCGCCTTGCCAATGTGGAGGGTGACTGCTTTTATTGGCTCAAACATCGTCACAGCACAGACCATTTGGGAGGGCCTCTGGATGAACTGCGTAGTCCAGAGCACAGGTCAAATGCAGTGCAAAGTGTACGACTCCTTACTGGCGTTACCTCAGGAGCTGCAGGCCTCACGAGCTATGACCATCATTTCCATCATCCTGGGCATCCTTGGCATTTTGATTTCAATTATGGGAGCCAAATGCACCAACTGTATCGAAGACGAAGCCTCCAAAGCCAAAGTCATGATCATATCTGGAATTTTCTTCATTTTGGGAGGAATTCTGGTGTTGATTCCTGTGTCGTGGACGGCCAGTGTGACCATTAGAGATTTCTACAACCCAGTAGTGATAAGTGCTCAGAAGAGGGAGCTGGGACCTTCACTGTACATCGGATGGGGTGCGGCTGCCTTGCTGCTAATTGGAGGAGCCATGTTGTGCACCAGCTGCCCACCAAAAGAGCAGAAGTACAAGCCCCCCAGAATTGCCTACTCTGCCCCCCGGAGCACAGGAGGGTACGACCGCAAAGATTACGTCTAAACCAATGACTGTCGTGTGAATTTTCTTTCATTATTTGCACAAATTTGCTTCTTCTTTGTTGTTGTTGTTGTTGTTTGTTGTTTGTTGTTATGTTGTTGAAATCCCAGGGGAAATCCCTAAAAGAGACTCCGATTTGAAGAGACCTTTGTAAATAGTGAATGTTTTAGTTTTGAATGTAACATATCAAGTGATTACTGCATTGTCTGCTACTTAGCCAATTCACCTTGCATCTAACAAAAGTTTAGCTTTTTTAATGTGTGGTTATGTGGGAGTTCAGGACCAAAAGGGGAATTGTACAGTGTGCCATAAACGTACCCAAATAATTGAAATTCTAATATTGCTACTAATATTTCCAACTATTTCTACTTTGCTTGACATTTGTATACTTGAATTAATCTGAAGGTCCTGTAAAATGAATGGCTGCAGCATCTACACCAGCTGAAAGACCATAATGTATAGGTTCAGAGGTGACTATTCAAAAACCACCTGTCGCTATAATTAGCTTTTAGCCGAATGGTGTCGTCTTTCACTGAAACTGTCAGTTAAATTCAACCCTGCATCTCTGACCAGGAAGTACATCCTCTCACTTTACATGGATTTGCTTTGCCCGATTGTTTAAATATATGTGTGTGTGTGTGTGTGTGTGTATGCGTGTGTGTGTGTGAGTTTGCGTATTATTTGCTTAGTAAGTTTCATCCAAGACTGAAACTGTAGATGGTTGCCTCAGGTGATATCCTCGTCCCTATAATATAATATTTTGAAGTCATTTGAGAAAGTATCATACAAATTGTGCATATTTTTTATTTTTCTATGTTACAATGTTTTAGTTTTATTTTGCTTTTTATAATGTACAAAACTTTTGCCTCTGTGATTGTTAAATGATAATGTGACTGATGTAAGATGTAATATATATGTGTTTTTTTTTTGTACATTGTTTACAAAAATACATGTGCAAATATGTAATATACTGGTGGTCAACATTTCAATAAAATGTAGATATAAAATGATGTCTGTCTTTGATCATGTAGCACTGTTTGCAGTTAAATAAAGGTGCACTGGTTTTACTTCTAAACAGGCTCTGGTATTTATGCTTGAATGTCCATTTTCCAAAAATATCATTCTAAAATTATAGTACTGTGGCATCATTATTAAAAAGAATAAAGTAGTAGTAGCTGTAATCAAATATCTAGGAGTATTGTGTAGGCTATGACATTATACTAGTTTTGCATTTGTTTGTATGTGGTTTACTATAGCCTAACTTTACTCTTTTAGTATATTCATATAGTTTTATTATCCTCTTGACAACAAAGTACCCATTAGAAAACACTAAACACTGAACACAGCAGCTGGGCTTTGTGTGGTGTTCAGGTGTGGCTGGTGTGTTCAGACCACAGGTAAACCAGGTCATACAGAAACACCTGGGGCAAAACAACACCGAAACTCACACAAGACCAAAGGACAGAGAGGTAATGGGTAACTGAGGAGAGGAACAACTATGCCACAAGGAAGTTTGAAAGGTCTGTAAAACTATGAAAAAAGTCATTTGACCTGTAATTCAGTGTATATTTTAGGATACTTCACTATAAAAAACTTCTGCAATTTTGAAATTATTAAAATTATTATTTGATCTTAGTGCCATGAATCAGTTGTAATTTCTCAATAATATATTAATTAGGAAAAATATAGTCTACATCTTATATAGTTTTTAGCAATATATGTGAGATAATTCCTTTTTCATATTTGAGTTGAGCTGAGTTGTGTTGATGTTTCTGTTATAAAAACACACAGAACTGTGCTGAGTTATGAATATTAGAGCAGTGTCAGTGAATGAAGCACAATCACATTTTCAAAACATGCCAACACCACTATGATTAATTAGGTGTGTATAAAACAGAACATACTTTTTGGACTTCTGTGGACTTTTAGTTTAGATGATATTCCTGTCAAAATGAAGAGGGCTTCTTAATTATATAAAATTTCCAAAAGTTTTGGCATCAAACAGCAGCTGGTTTGGACAAAGCTGTCACAGTACTGTTTTTGACAACTGTAGTTTTGACAACAAGGAGACGCTTGCTGTTACTAATGTAAACAACATGGCTTCTTCTGATGGGATTAATTAGCCTGATAGTTACAGATAGTAAACAATAAACACTGACCCTAACAACATAAGAGGAGAGCCATCATTTGTTTGGTTAAAAATATGTTTTAAATATTCATCGTTAACCTAAATTCCTGAACAAGATCATGGCTCAAGATCTGGAGATTGGTAAAATACACCAAATACACAAATTGGTACTGCAAAGTCTGCACAGTAAACAAATATATCAATTACAAGTCATCACAGTTGAACAGATAAAGCATGTCTGGACACTATAACATATTTGAATATATCTGCGGCCTCAATCCATGGCTTTCTAACCATTCAGATCAAATTATTATTAAACCAGCAAAAGTCATGTGAGTGAAACCAGGATTACTAATGATGGGTTAAATGCTGAGAACATATTTACATGTGAGCAACAGTAAAGAGGACATGCTATTATACATATATTATACATATTTAGTATTCAATTATAACATACTTGGAGCATTATTTGACATTTTGTTCATTCTAAATGGCAACACTGATTTAAAACTGCAGTATAATAGAACTGCAGAATTGAGAAGCCCCACTTCTTCAGCATTCAGATTTTTATTTGAATTTTATTTTTATTTTATGAGCTTTTATTTTGAAAAATTGTACAATACAGATCAGTAGGCGGAGATTGGGGATAGATGAAAACAAATATTTACTCAAGCCTCAAATTCAGGACAATGCAGGATTACTCAAACATGGAGGAATTAAAATACAACTTTGTGTAAGACAATGATGAGGGAAGGGCATTATAACATGATTAAAGCTCTTAAAAGCCATTTTTATACATTAGGCTATGGATTATATAGATGGCCTTGAAGAATTCATTCTCTTTGCATCTATTCAAAGCCAGAAATATGCCAATAAATATCCCTCAGGGAACTGGTCCATAATATAAAGCCCATTGTTCCTGCATGGACACAAATGTCAGTGACAGCATTATCTGTGCAAGGGGAGGAAACACGTGGAGTTGACAGGTAGCAGATGTAACAAACATGATGGTGACCCGAACTGCAAAGTCCAACAGTTCATTTGGAGATGCAAGAGGCAGCAACATGACAGGGTTATCGCAGATTTTTCTAACCTCTAATGACAAATGGGTCATAAAGTTGGGTAAAACTGATACAGTATCTGCACCACTGTAGCAGCAAGTGAGCAGAAAATGAGCTGGAGTTGAACAACATAAGTTATAATAGGAAACTCTATTATCCTACTTTTGAATGGAATGCACTATTCTTTTAATGTTTGTTTTCAGCAGCCAGAGAAGCATGCAATAGTGTATTGGGTAGTATTTTTTTTTTTTTTTTTTTTATCAATGAGCAGTAGATTATAGCAGTGTTTCTAAACAGGGGTACAGGGACCCCTGGAGTTACTTGCAACCTACCGCTTCATGACATCACAAGGTGGAAAGACCAATCTGAGCTTTGGAGATGCAGACAAACTAATAATAAAGGATTATTCAAACGTGTCAATAAACAAGAGAATTCTGGGTATGGTTTTGTAGTTTAAAATTCACTACTGTAGTGTCAACATTTGCATAACATAGGAAATTTAGTTTTTATTTTACCCAGTGCATGTCAAAATGCTCAACAACACTTCTTATGATTTTGAGTGAGTTACTCATCCTGAGTGTCTCCTGATAATGTTTTATCAGAGCTTTAAGCCATGAATGATGGCTTAATGAGAAGCCAAGCTGTTCATAATGGTAAATACAGTCCAAAAACATGGAGGGTCTTGTAAAGAGGGAGAAAAACAACTAATTGGACAGATATACTTGCAGTGTGAAATAAAATAGTTGGTGTAATGTAAGGGGCACACTGGGATAGACAGCCTGTTTACCTCATCAGCAAGCTTTTAATAGTTTCCTCCACATGTATTTTTATACTGGTGTAGATAATGTGGCCTTAAATTCAACCTGGCTCAGTACTGTCTTTCTATGCGGCATGCAGACAAGGGTATCCACGGTTCACCACATGGAATTTGGCGGCTCCCTGCTCATCTGAGGTTACAGTAGTTTGACAAATAATGATGGTGTAATTCCTCAAAAACAACATTGTCCACATGACGCAAATGCAGGTTTGGCAGCTCATTTCAGAGAGTGGTTCTTGTGTCCTCAAGCAAAACACATAACCCACCTCGCCTATGGTGTGTGAGTGAGTGGTTTGTGGCCATGTGTCTGTTTATACCCCAGGGAGGCTATGGTAAGTCTTCTAAACTGCAAATTGTTATTCTTATCACATTATCTGACAAAATTCTTGACATTCTTGATTTAGCCCACAAATAAGATGGGATAGCACAATAAACTGTATAGCATCCTGACATATAGATCTCCAAAGCTATAGTTACATTTTGATGATTGAGTTCTTCTACTGTTCCTCTGGGCCATCACCGTGACGACACAACAGAGTTCTTGGTCCCATCTGAACTGTGTCCCATAGCAACCTGACTATTTCCCAGAACAATTAATGCAACGCCAAGGCATGTCTAAGGTGCTTTTGATTAATCATTACTGTACTTCATTCTGGACGGTTTCTAACTTTAAGGGCAGCTCAATTTCTGATGCTCTGTTTAATAATGCCGAGAGTTAGTTTACTTTACTTCAATTACTTCAATAAAACCGGCCTGTTAGTAAAAAGAAAACAAAATAGTGAACATCCAAGTGAATGCCTATCTGATAATAAGGTCATTTTAAGCATTTGAAATTTAAAGTTTGTGACGATAAATTTAAAGCAGCCTCCTTTGGAAATTTATTTCACAATAAAAACTTAAAAAGGCAGCTTCGGTGACTTAACTGAGGCAAATATCACAAAATTGATTGAGCACAGGTTATGCAAGATTATAATGATTAAGATTGTGTCCTGTTTTTTATTAGGCCCATTGTATAACATGCTGGTCCCAGGCAGGCAAAACTATTCTGAGGCCATGAGAAATGTTTCATAAACAAGCTTTAGAAATCCTAAACCAAACCTATGAAGCCACTATTATTGTGTCCTGCAAAAATATAGCCTGCTCAACAATAATATACAAAGACTAGCCTCAATTCGAATGGCATATGGAACCCCAAAGCACTTTGTTTAATCCACATCTGTGTGATAATCAGACACTCACACTTTTTTATGAGCTTAATGTCTCTGTACATAGTCCCGTCAAAGAAAAATTAAACTAAACAAAGAATTTATCAGGATTCAGAAGATAATTACATGACATGCCTTGGACAGATACACAATCCTTTTTCAAAAACGTTCATGGGGGCTTGTGAGACCCTAACTTAACCTAACCTGTTCACAAGTTTGCTTCGGTCAGTGCAACAAGGTATTCATTGTTGTGTAAAACACTGAGATTTTGGGTTTGCGCAACAAGCGATGGTTTTAAATGACCTCCTTGTTAAAAAAATAAATAAATCATAAAAAAATATATATCACCTGTCATACAAGTAGGTCCAAGAGTTTTGCTCAATAAATCAGAATATCTACACTGAGATGACAGGCCTATTTTTGGGAACATGTACAATCTATTCAGCTGCTCAAATGCACCATCTGAAGCCTGGACTGGGGGGCAATGCAGTAGTTGATGTGATGCATACACTACAAATATAAATTTGCATAAATGTTTAACCCAAATCTGGTTAGGCTTTTCTGCAGTAGCCTACACATTCAGAATGCAGCAATACACCCACACACAGACCTGAAAGCGAGATCTCTAGAAGCCTGAACAGTTGTGACCTTCATTCTCTGCCATACAGCGCCTCCTGCTGATGACTCCATTCAGAAAAACCCACACAATGTAATATGTGGATTAGAGATAGCACCACCTGCTGTCCCAAAACACATTATTTAAAACACCCTAAATGTTATGATTTGGCACAATCTTAGAAAATGCACAACAAAAATATAGTTCTCAGACTGTATTTTTCAAATGTCCAATGTTTCATTATGCTGTTTCAAACAGCAAATGTAAAACAAAAACAATAACAAATTTACACTCACACTTTTTCTTTGTCTATCGGATTCCCGATTAAATAAAAAACATTTTCATGACATTGTCTTTATATACACTTTTTTTGCATAGTATGGAAAAGTATAGAGTGTCTCCTTGACTGGCTGACTCTTGTATAAACAATAAATAAAATCAAATAAGAAAATCAAGAATTGCAGTAAAATAGGTCAAAAGAATAGTTAAAACTGAGTGATCACATTATTTTGTATAAAACAGGCTGTTTTGTACTAGAAACCAGTCCACGGGCAATTCTTTCCTCTTTCAGAGCTTTCCACAAGTGGTCCATGTCCCCTGGTTCATTTAAATCTGCTGTTGGCTCTACAAGGTCCCTCCCTAAAGAAAAATAGAGATATAATAGTAATAACAGCACTTTAAAACATATTCAGTTATAATTATCTTTTTTATACATATATATATATATATATATATATACTATATATATATATATATATATATATATATATATATATATATATATATATATATATATATATATATATATATATATATATAGGAGCAGGCCCTGGGCACTCGAGCAATAGAGGCCCAGATCTACCACACCAGACAAGACCCACGGTGTAGACTGTGCAAAGAGGCTCCTGAGACAGTCCAGCACATAACTGCGGGGTGTAAGATGCTGGCAGGGAAAGCATACATGGAGCGACATAACCAAGTGGCGGGCATAGTGTACAGAAACATCTGTGCAGAGTACGGGCTGGAGACCCCAGGATCAAGGTGGGAAACACCTCCAAAGGTTGTGGAGAATGACCGAGCCAAGATCCTGTGGGACTTCCAGATACAGACTGACAGAATGGTGATGGCGAACCAACCAGACATAGTGGTGGTGGATAAGAAACAGAGCAGAGCCGTGGTGGTTGACATCGCAATACCAAGCGATGGTAATATCAGGAAAAAGGAACACGAGAAGCTAGAGAAATACCAGGGGCTCAAGGAAGAGCTGGAGAGAGCCTGGAAAGTAAAGGCATCAGTGGTGCCTGTGGTGATCGGAGCACTCGGGGCTGTAACCCCCAAACTGGAAGAGTGGCTACAACAGATACCGGGAAAAACAACGGACATCTCAGTCCAGAAAAGTGCAGTACTGGGAACAGCAAAGATACTGCGCAGAACTCTCAAGCTCCCAGGCCTCTGGTAGAGGACCCGAGCTCAATGAGGGTGAGAGAGACCTACCACCGTGGAAGGTGAGAAACACATTTTTTTTATTATATATATATATATATATTATATATATATATATATATATATATATTATTTTTTTTTTTTTTTTTTTTTTTTATTAATTAATTTATTTATGCATGCTGTACCTGACAAATGAAACGTCTTGTTGTTGAGCTCCATGACGACTACAGGTGGACGGTTACCATAGGTGACACAGGAGTACTGATTCTGACTGTCCGTGAGGGCCTCAAAATGGAGATACCCTCGGAGCAGAGTATCAGCTGAGGGAAACGAGGCACCTTTATTTGACTTCAAAGACTCCACTATTTGGCCAAAACTGGTGTGGGCCTGTAAATAAGCAGCCTTCAGTGTTACATCACAACAGGCACGAATGACTATAGTTTAGTATAAAGGTCTTATGTTTAATATCTGCAATTACTTGAATTGCTTTTTTTTTTTTCATAATTGATTCAGAAAGTGGTCCCACTACTCAACCTCAAAGAAATGACTTAAACTCATAAGACTAACATGACAAGTCTGTAAAGCCAATCCCCATTTGTAGCATTTAACTTTTAAATCTCCCATAGATATATAGGCCTTTGCCCTCCACCTGAAATGATCATCATCATCACATGCTGTCACATGAATGCAATGTGATTGCTCAACAATAAAGTTGCATTAACATGACATATAAGGGTAAGGGTAAAACTGTACAAAACTCACATGCAGTGTGTTCCTGATCATGAGGCAAAGGGATAGATCCAGTAGTAAATGGTCATTGAAATTATGCAGACCATCTCCCCACTCCTGATATCGATATGGGACTCCACAGTGAGGACAGAATTTATAATAAGTAGAAATATCTGGAAATATAAACATTTGACAGTGTTCTAAGTTACCATAAATAAAAACATACAACACAGATATAGCACTAATACAAAAAAAGCTCCACCTTGAAGAATCCTTGAGTATGTGAGGATCTTGGCCTTGTGGGTGATGAGGACAGGTTGGCTTAGGACGATGGCATCTGTACAGTAAAGGCAGTTTGTTTCGGTGGGCACCAGGTGTTGAGGGTAATCCTTTTCCGCAGGTACAGAGAGATGGTCAGGGAGAAGTGCAGGTAACCTTTTATTCATTAGGAGGTACTGCACCATGCTTCTGATCATTTGAACATCCTTTGGTGGGTAAGTGGCCATGCTCACATGAGTATCCATTTCAGCTACCATTGAATCTAGGGACTCAATAGCTTCCATTGTTTCTATGGGGTCCAATGCTGTATCCTCGACATGGCTCTCAAGATCTGCTTCAGCCCTTTGTTTTGACAGTACATCGGTCCTTTGAAGTGACTGTACTTTTGGTCTTTTAGTTTTTTTATTTCGTGGTTTACTGGGAGTCTGCACCTTATTATTACGAAACAGACCTGGATCAGTTTGGAATAAGTGCCATTTGGCAACATATTTATGAACACAAGTCCTCTTCGTCCTGGAACAAGGACAGTACCACAAATTCTTTTCTTCATTATATGACACAATTATCCTGCGAAGTCGACTGTAAACGGATATATTGGGCTCATAAACTGAAATAAACTTTTTATATGTTGGATTCCCCATCATCAACTGGACAGAAAGTGGCACATTGTTTTGCATGGCTAAAATTTGACGATCAGTACACACTTTTATTTTACTCTTCGCAAACAACTTTTTCTTTGCCATTTCTGTAAGTATACTTTGAGGAAGCAGTGGTGAGGACAGGAAGGACCTGCAGTTTGAAACAGACTGGAGATGTTTGCATTTGTATGACTTGAGCTCACTACGCGCCAGCTCAAGTTTACTTTGACACAAGCTAGAATCACACAAAACGCACTCTACTTCACCCTGCAATTTGATTTGGACATGGAGAGGCCTTGAAACCCCACGGATAATATTGTGGACAGCATACACTCCATTCTGGGGATCTACACACTCACTTTTCAAATGAGAGAAAGCTGAAATGTCCAACTCTTGTAGTGAGTGCTTGCGTTCTATGTGCTTTTTCAGATTTTTCCTATAAAATACTAAATGACATTTGGGGCATTTGAGATGTGTGTTTTTCTTTTCTTTCAAGTTTGGTCTTTTCCATGTGATGTTTTTATAAACCGGTGTGGAGTTGGCCAGCTTCAAACGGTCTTCAGCAGCAGAGGAGGACTGAATAGCAGTGACTGATAAATCTTTACTTTTGCACACTTGCAAGTGCCTCATAAAGTCCATTGTTCTCAGGACAGAGGACTTACAGTAAGGACAGTGATAGTGTGGCACGGAGCGGCAGGTGCGACGACAGCGGTGAATGGTGAAACCTGAAAGACAACAACATGAATTAATGACTGCCATAAATTCACAAACATGTTGAAATGACAGACATACAAACATTACCTTCAAATTTCACTGAATAATTGAAGTGTTTTTTCAGATGTTCTACAACCCTTGACTTTTTGGAGGGCCGGAACATTTTTGTGGAGCAGAATGGACAGTGAATATTGCTGCAGTCAGAACACTTTTCAAGGTCTGGAAGAGAATCACCTCTTTGAACTGTTATATGCACCTGAAGAAAGGAGAGAAATTTGTTTTCAGACAAGACCCACAGTCCAACTCATCCACTCTTTGATATTTTCATAATAAAATGAAGATGAAACTAATTGAAAACTAACTGAAAAAAGAAACATGATTTATATCATCATCATTATGGTAAATTAATAACATATTCTTTGACAAAATGTCATTTTTACTACTTACATTTTCATTTGGTTCTCCATTTTGTCCATCAACAGCGCACACCTGAGGAACACACTTTGGTCTTTCCTTTTGTTCTTTGTTGGCAACTGGTGTGATGTTACTGGGCTCAGTCGTGTCTTCAACAGTTGAGGAGGACTGAACACCAGTCTCTGCTGCATCACCAGTGTCTGCTTTACTTTTGCACAACTGCAAGTGTCTCGTAAAGTCCAGTGTTCTCAGCAGTGTGGATTTACAGTAAGGACAGTGATAGTGTGGTGTTTTTCGGCAATTGCGTCGGCATCGGTGTATGGTGTAACCTGTAAGCAATACAAAAACGTTAACATGTTTTATTTCATTGCCATGAAAGGCAGGTATATTAAATGCTGGTACACATTTTGTTATGTTGTTATAATTATCACCATAATTAATCCTGGTTATTATCACAGGAGCTCACAGGGTAACACATGCATCCAGAGAAGTACCACTACAATAACTGTCTATTTAACAACAACGACAGCCACAATAAGCAACCAAAGACAAACAGTTCAAGTTATAAGATTAAAACATACTGATTTAATAAGCATTACCTTCATAACGCACTGCACGATTGAAGTGTATCTTTAGATGTGTATCTATCTTGGACTTTCCGGTGGGCCGGTACCATTTTGGGGCACAAAAAGGACAGTGAAAATTACTGCAGCAATCAGTACATCTTTTAACTTCTGGAAGGGTATCGCCTCTTTGAATGGTTATATCCATCTTGAGAAAGAAAAGAAGAAATACATTTTCAGACTAACTCCACCTACATCCAGTCCATAGAGTCAAACAAAAGAATTCATACGTAAATAAATATGTTATTCTAATTTTGGGTTGAACTGGCTAAAATTAACTTCGATCAACTTACATTTTTATTTGCTTCATCATTTTCTTTAATGGTAGGGCTCAACTCATGTTTAAGGTGATGAACAAAAACTACACGTTTTTTACTTTTCAAATGGGAGGAGGATGTTATGTCAATTTTTTGCACTTGCTTGCGTTTTTTCAAAATGTCTTGATGTTGAGGTGTTTTTTCTGAGACAAGTGGTAGCTTAGAAGTGTTTTCATTGGCTGAGGGCGACTGTATAGCAGTGTCACTGTTTTTACTATTACACACTTCCAAATGCCTCTTAAAGTCCATTCTTCTCAGAAGTGTGGATTTACAACAAGAACAGTGATAGCGTGGCAAGTCTCGACACAGGTGACAACACCTGTGTATGATGTAACCTGAAAGACAATAACAGAGGAATATGTTTATTTCATTGCACAATAAATATATTGCACAGACCAGACACTAATTTTCATTTTAGATTGTAGCTAAATGTGTCATACCCCCTCTGAAATATTTTTACATACATTATTCCTACAACAGCAGATTGCCAATGGTTACAGGATACAGCCCTGGCTCTGTTTAGGCCACTTCTTCAGACTGAAATTAAAATATCCCAGCGTGCTATGCTCCCTCACAGATATAGGTAAAGAGTTCCAGGCTCTTGCTGCTTTGACCCAGAATTCACATGACTGTTGTTTGATATCATGTTTAATTTAATTGCAGATATTACCTCCATGTTGTATTGATATACTGTGTTTCTTTAGATGTATCAAAACTTTTGACTTTGTGTTGGGCAGAAACCATTTGGGGGAGCAGAAGGAACAGTGGAAATATTGGCAGCAGTCAGTACACCGTTAGAAGTCTGGAAGGTAGTTGCCTCTTTGAATTGTGATATCCACCTTGAGAAAGAAAAGATGGAGTCAAATGCAATCAAACCTTGTTTTACTTTAACTAGGGTGACCATATTTCCGTTTGTGAAAACCCGGACACCTTGGGGAAGGGGGGGGTCTCACCGTTTCGTCTAAACCACAGGTGTCAAACATAAGGCCCGGGGGCCAGATCCGGCCCTCCAAGACCTTTAATGTGGCCCTTGGGTGATTTTCTACTAAAATATTTTAATTATATTTTCTATTAAAATATTTGTAATTTTCTGCAGGGCTTAGCATAGCAGCATCTCCAGCGTCTCTGTACGTGGCCCCTCCCACCAGAGCAGCACAAATGAAGACTTGTCTCTGTCCAAACGCTCTTAAAGGACAATCGTTTTGACTGTTGACCGTGACACCCTCATCAGCAAAATGTCAAAAATGAGAAAAGTGGACATTGAGTGCAGGATTTTCCAAGAAAAATTGATTTATTCCTGTTTGCATACAAGTTATTGTTAAAACATTGTGTTGAAATTGAATTTTTCTTCAAGTTTCAGGTTGTTCATAATATTATAATAAGAAAGAGTTCATCAATTAAAAAAGATTTCTGTAATAGATTTGCGTTTTTCTGCACAAATATTTGAAGTTATTGTTATTTTTGGGGTATATATGACATGAGTTTTCTGATCCGGCCCCTTTGGGATCAAAGTAGGTTGGATACGGCCCCCGGACCAAAATGAGTTTGACACCCCTGGTCTAAACCAAGACTAATCTTGGACTTGAGAGAGAACGCCGTTTCATCACGTGATCACGATGATGCGCGAATTTCAGGTGGAGGGCAGGAAGTGAAGACAAACACGACAAACATGGCTCTGGAGAACACAGATATGGAGAAGAGTTCTTATTGTAAGGATTTAGAGCCAGTAGCAAGGAAAAAGTACGAGCAGTTAGTTGACAAATATACTGGGCATGACCCCATCTTATTGAAAATGAGAGAATTTTCAACCGAAGAAAAAGATTTGCCGACAATCGAGGCAGAGGATATCATGAACTATTTAGCTCTTCAGACATCTTTCTACACCAGACAACAGATGAAGGCGTACAAAAGTTTGGAGGCATATAACTTTTTTGTCAGTGGATGGGTCCTCAACCTTGGTGCAAAACGCCTAAATGATGATTATCGTTTGGTCTTCGCCGGGGTGAGTGTTTCTCTTATTTTATGTATACAGACTGTTATGGGAAAAACTGCAGTGTATCGGCAATAACCAGTCTATCTGGGTAACAGGTTTGTAATCCACTTTTTATGGCGTTTTTCTGTCAGCTTTTCCCATTTTTGACCTTTGTGGACGACTATATTCGGTACTCTAAAAAAATCGCTTTTCCTTCTCTCGGTTAGAACAATTGGCACAGCCGTAAACTACACAACACATCGACATTTTCCTCCAGTCAGTTCACTTCCTGCCCTCCATCTGATTTTGCGTGTTGACAAACGTAGCCCTGTGACGTCACGTGAAACCCAGCTATTCGCGCGTCTTCGTGATCACGTGACTGAAACCCTCCTATTGCAGCGTGAGGTCCTTTCTCTTCCAAGCCCTTTCCGACGGTGAGTCCTGTTTCAGTTCTGGTTTAGTCCTGGTTTAGTCCTTGTTCAATAGTGGGTTAGTCCTCCTCTTCAGTCCTGGAATCAGTCCTAGGTTAGTCCTGGTTTGGTCTTGGTTCAGTCCATGGCGAAGGCAGCGCAAAAGTTTGATATAATCTCCGGTTAACGGGCGGGTGCGGTGTTGTATTGGGTATCATTCGTTCATTCGTTTTTCAATATAAAATCAAAAATAAGAAAACGAAAAAACAACAGTTTTCTTCATTATTTGTCTCCAAAACCAAAATAAAAAAACGGATAACAATTTGTTTTTTCAGTTTTCGATTTTGTGTTTAAATGAAGAATGGAAAAAACGGATAACGACCGTTTCCCGTTTACGTGACTTCCGTGACTGCGATGCCGGACTTTTGCACCGCGTACGGACTGAACCAGGACTGATCCAGGTCCGGGACCAGACCGGGACCAGACCAGGACCAGTGGACCACTGTTTGTGTCTCACTCCTTCTGAGTCACAGAGAACTACGAGAGACGCTCAGTTTAATGAACGGTACTGAAAACCCGGACATTTGCATCACTTTATAGAAAAAAACAAAAACGGACGCCCAGGACAGGACGCAAAATACGGACATATCCGGGGAAAAACGGACGTTTGGTCACCCTACTTTAACAATCAAACCTCAGTTCATATTATGATAGGTGATAGGCATATATATATATATATATATATATATATATATATATATATATATATATATATATATATATATATTCTACCCTGTTAAAAAGATATTTTGATTTTATTATCTAAAAGCATTTTAATAAACTGAAAATAAGTAAGTGCGATTTAGCTTTTAGTAATACTGAATAGTTTCAACAGCAAGTTGCTGGTACACACTGCACCGACTTTACAAGCCTACACAGCTTTTAACTGAGATGAATAATATTTATATTGACGCGGCAATGTAAAGGACTGGCCTATATTACTGCCTTATAATAAAATAACACTGCTTTTGGTTTTAAAGCTGATAACAGAAAAGGCTAACATTAGAATAGCTAGCACTCCAGCATCTTCAGGAATCCCATAAACTGAAGCTCATTTTGTCATATGATTACTAGTTTAAATACAAGATCCATCGTTAGTTCAGGGAGAGGATAACATATGTTCATGGAGAGGATGAAATATGTTTAACTAAATCAAGAACAGATGTTAGACTTTGCTAAATGAGAGGCTTCATCACTTACGTCCCTTGCCCATGGATATGATGGATATGCGCATGCGCAGCTGTGTTGCGCTTCAGCTTCTTCTTCGTCTGTCTATGGTGGAGCGCAGCTACTATTTCGCGCACATATCGCTCCCTACTGATCAGGAGTCATTGATGGCCCTTTACAGTTCTACCATAGACCGTACCGAGTCCCACACATGGATCTATTAAAATAACACACACAGCGTCCCACAGCGTTACTTTAATCCACAGGTTCATCCCATATAATAGAACTGTACCAAGCTTTTGTACACCCAACACTACTCCTTTTAAACAAAGACTTATGAGTGAGAAGGATAATTTTAAATGAAACTCTCAGTGTGATACATTCGTGTGTATCATATACATATAATTCATGATTAATAACAATAACTGAATAATAATTGAATGTCTGTATACTCCAGCAGGTTAGGTGGCAGTAATGTACCTAAAACAAACAAAAAAAACAAAAAAAGAAGATTCCCTTGCGTCTGACGTCCTGACGCACATCAGCTGTTGACAGAGGCGACCTCCAGCTCCAGCTCTCCAGTGGCGTGGTGCCCCTGTCTACTGCCCTGTCCCGTCCCTGTGTTTTAGGTGGAGGATTCTTAAGCACATGCCGTTTATCGAGCGCTGTTCTCGCGATCTGATGTTGCCATGAGTGCCCTGTGTCGGCTCGTCCAGAGGGGGCTTCTGTGCAGCGGCTGGTCGTGTCGTTTTCCTCCCGGGGTTCGCGCACTCAGCTCGGCCAGGTATCCTCTGCTAGCTGCCTGCTCCGCTACAACTGCCGTCTGCTCCGTACTGTAGTTTATTTTCTTAACGACTTTGTGCTTTTATTATATTATTTATTTATTATTTAAATCGAGTTAGTGGTTTTGGAGTAGAGACACTGCGAGGTGACATTCAGGCCAATATTGTGTACTTTCTTTCAAATAATTTACCACACCATCTCTACGCCCGGTAATCCATTTCTATTTTTCATATTTTTCTTCTATCGTGACATTTGCCTGCGTCATGGATGACTTATAGTGGACCAACTTTTTATCGCTATTTAATTGTTCAAATTAGAATGGCTTCAGTTTCAGCTTCAGGCTTAAGTTTTTAACCAGTAGATGGAAGCAAATATTCATTTACACCGTCACACTCAGAAAAAATATTCATGGGTTTCAGCTTCCTGTTTAAATTGTCAATTGCTATGGTAACGCCCCTAATTTTGCAACATTATGAAACCCATGGATAAGATAACAGAATAACTATTAATGTCAAACTTTTTAACCCTTACATTATCAGGTGATTTATGTCTTCACTTTATCAAATGTGACTGCTGAATGACTGCCTCTTGCACTGTATACTGCGGTATGCTCTGTGTCTCCCTGTTGTATGAAGATGTCATGAGAATATGATGTAATTTTTGGATTCCTAGTGCAGTGAACTTGTCCTATGATGTCTTTGATGGGAAGAATGATGGCACTCCCCTGGTGTTTCTTCATGGACTGTTTGGAAGCAAGTCCAACTTCCACTCCATTGCCAAGTCACTGGTGCAAAGGACGGGTCGAAAGGTAATGCTGGGATGTAATCTTTTTTTTTTTTTTTAAGTAAAAGGTCACCAAATGGGCCAAAGCCTTCCATATTACCAGTTACTCGACATCTTAAACTTGTGAGGCAAGCAGAGCATAATCTAGATTTGGGTTTGAAATGGTTAATCTTATGTACCTACAGTAGTTCTTTTGTGCTGTGGTACAAAGCAACTGCTAAACCCTATGTACTTGCTGTGTACATTTTCCAAAACAAACTGTCTGTTGTAGGGGTAAGACAAAGGGAATTTTGTGCCACAAGATTGTGCATAAGTTGAAACATCATTTTTTATTTTGGTTTCAGTGTGTTTACATTTGGCACAAACAGAAAAAGGGCTTGAGTTCATTTATAATACATAAACTATGGATTATGTCATGTCAAATCTCATCTTCTCTCTTTCTTGTCCACCCAGCCTTGGGAAAGACACCTCAGCTGCCTTTTCTTTAGTGTACTCTGGTAAATTTGTGACTGTGAAAAAGATAGATAAGATAGAGAAAGATAGAAATTGGTTTATGGTTTAGAGTTGTAGTCCTTTAGTTGCGTAGTTGATTCACTGATTGACGATGAGACCAAATTTAACTAAATACGGTCTTCATATGGGATTTATATGGGCAACAGCACAAAGGAGAATGCATGCCTGGAGTTTTGGGGGTGACTGGACAATTTAATCCTTATGGGTTTTCACTTATGAAGATTAATACTTTACAGTATACATGGTTGTTTTTGCACAATCTTAAGATCTTAATTATAAGAGGTTTTTCCATGGTGTGCTAGCCTGATTCATCAGCAGGTTTCACTTCGTGGAAACCGTCTGACCTCGAGTACTTTTTAAAATTTAACTAATCGCTGCTATTTGGTCGTGACATATGTAATGCGCCGCTAAAGGGGCTAACTGGTATATTAAGCTTTTCCCAAATCCCATAGGAAGAACCGCAATAACGTCTTTCCCCTTGATAAAATTCACCAAACATTCTCTTTGTTTCGGCTTCAAATCCTTGATCTCGGGAATCGTTCCCAGCACAGAATGTATGGCTCTTTGTTGATTGGCTGGTGCCCGGACTCGCACTTCCAGGGTTTTTCCAAACCGTCTTGTGTATTCCGATTCCTGACCTAGTTGCTGGAGAGAAATGAAATTGAGCGGAGGCACTAGGTGGCACCAGCCTGGCTAGTGCCATGCTGCTTTTAGTTGATTAATTAATGCACAGGGCATGTTTTTGGTGAACCACAAATTTTGACTACAGCCCTTGGCATGCCTACACTCTGGTGTGTTTACACAGAATTGAAGGAAACTATCTGAATATTAATTGATAATGCAGCATAATTATGAATGTTGTCATAGTAAGTGAAGTTAGTATGTGAAAGACCAGAACAGGAATTCTTGCGCCCCCTGTTTGGTCCAAGTGTCCTAACAGCCGTCCTGTGTCAGTTAGGTGCTAACAGTTGACGCCCGTAACCATGGGACCAGCCCACACTGCCCAGAGCTTACGTATGAGGCGATGAGTGCAGACCTAAAGCTGCTCCTGTCCCAGCTGAGAATCGACCGCTGCGTCCTGATTGGCCACAGCATGGGAGGCAAGACCGCCATGATGACCGCACTGACACAGGTGAAAGAGAGAGAGGCTGTGAAAGGGCAGTATGCATCATATATGGTCTATGAATTTGAGGTTTATAGTTAAACACTGTCTGACAGATTTTTATTTATTTATTTTTTTTATCTAATGTCTTAGACTTGGATAAAATGTATTGATCCACAAAGGAAATTATTTGGACACAGTAGCTCACTCATCACAAAATAATATAATAATAAGAGAACAAGAGAAAAAATTAAACATTTTTAGATTTAATCAAGTTTGACGTTTTTGCCATAACACATAGCTTTAAAATTTCATTTTACATTTCAAACCTTACGTTCACAGTGGAGTTGCTAAGTGGCATTCCTAGCATAATCTAAACATAATCTATGCAACAAGAAATATATTTAAATGTTTTAAGTGTTACTATTTTATTGTTCAAGATTATGATGTATAATTGCTGTACTGTAGAAATTCTCTAGTCTAGACATCATTAAGTGAGCTGCATCTGTCTGTGCTGTGTATCAATTCAGGACCAGACTAATTCAATAAACAGAATCTAATATTGTGTTGAATGGAGAGGCCAAGACTAATTCAGACTATTAAATTAAAAATGTTTTCAAGATGCAATTTGAGTTTTGTTCAAAATCAATGTTTTTGTAAATTGCTATTATCTTTCTCTCTATATATATATACAATATAGTTGTTAATATTGTGAGTTATATTACAATTCCATTGTTTTTTCCAATTCACAGCCCCAATTCCTAAAATGTTCGTTTGTTTAGATGTTTAAATTCTTGGAGAATAATTCAGAGATCAGTTGTTTTTTTTTCCCACATGTGGAAGATATGATACAAATTGATAATATCAGATTTTTGTTTTGGCCAATATACTTTTCTAATTTAGTAAATCAGTAATAGTAAATATATTGAAAAAGATCTCATTAGTACCCGTTTGTTCCTGTGTCTGTCTTCAGCCAAGTTTGGTGGAGAGGTTGGTGGTGGTGGACATCAGCCCCTCTCAGAGCGCCACTCGCACAAACTTTAGGTTCTACATCCAGGCCATGCAGGACGTGCAGATCTCCTCAGACATCCCGCGCTCCACAGCACGCAGGATGGCAGAGGACCAGCTCCGAACATCCGTCAAGGTTCCAAATGTAGTCTTAAACATGCATTAACCATCTATAACAATATGACCAAAATGACCAATTATTGAATCTCATTTACAAGGGCAAAATGTTTGGCACCACTTTATAATAAATACAACTTATTTTATTATATCTTGGGAAATTTTCCCATAATTTTGTGATTTATTTTAAGTCAAATTTAAATTAACATGTTATAATCTCCAACACTACCTTAGTGGGGTGGCACATGTGCTACCTCCTGTTTGTCAGTTTCTTTACAACTTTTGACAGTTTTGACCACTGTGGGAGACTAGGAGCACCCCACCATCATGCTCTGACCCTGCTCTAGTCTAGCCAATATATTTATAGCCATCATATGTTTAATAAACTTTAATAATGCCTCTTTTAACATATAACTTTGTGAATAAATATTGTGTACTTTTCTATACTATCAAAAATTTACAATAAAATACTATACTTACTATAAAATATATTTTTTCAGGAACACTCTGTGCGCCAGTTTCTGCTCACAAACCTCATTGAGCTCAATGGACACTACGCCTGGAGAGTGAATTTGGACGCCATCTCTGCCCATCTCGAGACCCTCCTGAGTTTCCCTTATTTTGAAACACCCTACGAGGGACCAACGCTTTTTCTGGGAGGGGCCAGTTCTGCCTACATAAGGTACCATATACCACAAATACAGAAAGTTACATCAGTCTATTATCGACTAATGCAACCAGACATGAGCAGAGAAATGAGTTTAAATGGAAATGAATGACTTTGGTGTTTATATTATGGTAGGGAGATAGATAGAGCTTTTCTGTTTTTACATGTTTTTACATGATTTTGTTCTATATCATAGCATATAACTAGTATATGACTACACGTTACTATTATTTTGTGCTACAAAATAAATATAAATAAAAATATATGTTTAAAGACTTTTTTGTTTCTTTGTTTGTTTTTGTCATTGGAGTAGCAAGACTTTCTTTATTATCAACTATGATCATGATAATTCTAGTGTAGCTTGAATATATAAACTGTATAGAATATATAGACTGTATAGAGGGTGTTGTTTTTTAATGGGTGGTTTAAGCGTGTCACAATTTTAATGCTTTGTTTTTTTGTAATGAATTACTAAAACTGTTAACTTTTGACTGAAGTTTGTGAATGAGTGGGTTTCTCCCTCAAAGCTCATAGTAACATGTCTTTGGTTTTGAAATCGGTATAATATTGAAGTTTATTCTCAAATTGCACTGCTACTGGAATGTAATGTTGTCAAAAAAAATTGTTATGTTAAATTGATTTACTAAAACTAGTATGCCAATAAAACGATATACTCATTTGAAGTACTGATACTGAAAGATTAGACTTGATATAGTTGACAGTACTTTATGACCAGCATACAGTTTAACCAAATATCATTAGTGATTATTCTGTTATTCTCTCATTATTATTCTGTTATTCCCAAACAATGTGTTTAAAATAACATTATTTTAGTGTAAACATTAAAATTTGTATCCAGCCTTTTTCTTGGTACTAAAATTGAGTTAACGATATAAATAAAATGTTGTGATGGTGCCACTTGAAATCCTGCAGTTAAAATCTGTCAGTAATAATTATGTGAAAACAATTTTTGTCTTTATGTTTATTTCTATGTCTGGTTGCTTCACTTTTTAAAATTAAACTACACCCTCTCTCCTCCCTCTTCAGCTCTGATGATTACCCAGAGATCCAGCGCTTGTTTCCATATGCAGATATCCAATACATCCCAGATGCTAGCCACTGGATCCACGCTGACAAACCTCTGGACTTCATCAGCTCCATAATCTCCTTTCTACAGTCTGAGTAACTGCTTCTACTACTGAAACTACTGCTAATACTACTGTAACTACTACTAATACCACACAACTATTTCAGCCTCTGAGAGAAAACTCCTCCAAGAGATGGGTCCAGTTTGTGTCACTACAGTCTATCTATGCTGGACCAAACTTTTAACTTGCATCATTTTAGCTGTGTAAAACATTGTATTGTTCAGTTTTGTTCAGTTTGTTTTAACATTGAGTGATGTTTGTAGAGTAGCTAGATTTATAACATTTCAATTTGTACAGTGAGTGGCTATAGTGTAGAATAATATTGTTTTGGTGGTGATACACTAATCCAAAGATTGCAAAGTACTGTTACAGTTAAAAATAGATTAGAGGCTCTCTTCTATGGTTAACTTTGAAAGAGTAGAAAATGTATTCATTTATAACTTAAAAACCTTTGGGGAATGCACATAAAGCTGTTCATTTATAGGAGGACATATGATGTGGTGCTGTGGTTGGCAGGTTTAAACTTGGCCAGTGCTGCAATATATTTTGTACAGTGCATACAGTTTGCTGTATTTAAGCCGATGTTCCATATTTATAAAGTTTACATTAATTCATTTGCAGCTCCTGTGATGAAGTTTTACTTTTATGCATTTTATGGTAAAGCTAAGAGTTGACATGGTGACAGCAGTGTTGTTGTTGTACATTTAGTTTCCTGATGATTCTCAGGTAACAAATGGATCTGATTGTAATCCTATTATCCATAAAAACACACGTCAATAAACTAGAATATTGGAGGAAGTCCAATTGATTTCTCAAATTACTTTGATTTAGTATACAAAGTAAAATGGTTCATGTACTAATTTCTTTCATAATGTTGTATTATCAATTAGGATATAGTAATTATTGTTGATGTGGTTTTATGCCGTAAACCTCCTCTCTACCTTGACAGTAACACAATTAGATTGAGATTCTATACAAACAAATAATATTATGCCTAAGTGCATAGTTTTGTTGCAGTGGCACACTAAATACGTTCAGTCAGATAAATACAGTGATAAAACAGAACATTTTGATGTTGATATATTCTTATAAATAGCATATTTAGATTTCTTTTTATGCCAGATGCCCTTTCCATGGCAAGCAGCCAAGCCTAGTCACTGTTTCAAAAATCAGAAAATGACCCAATTGCTCATCAGGTTAACACCTGATAATGAATTTATTTATGCTATGTACTAAATCAGATATATTGTCGACTTTATTTTAATTACTTAAATGGTTTCCACAATTTTCTAATTTATTGACCTGCACTGATATTTACCTATACTGTCTGTTCAACAATGTTTCCTTATATTGTTGATGTCTTTGTATCCAGTTGGTCTCTTCATGTTGTTAAATATCAAAATATCTGTAGCTGTAATGCCTGTAATTTAACAGCAAGTATTATATGGCTCTTGTATAAATATATGCTGCAAATTATTCACTCTTGTCTAGATGTAACTGTGAAAATATCATTCTTTCTTTGTGGATTTGGGAAGACCAGTGGTAAACTGCCAGTTGTCTTGACCAGGGTGTTGTTGATGTGTATGTGCCTCTTTTGTCTAGATCTTAAATTTATATACAACTTGATATATACACTTTTATCATACAAGTATAGACTTTATAATGGCAGCTGGGTTGCCAGATTTGACAATCCCCAGCACATGTAGAGGGCAATCAGTTTTTAAATCTGAAGAGATCTAAAGATCTGAAAGATGTTATTACATCGTGAGATATAAGTAGATAAGAGATAGTCAAGTCGTATGCACAATATGAGATTGTCAATTGTATTGCAACAGTGACATTTGAATGCCTGTCTCGTTCAATGGGGCAAGATTAATATTAGAGACTTATCAATAGCATTCTATCATTTCTATTATATTACGGTACATTATAAATCTCTTAATGTAAGTCCAGTCAGTGAATGTGTTTTTTTGACCATTTTCATTTTGTTCATTGTGCTAATACTCAAGTGTCATGTCTATCAATGTGTGCAATGGATTTTTCTGTACAAGTAGAGTAAATAATATGGAGGTGTATAAACTGACAGTATTCAATAAATTATATTAAAGTAAACATTTTTGTAATTTGACCCATTTGTTCCGTAACCATATTGCAGTTGAAGTGTTGAAAATGTTTCTCATTCATGCATTTTGCTTCCTGATTTATGAACAAAATCTAATCATGTTTTTTAAAAAGTCTATTTAAAGGTCCTATATTACACAAAATCGACTCTTATGAGCTTTAAGTCATGTTAGAATGCTGTTACCCCCTCAAAAACATGCCTGGAGTTGTGTTTTGTTTCACACGTTTAGCAGTCTGTTATTAGTCTGTATACAGCCCCAAAGCTCAAAATGCTCTGTTCCACCCTGTGATGCCATGTAGTGGTAGTTTTCAAGTTAACAGCTCCATTTACTTGTAGTTCAGATAGGCAATTAGATAGGCAATTCCAGGACTGAAATGATCCAAATGATTCTAGTGAAGGTTTACAGAGTTTAACGACACAGTAGAGCACTTCCTGTATTATCACATGACATCATGACAGAGTGTTTTCAGTTTGAGAGAAGAGCCTAAATATGCAGGATTTGTGTGTTAAAGATGTGTGAATGAAACAAAACACAACTCCAGGTATATCTGTGATAAGGAAACAACATTAGTACATAGACCAGAAAATGGTGTAATATCGGCCCTTTAAACTATTTCAGTTATGGACAGATCAAACTTTCCTGTACATATACTGATAAACTGTTCAATTTCAAACCAGTTAACAACAAAAAGACAAGGGTTGTATCTTATAAACAGCATTTATTTACATGTATTGCAAAGACACATTTGTGTAAATCATGTATATTATATAACACACTTAAATACAACAGTCAGACAGATTGCACTTGTCCCACTACATCTTTTCCATTGACATTTCATTGACTTTATATTACAAAATAGTAGTGCATGACTCGTCAGTGTACTAAAATATGTTTTGTTCAATCCAGTGATACGACCTGAAACCCATCATCTCCCCCTTCATGCTCCGGGCGCCCAGACTTCTTCTTCATCCTCCAGTTTCTTGGGAGGGTCCCGGCTGCGGGCATACTGAGACCTGGCCTAGGGATCTGGGCTTGGTTGGGTGCAGTCGGGGTGGGGCTGGCGGGTTTGTTGATGTAGATGTGGTTGGCGTTGGTTGTTGAAGGGGGTGCAGGTACAGGGAATTTGTCGGGGCGTTGGATTGGGGGCTTGTTGTTTCGTCTCAGGATGCCCCGGAAGTTTCTCTTGGACGACTGTTCGGCTTGCTGCTGCTGAGCCTGGACCTGCTGCTGAATCATCACCTGCACATCCTCCTATAGACGTACAAGTTAGAGAACGTTTGTAAATTAGGAATTTCTTTGTTTGTGACATTGTCCAAATAGATGTTGTGATTTCAGGTGGAAGGCAGAGGCCTGTAACTCTGTTCAATGTTTTTGAAAGAAATAACCAAGCAGAAAATCCACAAATGTTAAGTCTTAACATTTTTACTAGGGTTAAAATGTTGTTGTACCAGTGTTTGTTTCATATGGATAGACAAGGTTATTATAGTAATATATAGATAGTAAAGGGATGGAATGTTCCTGGAATCTTCCAAGAAATCTCCATAGCAACAAGCAAGTGTCATTTGGCAATTAAAACAAACAGATATGTTTACAGCGTACTGTGCGACATTGTGGAAAAGCAATAATATTTTTAAAAGACAAGCAGGTCATGGACCATCCACCAAAGAACTTATATTGTTTAATCATTAACTAGGTCAGCAACATATTTTCTTATCACTGTAACAGTACGATTACCGTGTAATGTGTCAGGGTGTTGAATCAAATGCAGTGTTTGTCAAGGGAGTACTCAAACATTACCTCATAATAAAACAGACCCATTTATTTTTAGACTCAAATGTGACGGTTGATCAGAGTGACCACAGTGACATATTTGGTAGATTTTCCATGATGATTAACACGATATTTTTGCCCTTTTTTTCAGCCTGTTTTACCATTTGTCATAATTAACATTTGGTTTAAAAACGGGTAGTATGAGTAAAGTGTCAAAATACTGTAGAAATGTGTCATGTGTACAAGCCCCCCTCTCTTGCTCTTTAAATCATAAGCATCGTTAATTCTACATTACTTTCAGTTTTACTTAACAACTTCACATAACATAGTTACTGGTGAGTTACATGTTAATGATGTCTCAATTCCATATGTAACCAGTTATGTAATAAATGCATGTCCACCAAACTAATGCATTTAAATATTATTAAATCCTCTAACACTGCTATACACCTTAATCACAGCTCAAAATTCCACAGTTGCTCTCCGGCCTGGAGCCAAATTCCCGACTCTAAATGGCTCTGAGCCCGTTCACGCTCGTCAGTTGAATTGTATGGGTTTATTGTGAGAGTTAATGACCTAACACATTAAAATTCACAATATGACGTGTGGCTCTCACTAATTATGTGCATATCCCAGTTCAGAGTTGGGCTGCTTCCATCTGTTTTTAGTTGCTATGTTTAGATCAATACTATAACATATTTTCTAACCATGGACAAGCTATTGCTTCTAGAATGCCACTAAATCACATGAAACTGTGCTGATATTATCTCCATGGAAACAAGCAGGATAGCACCAGACCAAATTACAAATCAGATCTGTCGAGATGCAAGTTTCTCAAGGCATTATTGAGCAATAAAAACACATTGTAATGAAATCAAAACTACACAGATGTATTACTGTGTATGAATAAACCTGTTTTGACATTTCCCATTGCGGGATAGTGTGCATTTACCATATTGAAACCATAAAATCTGCTGATGTGGGACCCACCTTCCAGGCTTCCAGCTCCAGTGAGAGCTCCAGTCGTTTCTGCACTGCCTCCAGCAGTTGGTTGTTCAGAGCCATCATCTCCGTTTTACTGCGCAACAGTTCAGCTTCCATCGCCTGTTTCCTAAATTTAAAAAGGGCAGATAGTTTAAAATAGATTCATCATAACTTCCTTTTTAACTTCCTTTAGATTCAACTGTGGCCTTACTTCTCAATGGCTTCATCTCTGTCCCGTAAAGCCTGTTGAAGAATCGCAGTCTCCTCTGCTGTACTCTTACCCGATTTACTTTTGGCCTAGAAAAAAACACATACATAAAAACAGGTTTATTGTCATGATCATACTCAAAAATAATGCAACAGAACAAAACACATAACACAAGATAACAACACTTCAGGAAATGCAGTTTAACACTTAAGAAAATGTCTTATAAAAAATAAAATAAAATAAAATTACATGCTGATTAAGTACTTTTAATGCATGTGTTTTCCTCTTACTAGCTCTGATAAAATTGTTAAATTTGACAAATATCTGTCACCACTTCTTTAACACAGTATTTGTAATAATTCAGTTGATTCTACCAGATAAATTAAACTACCGTTGTCTTTTTATTGAGAAGGGCATTTTACAATTACCTTTAATGACAGTAGTTGGTGACTTAATCTACTATAAGGGTAAACTGCATATTGGGTTGATTTCAAAGGTTAAATATTCTGAAGTTTTAGAAATGTGTTCCTTGTAACTTATTTTGTCATAACCTATTTTTACTGCAGGTAATGTCTGTATGATGTTCATGTATTTTATCTCTAAATCTATTTTAATCACATCACATTCCTGTTTGATTAACTCTGACGTGAGTTAAAACTGTGACGACCTTTTCTCTGGTTAGATTTAGACACCGGTGAACCAGAGAGACCACATACCTGAGCTGCTTTCACTGCTCAAGAAACCTGAACCTCTGAACTACTGTATACAGTGTGTCCTTTGAGAATCAAAAGATACAATATGTACAATATAAGGATGTACTGGCCCATTCATAAGACAGAATGAAGGGATGAATTAATGAAATGCTAGTGAATAATAGAAGCTGGGTGTGGTCAAACAATAATGCCTTGTTGTTGTTGTTTTTGTTTTTTTCTTATAAAGTACCTTTCTAATTGATTGCATGCTTTCTTTTGAAAACAAATAAATAGGACTTTTTTCAAGAAAATTCATGAACAAAAATCAGATATCTTAAATATACCTCATCTTATAAAGTGTAAACTCTGCTCCAATCAATATTTAATGAACTGACATGCTTTACATTGCCTTACTCATTCACTCCCCTCTGTTGGAGGAAGAAGGATATACTCAAACACCACATTTATAATTGTAGGATGTAGTGTCATGCCCAAGGACACAACAACAGTGTGCACTGGTCAGAGCAGGGATTGGACCTTTAACTTTCTGGTCATAAGAGAATCATTGGACCACCTGTGCTACTGTCACTGTATGTTGTGGTTGTAAAGTGCTTTTTGAGCCACTATCCTCTCAGACCAACACCATCAGACACACTCATACAGGCTATTACAAAGTGTATTGCCACTTAATAGCAAAATAGCACTTATTTTTCTAATTAACTTTTATTGCTTCCATTGGCACAACAGTCCATTCTCAAACAAACAAATGTGCAATCTGATATCATATGCAAATGACCAACTAAATCTACAAAATCCAGTCCACTTTGTAGGGTATGTATGAATAGTTGTCAAAAGTGGTTTTGTCTTAGCCTTTTTTTCCCCACAGAATCTTTTAATTTAATTTTGTTCACTATTATTAGAACTTCTAAATACACAGAAGGCTGTGTTTGTGTTTGTCTGGGTTTTGTCCCATTTTAGTCAAAATTATTATGTGTTTTCACCTGACACTGCAAGCCACCAGAATTAAGTTAATTATAATTAATTATAAGTAATACATGATATAATCAATTATAAGTAATAATTATATAATTCATTATAAGTAATACATGATATCTTCTCTATTTGTTTGTCGATTAACCTACAAAGTTTTCCTTGGCGTGATGAGTTATACTGAAACTTAATGTGTCACTAATAATCCACCTTTGCCTCTAGTGTTGCCTCAAAACTAACACTACAGATCCTAACCCTGTCTGACAGCAGGACCCATGGGACAGTACAGACCTGTGAGGCATGGTCCATGGCCAGTTTTCGGGACACAAACTGCAGCTGGAGCAGAGCCGCATCCAGCTGTTTCCCTCCCTCAGGGGCCTTCAGCGGTCCCGCATCTGGCTCTGTGAGAGGGTGCAGGAGACGCAGGATGGACAGCACCTCCTCTGTCACCTAAAACAAATATAAAACATAAGATTTAATAGGTTTAATCATAACAGTATATAAACAAAACTGTGTGATGACTACAAAATAATCTACCTACTTTTGTTTCACCAGGATTGTTTCACAGAATGGCATTAAACATATTTATTACATTACATAGAAACAAACAAGTGATGCCACCAGGCTAAGTTACAGGTTAGATCTCTTAAGAGGCCAAGTATCTGCGTAGTTGTGTGATACTTGGAACATAACATTAGAATAAGAAATATTCTAAGCTCTAAGAATAAAAAAGACCCCCACAAATGTGAAGTGTCAGCAGTGACTATCTTCAATAGATTTAGTACGTGTGAACCTCACTGTTCCCCTCACCCTCTCTCGGTCCTGGCTCCAGCCGTGGCCCTCGTGGCTCTCCTGGAGTTTGTCAACTTGGGCCTTAAGTCTGATGCTCCTCCGGCGAGACAGCTCCACCTCCCTCCGCACCTCCTTCAACTAAAGACAAAATGTAGAAGAACATATGTCAAACTACTTCTACTGCTAGATAGGTACACATTTAAATCAAGAGATATTACAGATTAGACCTAGGCCTTCATTTAGATTTTTCTCTCATATAATTTAATAGATTATAAACCAGCTGAATATCTCCAGTATATATATATATATATATATATATATATATATATATATATATACATATACACATACACATACACATACACATACACATATACACACACAAAATCTGTTCCCTTCCCAAAAATAAATTTAGAGTTAAAGGGTTAGATTAAGATGCACAACAAGTTCTTTCAGAGATACTTCTTGTAGCTGCAGATAACAGTTACTTTCTAGTAGGACTGTAGTCCTTTAGTTGTTTATTTGACTAATATGGTTGATGGTGTTTTAGTCGACCAAAATTTGTCTTAGCCAACTCCTCGTTTTATTTAGATTATAAGGAATTATATGGGGTAACAGCAGAAAGGAGAATTAGTGAGGGAGTGAGTTAGTTGAAGAAGTGTTATTTTTTTGTATTTACTAAAAAAGGCAGATAAAACCCATGATTTACAAATTTAATCTGCTCTATAAATACATTGTTTCTGCATAAATAGTTGTTTTAGCATGAGCCACACTCATTTTTAGTTGACTACCAAACGATCAGCAGTACATGCCTTTAGACGAATACGATTTTTTTTTGTTCACTACAGCCCTATTTCTAATAAGAACTCATCTTATTTGTGAGAACTGGTATTTAACATATCCTCTGCCTTTTACAGTACAAAAACTCAAATGAAGCATGCATATACAATACTTATAATACATACAATTCTTCTTAATAATCTTATTCTTTTACACACAAGTATTTGTATTTGTAACCTGGATTAGTGGTTAAACATTCTCCATAGCAACAACAACCATCTCTTATTGTAAAATCTTTAAAGCTTCAAACTGGTTTTGTTCTCGCCTGTCAGACCAGACAACAATCTCAGTTGTCATTTGGTCCTCAACAACAACAAAAAAATCACCAAAGTTACAAGATAAAATATTTCAGTAGTTACAAGAGCCAGGTTATGTAGGCGTCATTGTGCTGTCAGGTCATGGGGCTTTTCTTAGTTATCAGATTTTAAGATGATAAAATTTACTTAAGATTTACTTATCTACATTTCTTGTCTGCCCAGGGTACTACTGGTTCTTATGTGTAATTTAAACAACGTACAGTACAGACTTTTTTTTTTTTACTCTAGTTTACTTTATTGTTATACTGTAAAATAAAGTAAAGTAAAGCAAACTATGGCTTTGTCCTTACGTACAGACCTTATTTCTCATGTATTTATTTGCCAACTGGTTATTGCCAGTTTTTTGTTTTTCCTGGTTTCTCTTTCCCATTATAGATGCAATTTTTAGGACATTAAACAAGAAAATATATTAAGTTATTAATTGTTAATTGCTGTGGCAACAGTGCAAGTTTGTGCAAAATCACACATGGGGAGGAGATGATGACTAAGCATACAAATTACGTAAGGATCTAAAATGCAGGTAAACAATAATGACATTCCAGGTATCTGCTCTTTCTCTACTTTCTATCAAATATGTGCTCACATAATTAAACACTTAATAAATAACCAGATATTGTATAATCAAATGTCTTATAATGTGAAATCTGATTTATGGTCAGGAAAGCTAATTTCCATATCCTTCCAGATTTGAGCAGTTGTTTTTGTCTGACAATGTGAATTAGAGTCTAGAATGGCAAAGGGTTTGTATTTCCAGTTTGACAGAAGAATCTGGATCAGCAGTTTCTGTTGACAGTGTTGGTAAATGTAATGATATCTTTTGTGGGTAATGCTGAGCTATACTGTTTTATCATTGTAGGATCTTTTTGATGTTACTGAATGAATCCTAGAAAATGCAAAAGGTTCCTAAAGTGGTGTTCTTGCTACAATGATGGTTCTGTAGTGATCTATTAAACTCTACACTAACAGAACTGGCACTGCCATCATAAACTGCTCATTTATATTGTCATTCTACAGTCATTCTATAGAGTCAGAAACAGGACACGGGGTGATTTTAATCTCTATCTCACCAAATAATCAAAAACTACCACTAGGCTACAGCTGAAATGGAATAATATAGACAGTCGTAAGAACTCTAACACCAGAGTTTATAAGACACTATCTCCCCTTTTGGTATCCATTTCTTTCTTCCTTTTTATTTGTTTTTAAAGATATAGGCTTTACTGGACAGGACAGGCATAAGCATAAATGGGAGTGAAGAGAGACATTCAGCAAATTCAAATTTCAAATTATATACTCAACAGCCTTGACCACTTGACTACTGCAGTGCACTGATGTTTCATAGATTTTATTTGGGTTTAAGAATGGTACCAACATTGCATATTTCAATCATGTAAAATGTACACATATTAGTTGAGTTGCTCTTACTGTATCATTGACATGTCCAAGTGTCCTTCTCCTCCCCAGGGGTCTCCCACTCTTGATGAGATCTGGCAGTGTTCCGTCAATAAACGCCTTGTGCAGGATGCTCCCTTCCACAGGCTCCTCTGTTGCTACGGAAGATTCTTGGCTCTCCTCTGTTTTGTTCGTCGGTAGCTCCCCTGGGCAATCTTTCTCCTCTGATTTTGTAGAACTTGAGTCATCATCATCCCTGGGTTCGTTCAACCCCAAATCGGACAGTGAAGTGGAGTCTTCTTCAAATAGTTGAGGGGGGTCTGAAGATAACCCACTGTCCAACTCATCATGGTCTGGGACAGTGTCTTTTGGAGGTGCTGGAGTTGAGGTTGTTGGTATTACTGTTGGTGGTGTATAGTAGATTGAGGTTGCCCGTGACGACCTGTCCTCCAGTCTGTTGAGAGAAGAGTAGATTTGACTAGTGGTGTTGTAACGTGGTCGTAGTCTCTCGTTCAAAACAGAAAAAGGCTGATTGTAGTCCATCTCTGAATAAAAAAAAAAGTCACAACTATAACATGAAGTGTGTGCTCCAGCTGTATATGTCAAATCTGGGAGAGGAGAGAGGAAAGTCAGTCAGAAATGTGCTCAAACTTGCTTTTCCTGCTTTAGAAAGCATGAGACGATGTGATGTCAAAGGAGGATGTGGCCTTAAAGATTTGTGTGTGTGTGTATGTGGTTTCAAACAAATGACGCGCAAACATACCTGACACTGGCTCGGCTCTGAAAAAGGGAGGAGACCTTTTGATCAAGAGAAAGAATAATATTAGACTGGTTTGACGTATTAAAAACCTCAATGTGTTTAGTAACAGCGATAATAATACAGTAAGAGGGTAGAGAAAGCTTAATCAAAACAAAAAAAAATATAGAAACAGTTGTGGTGGAAACATTTTGTAACACCCCATTTTCAGACTTTGGACTTCCATGCCTTGAGGAATAAGACTAGTTAAACATAATTTAACATCCTGGTCACAGTATATAGTCTAGTTTCAGCTGCTTATTGAATGTAGTACATTACAGGAGTCAACTAAAAGAAAAAAGAATACAAGTTTCCTATTTATTATGGTCATTGCAAAGTAAATGCATGACCTCTTTTCCCTTAGGAGAAATAAATACATTAGATAATCACATGCAATAAAATATAGGCACTACCTCTACTCTTTATAATACAAAAACCTCTAGATAATATACAGTGGGTAGGGCACTTATGCCAAATAATATTTATAACTCCTCATTAGAATGTTCTCAAAATTGTGCTAAGGAAGTATATAAGTAGTAGAATATTTAAAATGGTCTGAAAATGGTCTAAAACCCATCTGACTCAGACAAATATGGCATTTTCAATCACATTCCATCAAAGTTAATACAAAAGCAAAGTTACCACACTTAGTCATGTACTATTTATGCTCATGTGGGGAATTCCATGAACAAAAAGGCCTATAGGAAACATAGGGGCCAATTTTGGTGATAATAAAAGACAGAGGTGAGTCAACATCCTGCTGAGAAAAATTTAGGGTCTGAAAACATCTTTCAAGAAATACTGGTTTATCTCAACAAGCTGGTCCCCAGAAAGACATGAGGTGATAATGCACATATGTCAAGTGTATTACGATATACACATACTGTGCTTTTTCAAATACATTTCTTGGACCAATAGTTGGTAATTTGCATAATCTTTGACATATTCAAAGTTATTTAAATATGAACCTGGAAGTGTTTCAAAGAATATGCCAAAGAATTGCTTTATAACGCAGTGTGAATTTGTGAATGAAGTTGTTCAAGTCAACAATAACAAAGGAGGTGGTGACAGTGAAGACACGGAAAAACTAAGCTATTTACAGCCTAAAACTTTAAGATGAAGTTTGCATGTCAACTTTGAGTCTGTGTCTGTCCAAAATCAGTTACTCACTTCTAAAGCACGTACATTTATTTTTGTATTCTCAGAATATTTCTGTTATTAATTGATGTCCTAATTATGGATATTGGAAGAAAGGAACAACATGGCTAAATGTAGAATAAACAAGAGCTACAGATGGAAACATGGCACAAGAATGCACTTAAATTTGATCCTTTGACATTTTAAAGTTATATCTTTTTGTATTTGCATAGTCAGCCGAAACCTTCTATAAAACAGGAACTGTGTTTCTGCCCCTTCATTTACTCGTGGGAAAGCAAACAGAGGAGACAAAGACCTAGACCGGGACTAAAACTGGTCTGGACTTTAATCACATCAGAAAGACTGAACTTCTAAAGTGCACTGAATGGGAAATGTTATAAAAATCAAGGTTTGGTTGTTTACTGAAATTAAATTCTGACTAATAAAACCTAAACAAACATGTTTGACAAATGGCGTTTTTAAATCAACAGAAAAAGTTTATTTAAAAAAATACAGATAATAAAGTCTCCATAGGAGCAATGCAACAGATTGGTCCCTTCTTTACAACTTTCCATTCTTCCACTTTTCATGTTAACATATTTCACAATTCAGAACTATTATGAGTTTTGTCCTTTTTGTTGTTAATGGAGGCAGCACATCTGAAGCTGAGGTTATCGGATGCAGAGTCAGGGGTATTTCCCATCCTAAACAAAAGTACAATGGAATGTTTAAAACTAAATATTCTAGTATTATTGTATTCTTATTTTACAGCAATTACTTCCTGTATGGACTGACCTGGTGGTGATCCTGGCCTTGTGATTTGCTGATCCATCTTCAGTGTCAATCCACGAAGCTCCTCTCAGCACAAACATCTTCTGAGATCCAGGAAATGTCGTTGAGGTCCACTCCCAGGTATTTCCCAACATATCATACAAACCTATAACGAAAAATGACATATTTCAATCCTAAAACTTAAGTGTTTTATAGTATAGCAACAAGGCATAACTGCATGTTCTGTAGCCTTTTATTCTACTACTGCTATATTTGAACCACTTTTAACAGGTGCAGATCACTACAGACCAGGAACACAAGAGCTTCAGCTTTAGAGATGCTATGCCTCAGTATAAAATTTCATCAAATTTTCTCTTGTCAGATATTCTATTCACCTAAAAGTGGGCTGCGTAGCGGGGAATAGTATGGCTTTAAAGCAGTGCTTCTCAAATAGTGGGGCGCGAGGCTCCGTCACGGGGGGCGCGTTTGACCTCGGGGAGCATGCTTTTTTATTTTTTTATTTAGATTTTTTTTTACTGTCTTAAGGGCCGTTCACACCAAACCGTCAAAAAACGCCTTGACGCCTCTATTTGGAGCCTTTGCATTTGAGTTTAGACGCCCCCGACGCGCATCTTTGACGCCGTGGACGAACGGGACAAAAATACTTGACGCGCGTCCGTTGCCCTGGAAACAAGAGCCCAGTCCCGCTCTTTTCCCGAAACAATGTCAGACCAGACTGAGACAGTGTTTTTATGACATAAAACATCAAAGGAGGAGATCGGGTCGACGACTGGGGCGTATATATATTTCTACTCCGCTAATGACACTGGATCAGTCCCGGTCTAGTCCTGGTCTAATACCGGTCTGGTCCTGGTCTAATCACGGTCTAGTCCCGGTCTGGTCCCGGTCTGATCCCGGTCTAGTCCCGGTCTAATCACGGTCTAGTCCCGGTCTAGTCCTTGTTTAGTCTCGGTCTAGTCTCGGTCTAGTCTCGGTCTAGTCCTGGTTTGGTCCTGGTCCGGTCCTGGTGTATTCCTCGCGATCGGCTCGGTGATTGTGGCGTATATATTTATGCTCCGCTCATGTTTGTGGTTCTCGTTCTGGTTCTCGGGTTTTTCTTCATGATAATAACGTCGCTGCGTCTCTGGATACTCGTCCCTGATTGATTGACGCGGCGCGTCTGACGCGAAAAGTTCAGCATTTTCAACTTCTTGACGCTGACGCCTTGGACGCGCGTCTTGGCCGCTGACGCCAAAACGCTGAAGACGCGCCGCGCTGACGCCAGATTCGCGCCGCGCTGACGCCGAAAACGCGCCGCAAAAACGCAGGACGCTCTAGTCACGCGTCCACATAGACTTTACATAGAAAGTGGACGCTTTGACGCTTTGGTCTGAACGGGCCTTTAGAATAAAGTGCAATTGCACTTCCACTACATTAGGGGGCAGTGGCGCTCTCATTGGCAGAGTGTGCGCAGGGAGCATTCGCTCGGTGGTGTAGGAGTTTTGTTTGCACTGAGCATGCGCGCTTTGCACACAGCACAGAGTTTGAGTATGAAGTGTAGACACGAAGTGTAGCAGACCCTCAAGTGACACCATGAAAAAATATTTAACATGGATGAGAAGACAGGCGGAGAGAGACGGAGATAAAGAGACAAACTAAACTCTCCCGAAAGCTAAGACGAGGAAATATGACGAAGCGTATGTAGCGCTTGGCTTCACTGTGACTACGGTGGGAGACGAGGAAAGACCGGTGTGCTTACTGTGTCTAAAAATGTTGGCAGCGGACAGCATGAAGCCCAATAAATTAAGGCGTCACTTAAATACATTACACCCCAATCACTCTGATAAGCCGCTTGAGATTTTTCAGCGAAAACGTGCCGAATATTGCCGACAATCATCCCGCTTTGTGACTGCTACTTCAGTAAATAATTGAGAAGCACTGCTTTAAAGCAACAATGTGCAACATTCTTAAGTTGGCAGGAGGTCCATGGATATAGAAAGCTAAAATCACTTTAGGTCATCATATATCAGCTCCCATTGGGCACTGAAGTTTTCTAATGTGGAAGTCAGTGGACTTTCTTTTATTAAGTTGTTTTAGGTGAATATTGGCAGTGTCCAAATTAAAACATAATAGCCATAAACGCAAGCAGAGTAGGTCTTCTTTATTTTTTTATAAAAGCATTTTTCTTAACTATGAGCAGTCACCTCTCCACTGACCTGTAACTTGGCCTGATGCCAGTATCTGCTAGTCTCTGGAAAAAGATAGGTTTAATGCCATACTGTGGAACATTCCAAGACAATAAGGTCTCCATGGAGACAGACAGCTGGCATAATCTTCACCAGAAAGGTTAGGCAGTGCACCTATAACTTTAACTGCACCTACACTAGTGTCCATCGTGTGACATCTAGGCTTGTCTACGTTGTTAATTACTGTAGTATCAAATCTTCGATCAATCACCATAGCTGTTTTGAGGAGGAAAAGCAGTCACAGGAGAGGCACCATGAAATCCATCTTCAGCAGTGTCATTGTCAGGAAAAGTTCCCTAAAACACAAACACTATCAGTATACATAACACTGAAACAATTGCTATTCTTTTTTTCAATTAAGTTTAAATAAAAGTAATAGTGCTTGAACTCATTAAAAAAACAGCAGTGTAGGATAAATCTGAGAGAGCCTATAACAATGGACTTTAGGTTCTCTACAAAATGAGGTCCATTACTGTGACTTTGCTTAAATCAGTGCAGCCACAGCCCACAGTGCAGGGGATCAGGGGCTTCAATACCACTACCTCATACATTACAAATATCAGTATTCCCATTACATTAAAAACATTGAGGGAAAATAGAAAATTTGCATTCTTTACTCAAAATGTGCACAAAACGGTGCCTATAAACAGGAAACTGAAACCCCCAATAATCCTAAATCCTTAAATATTCAATTCCTTCAATCACTAATAATAACTTTTAATAAAATATTGTTTAACTTTTAAGGGCCTGGTTCCACTGCATGCATCAGCGTTTACGCACGTAACCACAGCTGTGGCTCTGTATTTGTCAGTGGGAAAGCCAACTAAACTTGACTGGGAGCGTTTACCTTCTTGTATCAGGTCTACAGCTGAACAGGCTCATATTTACCTTCTGTACAGGCTGACCAGGGCAAACACAAGGATTTCAAAAGTACATTTTAAACCGCTAATAAACAGTCTTTCTGTACCTGGGCTCTTTCACACAAGACAGAACTGCCCCGGGAGCACATTGTGCTGATGGTAAACGCACAAATACAACAACAGATACATGCTCTCTGTGTATTTTGATGGGGGTATGCGCTACGCTCGTGTAGAGCGTCAAAAAATAGGATGGATACTGTTTTCTGAAATCTATGCGCGCAGAACATACTACTCCATGATGATAAGCCAATAATGCCACATTTGAAGCCACCCTCATTACTTTCAATGCATACTTAAAATTGTGCGTCAAAAAGTTGCAGTTTTTACGCTCGAGTAGGGCGAAATACACGTGCAGTGGGACCAGGCTCTAACATTTTTCAGCGACAGTGAACATTTACAGATCACTGTATTGTGATTTAACTCCAGCTCCTCTTTAACCTTTAAGTAAATAGTTATGGTTAGTGTTGTTAAGGAGTTAACACCTACACAGTAACAGTAGACACAGTTTGAGTGTGAGAGGTTTCGGGGCATAGTTTCACAATGGATGGCTGCAAAGTGCATTTAGTGTGGTGCATTTCTTATAGGAACCACAAACCTGTTGCTGACAATGTACAGAGTAACAGCAAATAGCAAGTATAGTGCTATCACGTCACAGAAAAAAACAAACCTGCCACAAGTTGGCCCTTTTGGCTTTAAACTTATTGCCCCACGGGTATGTTCGACCTGAGAAGAAACATAAAATAACTTTAGAAATATACAAAATTCTACATATTTTCAAGACACACAATAAAATGATGTATGAAGCTTTTCTGTTTTCTATTTTTAAGTATTTTTGTTTTGTTTATTTTTAACATGTGACCACAACATATAACACCAATTTTGTATTTTTAGAGCATGCCAAGCTTTATTCAGGATATTGGTAATAACATCAAACTACATTAACTGCACATGTGAGGATACCTTCAAGGCCGCCTCGTGCAGCCCACTCCCACTCCTCCTCTGAGGGCAGTCTCTTTCCTCTCCACTCACAGAAGGTCCGGGCATCGGTCCAGCTTACATGGACCACAGGGAAATCCATGCGCTCTTTGATCCCTGAAGCAGGACCTGCAGGCTGAAAGAATTAAACACATCCTTTAAGCATCATATCATTGGAAATATTATAACAATAAAGCACGTCTACATTACTTTAAATTTTCAATTATTCAAAACTGTGAATAATCTATTACAAATTTCTCTTTTAGATAAAATGAGACTGAATAATTAAAAAAGTTTAAAGTTACAATATCTTTGGTGGAACTTGCCTAAACGGTTAAGAAATTATAGTGTAAAATTCGAGGGGTTAAGAATTTTTTTATTTTTTTACAAAAACAGTCCTGCATAAACAGATTGCAATCTTGACCATATAAACCACTGTTGCTGTATTCTTTCTGTAATGTACTTTCCATAAATTGCTCATTATGCTTAAAAAGTGCACTAGAAAATCAATGCTAAATGTAGGCTCTACATCCTTATACCTCATCCAAAAATATGTAGCCTTACCTGTCTCCAGAATGCACGCCATACAGGCAACCACCAGGGTGCCGACTGCAAGAAACACACAAGAAAACAGATGGCCTCAAGTCCTAATATGGCAGTAAGATTATTATTATTATTGGCACCTTTATCCTTTCTGTGATTTTGTTCCTGGTCACCTCTGGCACAAAATCTTCAAACACAAAACTCCACCCTATAGTCTCTGCTTCAGTTTTGTACTTGTTTGCTCTCACAAACCCCCTTAAAATAATTCATAATAATTTTAACAGTTTTGCCACTGTATCAACATTATTAAACTGATACTGATTCAAATACCTGAAGTCTGCATTAGTTACAGGGTACTTGTCCATTAGAAAAGACTGGACTTTGACTTTTCTCACTGGGGACTCTCCATCTCTTCCATCAGATGCACTTGTCCCCATCAAAAACGTTCCTCCAGCGATTTTCACCATTCCATCTTCATCTGCAGTCACTACTTGAGTAAACAATTAAGCTAAAGAACCGAGCCAATGCATGATGTAAAAAGGTATTAAAGACTCTGTTAATGAACCTACCTGTTGTTGTGAGCAAATATACAGCGCAGCATATCCACATCATGAGCATTTTTTTTCCAAGTTTAAGTATACACAAGTATCACATGTCGTTTTAAGGATCTGCGCACATAAGAATTATTTGGGGAAGGAGCTAAACTTGATTAAAAATAATGACTAAGAGCTAAAGTGTGAGTCGCGATCTTGTTCACCCGTTAAAAGATTCCGGCTTGTACCGTTGCGTTGCCGAAGGTTCCGTAGTGTTAATTTTACAATAAATAGATCGTATCCCACATAAGATCAAAACTAGATAATACAATCTGTAGGACAGCAGGATTAATAAGTCAGTTAGTTATTAAAAAAAACATTAAAAATTTAAAATATTTTTACATGATAGCAGCAAAGTTTTCACCTTTTAAGACTTTGACTCTAACACCAGTTACGCAAATTAAAACATAGAAATATCAAGAAACATCAAAAAACAGTACCAAGAGCCAAGAAGACTTTAATGGGTAGAAACAAAACCGGTTCACATGGGTCAGTGCTTAAACAAAATCTCATAAATAAACTCACTGATTCAGATGAAGTTTTGATGAATCCATGAAAAACATTTATATTTGACAGAAGATGGTTACAACAATTCGTTCTTGAAACCGGAGCGGTTCAGAGAGTGGAAACCTAAGCCATCAGTTAACTCAGTAAGTACTGATACAGCTGTAGCTACTGTTCAATTTAACCTTTGAGTGAAGACATTCCCGCTCGCATGATCTCATCAACCAACAGAATGTTACTGGCAATGACCGTGCTGGAAAAAAAACAAAGCAGAGGTAATATAAATACATTTCAGTACAATTAATTTTATATAATTTTGTTACTTTAATTGATTGTTACCATGAATGAAGGAGCTGCTTCTTGACACTGTAGTTATCCCATACACCAGCCTCACCAGCCACCATGGGCTCACCTGCACAACAAGGTGCTCAAGATAAGCAAAATGATAAATGTATACAAAATAAATTCTTCAATGTGTGCTTGACAAGTAAGCCAACTCATAACAAGACTAGACCATTTCAGAAAAAAAGCCTTTCAAAAATGGCTGTACATTTAGAAAAGGCAAAGCTATGCAGAAAAGCACAACTGAAAATGTTACTTTGGATACAATGAGGGAGAAAAAACTTTTTTTTTTTTTAATATGGCAAAAAACTCAAACATGCTGTACAAATTTAACGCTTTGTAACAAGGCTGGATCGTGCATAATGACTATACTGCCCCCAAGTGTTGATAGTAAATTATGCACCTGTGCTGAGGTCTACTCCCACAAGCTGCCCAGACTCTTTGTACTCCATCTGCAGCTTTAGCAAAGTCTCCTGAGGGTCATAACCAGAGTTCTGAGCCAAAACCTGGAGAAGAGAAAATAAAAAAATATTAACAAATTGTACAGACTAATAATATGATAAAAACTCATGAAGAAAATAATAAGACTGTATCTTACTTTAGGGATGACAAGGAGAGCGTCTGCGAAGGCCTGAACTCCCAACTGAGCTCTGCCTTTGACACTGGGTTTATGCTTTACTAAAGCATCTGCAACAGCCACTTCAAATGCACCAGCCCCTGCGACTACACAGCCTACAAAGAGGGACCATACACCATTTTTAAAGATAAGGGGGTGAAGGGATTAATTTATAATTAAGATCATAATGTCATAATTGTTATAGCATTGCTGAAATCTGCCCTAAAATTATTTCTACAGCCCTCAGTATCATGTGCATAGTTCCTTTGTGCCAGTCAGCTGAATACATGAAGGAGAGACTGGGGCTCTCTTTATGCAGAGGAAATGACCAGAGTTGCTATAGCACAGATTCAGGACCAGAGAGGCTCATGGGAGCGTCTCTGGGTGTTCTCTGTGCAAAATACAAACTACACACATACACAAATATAAACCCCCACATGACACGTACCGTCTTCGATGGCGTTCTTGACAGCGCGGAGTCCATCCCTCACAGCGTCTTTGATCTGGGTCAGTGTGTGTTTGTTTGGCCCTTTGATCAACAGTGTCACCGACCGAGGGTTCCCACACTTCTCAATAAACGTGTACTTCTCCTCTCCCTGAAAAAAATAACACACAATTAACTTAAGTTAACAAAAATTCTTACCCTTTCAAAAAGTGACGAGGAAGGAGATCCTTACCAATGTGTGTTCATAAACAAGACCAGCGTTTCCCAAACACTCCGGAGTCAGGTCTTCCACAGAGTTCATGGCGATGCCACCACAGGCAAGAGTCAGTCTGGAAGGAGAAAAAAAAAAAACACTACCATTAGCACTACTAAGCTCCAATTTTGTACTCAAGAAATTGATGGTGCTTTTGAACAATCCTGAAGTATTCATGCAAATAAGAGATTTCTTGGTTTACAGGGTTAAAATTAACAAATAAAAATGTGTATGGCATATGTGTATCACAACTCAAACCAATAGTTGAATTACTGGTTGGACTCACCTTTCCATGTTCCTCCTCTTGGCCCTACGCAGAGCTACAATACCTTCTTTAGCCAGAGCGTCTAGAGAATATGGGTCAATACCCTGCAAATAAAATACACAAAATAAAGTATTTTATATCTATGAGCATAAACCTTACTGTATTTAGACATAAGGCTGGAATTTCCTATCCTGGTCTGCTGAATACATGTAGGAGAGATGGGACTCTCATAATGCAGAGGTACAGACCAGAGTTTCTGTAGCACAGATTTTTAGACCAGGGGTACCCACAGGAGCACCCTTGGGTGTTCACTGTGCAGTCAAGATTTGCAATTTCTTCTTCCCTCAGAATATAATGTGGTTTATTGATTTACAGAATGGCAGAACACTATATTTTATTGTGTTTTGTCCATGCTTGAAATAAGTTAATAATTGGTTGGAGGGGGTGAATGTTAATGTGATGTATTTGACAATTTACTGGTGCAATCTTAACACCAACCAAATAGTTTAGGAAATAATGGGCCAGATTAACAGTGTACAAATTGAATATTTGGTAAAAATAAATGTATTTTGACAGACCAAACATTATGCTCTCTTTTTTACTTTATTCATACCTTCTGGTTAATGACGACAAAGCCCTTCTCTCCATTGGGACACACTTTGTTTTTCAGAGCAATGATTTTCTGAACACGGTCTTCAATGAACTTCCTCTCAGCTGCCACCAGTTTCTCTCGCTCTCCGGCACTTTTGTAGAAAAAGCCAGAGTTCACCTCAGTCTTCTCGTATTCCAGAGACACGTTACAGGTCAGAATATAGGCATCCTCCACTCGCTTCTTCATGTCGGGATGTCGGGCGCCATGGTCCAAAACCAAACCTCTGATCAACCTGTGGGCAAAGACAAAGGTTACAAGATGATCTTTTAAATTAAAAACTTGATGATTAAAATTTTAAAAATAAATAATACATTTATTAAATAATATTTTATATTAATAATAAAAAATGTATTGTCTGAATGTGGGAACATTTTGAAATCGGGAAATGTTTACATACTGGTAAATCCAAATATGATGCTAAGCAGCAAATATTTTCAACATGAATAAATTGAGAAAGCTTAACAAAAGGTTTTTCATCGGACAAAAAAAAAAAAAAAAAAAAAAAAAAAAAAAAAATCGACTGATGTAAATCATGCTGCTAATTGAAAGCAGTATGTTGTATATGGGGCAGCAGGAGGACGGTCATGTTTTGTTTCATGATTTGTAAATGAATAACCACTAACTGTGTGTCGCAGTCAGTCTTATGCTTCATCTCCATGATCTCCACCATGTACAGGTCAGTGGGTTCATTGGGTCGAGCAATGGCCAGCACAGCATCTACTACAGCCTGCAAGAAAACGGACACTGTTAAACTTAATCATTTTCTCACATTGTGCCTTTTTCTAGTTAACAACTACAACAATAATAATGTTGTAGATTTACTAGTTGCATTTTGACGAATTACAGCTTTTTATTATTTTATCCTGGTCCGCTGAATACATGTAGGAGAGATGGGGCTCTCATAATGCAGAGGTACAGACCAGAATTTCTGTAGCACAGATATTTTAGACCAGGGGTACTCACAGGAGCACTCCTGGGTGTTCACTGTGCAACCCAGTTAATTCAACAAAAGCATCCATGTTTTATGGTGTTATTTCAGGCAACCAGAACGGCCAATGGCCAATTTTTTGTGATGATATGGATATAGGACTATAACTGCTTAGGGTTGTCAAAATCAAATATTAATCAATTCATTACCAAAGCTAGCATCAAAACTAGATACTCATTTTAGCAGTTATCTATACTAAAAGAAGCCACATTTATAGGACAAAAATGAAACTTTCCTGAATAGCTTTGGAATGATTTTGAGCAGTCTAAGAGCAATTAGAAGACCACATAAACTAGAAGACACCCATGGACCACTATGAAACATACCTGGATGACTGAGGGATTACACAGATATAAAACCATAGTAATATGAAAGAAAGTAATATTGTTTAGCTTTGAAAATCACATTCTATTGAAGAAGGGTGTTTTAATTATTGTTATGATATCAGGTTTGGTATTGTGTATCAAATATATTCCCTAGTATGAAAATAGAGTTTGAAATTTGACACACAGAATCAAACATAAATTTCAAAGGTTTTTTTTGCCTTTCAGTAAAAAGATTATGGTTGGTTCCTTCTACAAGCAGCCTTCAGTCGTACCTCAGTAAGGAGATCTGCCAGTTCTGCATGGACCTTGGTTCTGAGTGAAGTTCGCGCCACATTGATGAGTGTTTCTCGGTTCATATCCTGTGTCACTTTGACTTCCTCCAAAACAGCCAGAGCTTTCTCCTTCGCTGCTTCAAATCCTTCTGTGATAATTCTTGGATGTAAACCCTACAACAGTAGTCCAATCTAGCATTAATTAAGATCGAACAACCAGTACATAATGACAGCTCAATTATCAAATTATTTCACCTCAGAAATGTACAGATCAGCTTGTTTCAGGAGCTCTCCAATGATAAGAACATTTGATGTTGTACCATCTCCTGTAATGTCATCCTGTGCAGTCGCTACTTTGGCGATGAGAGATGCTGTTGGGTGCTGAATTTGCTGCAAGAGAAAATATTAAAAAAGTTAGGCACCCATAAGCAGAACATAATCATAAAGATAGTATTTCAAAAAATATCATGTTATAAAGTATATTTTAAATTGAGCAAGATTTACCATTTCATGTAACAGGACATTGCCATCTTTGGTGAGCTTGATGTCTCCAGCTCCAGACACCAGCCTATGCACAAGACAAGATCAAACCTAATGTAATCAAAGACTAAAAGAGTAGCACGCAGTGATATTGAAATCTGAAGTGATACTAATAGAACTCATATGCGCTCAATTGTCAGGTTAGAAGATGCCGTTGTCATAAAAAGGACAAGTTGTGCTGTATGCATCACTTGGCTGAACTTCCTCAAAGAAAATCTAATCATCATCAGCATCAACCCTATACAGACATTTGATACAGAGTGACAATGCAAATCCATTTGTATGTTTGCTGCTACAACTACACTCTGTTTTGCACAATATTTGGTGATGCTGGATGACAGGAGCGCAGTAGCGGTGATTATGACGATGACTGGGCAGGGCAGCATGATAAACCTCTATTTTTATATCTTAAGCAGAGACCGTAGTTTTGTAAGGTTTGGGGGATACATTTTGTTCTTGACTTTGAGTGTCAAGAAAAACAGATCACAGTTACAGTTATCCGCTTTGGGAAAACAACCACGCTGTGCAAGAAGCCGGGGTCTGAAGCTAACATTAGCCCATTAGCCTTGGTTAGCCTGTTAGCTTAGCGACGCGTGCTGCACAAAGACGCACTCACATTTTCATGGTCCCCTTCGGTCCCAGATTACTCCTCAGCACGTCTTGGAGCCCCCGAGCCGCGCTGATGTTGACCGCCAGAGCGGCCTGGGCTCTCGCAACCTCCGCTTTTGGGTTTAAGGCTTTCACCGCAGCCATGGCTCTACCAGCGGAGTGAAATAAAAAGTAACGCCGGTAAGGAGTGTCTGCCGCTCGGCTCAGAGGCTAAAGGGAAGAGGGGTAGTTTCCAGAAGCCTCCAACACGTGGTCTCAGGCTGCGTTTAAGGAGCCTCAGATAGAGTTGGAATTCAGAGTGATTCTATTTACGAGCAACACATATATAATACATAGAGGTATTAATTGTTATGTTAAAATGTCCAAATAGAGGATTCAATTCACAATTCTGTACATCGATCAATGAGCTCATAATAGATATGAAGTCCACTATCTAATTATGTATATATATATATATATATATATATATATATATATATATATATATATATATATATATATATATATATATGTATATATATAAGGGGTTATGCTTTTTGGTTATGCTTTTTATTAAGTTCCTTAAATTCTCATATGGAAATGAGCAATTAAATTGTGTGCAGGTGATTATTTTCCAGCATAGATTACTCACTTTGATAGTGCGTTTATAACATTTTTTGTACATTTTATAATAGGTTGATGAAACTGGATGAAAAGTCTTTCTTTCCCAACTGAAGGCATCACCAAGACAATTGTCTGATTATGTAAGAAAAAACACGGGAATCAGCCACAGCCTTCTTTTGATGGAAGCAGGGCAGACAGTAGTAAATAGTAAAAAAACAGGATATTTACATTAAAGAAGAAATGCAAATTCTAAAAGTAATAGCACAGCCACCTTCACTTAGTATAGCTGAAATGTGCACAGTTCAGGTCAAGTTTTTTTGTTTTTTTGATTTCTTAATGTTAAAGCTATTTGACAATGTCTCCTCTATATCTACATATCAGTTCTCCTTAATATACTTTTAGCCATTATTTTTTTTCTTTTTCTGCATACATGTCAAAAATTATGTTAACATAAAGACTGCAGCAACCACCAGTTTCTCCCACCATGTCATGTACTTTATTGTTAGATTTTTAAGTTAGGCAAACATTTCAAATATAGCCTTAAAATCTGACAGTAACAATGGCTTGCTTGCCCATAGGGAGCCAACTACTTGATTAGGTACTGTGATCATCTGAAAAACATAATTCCATTTACAACACTCAGTTGGCATTAACTGAATCCATGTCAAAGTTCAGACTGTGTACAGCAGTAACTGATACATATGCAGTTTTGGTTAAATAGGAGTCCTCAATTAAAAGCAACCAAGAAAATGCCAGAGATGCTAGAAAACTGAGTAATATTTAAGAATTTGAGAGAATAAATAAGACAATGTTTACACTTTATACTAAAACAAAGCTTATTTGTGTTCACTTGTGCGTTTAACAATATTTCAACCATCAAACCTAATTACACAGCAAGTTAATTGAATTACTTCAGCATCCAGCAGTTGCCCACTAGGTGGGTATATTTTGGACAAATACATATAATTTACAATCATTTTGAGATGTTGTGACTTGTAAACAGGCTCCTCTCAAATATACAGACCAAACAGTCTAAAAAACTTTGACACAAAATATCCAAATGATTGAATTTATACCATTTGAAGATGGTGTATAGTGGTAAAAGTTAATGGTACAGAGAACTAGTGCAAACAAGTTAAAATTCACATACATTGTTGTTACAAAATTAAGACATTTTACCCTTGATTAATTTTCTGTAATTTAATTTCTAAAATATTATTCGAGGAGCTTGAAATTTGACCATTAAAGTAGCAATAGCAAAGAAGAAGCATGCCAGTATTGTTTACATACAACATTTCAGTGACACAATGTCAGTGATCTTTGTGACAGGTATGTTTTTGTAATGTTATTCTTAACACTTATGTTTTGAGCTAGGCCCTACAAAGAAAAAAAAACAAAAAGAAAGAAAAGCAGATAGAAACCCTGCATGCCATGCCGCTTTTTCACTGGCACTGTGCACTGCAATGGTTTGTTAAAATCTTGACAGGCCTGATTGTTGTACAGCATCCAAATAAGCCACAGTTACTTTAAAGGTGACGTCTTCATAGGAATCATTATTCTAGACTCCATGTGCTGGATCAGAGGGACTGTGGAGAGAAGGGTGCAAAGAGAAGTTAGTAACGACTTGTATAAACAGGACATAAAGAGAACGGCTGCCATTTTAAAGAGTCAGGTTACAGTGACCTACTTATTTCTAGTATGTATACCTACTACTGATTTCATTTTGAAATCATACTAGCTTGAAAAGTATTATTACAACATAAAAAGGGGTTCCCAGTGATAAATTCAACGAAAAAGTAACACACACACACACAAATGTTACAATGTGAATAATTATTTTAAAGAGGGCAGTACCTGTGTAATAGACCACCTCATCCCAACCCTCTCGCTGCCAGGCTGCATTTCTGATGTTTTCTCTTGATTGCAAATCTTTATATGCTGTAATTCGAAATTGAACATGTTTTAAATTGACTAAAATAGGCATTAAACAGTTACTGAAAGATCTGTTCAGTTAAGTACTTACCCCACAAGTGATGCACTTGATACAGACTACCAATCTGCGAAAAAAAGCCTCCCACTGCCTCTTGGTTTTGTTGACGAATGTCAATGGCACGAGCCCTAGAAAGTACAAGGAAGTTATATTAAAAATCAAAATTAAAAAAAGATTAATATTCAATTATTGATAATTAATATGACTGTAAATTACACTCAATTACTTCCCTCAACTTCAAATAAGTGTTAGGAATTGAATTTGTTATCACCAGGACAATTTACACAAAATTAAACATTAAAAAGTACTGAATACACCAATTATAATTAATGAGCAAACATATTCAGACATGCATGAACTAAATTGCTATAAAATACCGTTGAGTCACATTAAACTCTGCACAATCTGTAAAACCAATAAAATAATGGTCAAGGACATCTACTTGTGCAAACACAACTCTATGAGCCGACAAAACACAAAAGAAATTAAAAGAAATTATAAAGAATGTAAACTTACCAATAGTTTCCCCACTCAATCATGGTCCCTGGCTGAAAAAAACAGTACACACTCAGATGAAGTTATTTTAATAAGTAAACACACATGAATAGCACAACATTACCCTAAGCTGATAAGACCGGAGCTCGTAGATGTTGGGTCCGGGGCGAGGAGTGGGTTCATTCCAAAAACTGAACTCAAGAAGCAGCTGATTCCTACGGGACAGCAGCATCTTTCCTCGCTCTGATCTGTACTTAATAAAATCCTGTAAAAAATAACAATAGTGGTAGGTACCAAATTGTGTCATAGCAGTAAAACCTTTTGCCTACTACTACTGTTTAGCAAACACTTCAGTTACTAATTATTTTTGGGTGGTAGGTTTATTTTGCCAAATGGGGGTACTTATTATTGTGGGTCTAATCTGGACCACCCGTTACCTTATTCTGTCTGAGTTTGTTCATGACTTCGGTGAGAGCTGGGTATCCTCCCCGATATCTCCACAGGTGAACTGGAATAGAAGCAGCAGAAGATCCAATATGCAATAATGCAGCCCCCTTATGAAGACACTTCTCCATTACTGATAGTTTATTGAATTTAATGATATACTCTGTAATATAGCAGCAGGGAGCCAGTACATTTGAGTGGACATCTTTGGTTTGTATAGAGTATGCCATATTTATAAAGATCTAACAATGCATTTAATAATAAACCTTATATACAGATTTTCTTTTATTTTTAGTTTTTTTAAGTAGCTATATGGACTGACAATTGGTACCAGTATATGGATTTGTATTCTTACAGTGTTTTTGAGCTGTAAGGAGGCTAATCTTATAATACCCTGCACAAACAGTTGACATATTTGTTTGTGGGTCTCATACCTGCCTGATCCTGCTCCCCGTACCATGTGTTCCATGTCCCCACCAGCTCACAGGGATACTCAGGGTTAGAGTGGATTGAAGGCAGCACTTCTTCACTAAAGAGAAATAACGTTCTTACATTAAAGCATATACATAAACGCTTAACACAAGTAAATTACAAGATCCTTACCAAAGCTCATTGTAATCATCAAGGCACTCTGGCTTGACATTGTGAACTAGATGACAAAAGACAACAAATTCAGTTAAAATGGATTAAATTAGATTACAAGTTTGTGTGTTGTTAATATAATTCACAAGTACTAAATCTGAACAGTAGTAGTTTTAATAATGTTGACATTAGCTTAAGTCAGTCACAAATTCCATTGCCATTTTGGAAGAAAAATCAAGATACCATATGGCTACATACACTGTATTTTGTATAAGTTGTTGTCTTCCTTCTTGGAGAGCAGTTGGGCGTGAGCATCTTTCCTAGGGTCAACCTTTCTCACAAACAGAGACTTGAACCAACTGTCAGGGGAACCAGAGATGCCCCTGAAAGACACAAAAAGGGGTATTTGAGTACCTCTGCATTTAGATCATGAGACACCTTTACTTTCACTATTAAACGAAACTTTTTTCCTTCCATAAACAACAATACCTTAGGTTTGGTCTCAACTAAGAGTAAGATGCAATAGGCTGAACAATAAACAGTATTTTCTACGAGGTGATTGGGCAGCCTTCTCTCATGTGATGGACACGTGTGCTATTTTTAAAGCATGAAGAGTAGAGTAACGCTACTTGTTGCGCGACGCTTAACTAAGGTGTTCTGGGAAAAGATGTAATGAAGTGGATAAGAATCAAAACAAAGATGAGTCCCGGCAATAAAATAATGAAAATCTCAAACAAATTTAAATGTTAAAGTTGACAAATAAACGTTATAGCAAATACACTGACAGATCAAATCCAATCCTGCTGATCAGTGTTTCGGGACATTTTGACCTTCAACTTTACATAGAGTTGTGGAGCTGTTTACAACGCCACAACTAGGTGGGCATTCACACACAAACTACACACAGCTCACTGCACTTTTATTCTATGCACTTCAAGGTTGAATAATCCAGGATAGCAAACGCAGTGTTTCGAAACTGTCAATATATATATATAAATATACACACATTTCCGTGGCTAATGTTAGCATCATATTACACTGTACAAACGTCGGGTCGCATCGTACGTAACTTTAGCGTTAGCCTAGCCACATAGCATACTGTACTGTTGTCATTGATGCTGTACGTAGAAAATACAAGTTTAATCTTCTATTTACATCTGGAGTGCGGTCAGTCAGTACACAAGGCATTACCTTGTAACTGTAATGATTTGTCCGTTCGCCACAAACGCATTTCTTGTGCATTTCAGGCTGCTGCCGACTCTCTGAAGGACTCTGGTCGCCATCTTTACCCGACAGCGGCTCTGTCAGAACTGCTCTGAGCGACAGGAGCGCTGTGGTCCCACTCCTGCAGCCACATCTATTACTACATGTTTCATTACTTCATGCTTGATACAGTTTGTCTTTCTCATATGGGTATTTCTTCTTGGAAAATGTAATGCTCTGTAACAGGAAAACTATTATTTCAGACTAGCAAAACAACCTCCCAAAAATGTGAATTATATCAATGCGAAGTATACCCTTATATCAATGCATTGTATACCCCTTTCATATATTGTTGAAGTGACTTGTTTTGTATTGCTCGAGTTATTAGGATATGTAGGTCTATACATACCTATCAATTACACATTAAAGAACAGGAACACAGAAAAACTGTTTTGAGAATGTTTTTAATACCCACTTTGTCTATTCATTCAAAACAATTATAGATAGTTCAACAACCAAAAAGGGTCAGATAATTCCAACTTGAAATAGTGCCGTTCTTTATCATGTTTGTGATGTTGTTAAAGCTTCAGTTCCACTGGAGGTGGAAGAAATGTTCAGTTCCTTCAGTTTGTCTGATAATGTTGTGTCACCCAAGAGACTTTCTGTAGGTTCTGACAGAGGCTCCACAAACTCTGCTCCTGCCACTCGTTTGCCTGTCAAAGGATCCACTACCCTGCCCACTTTGTACACAATCTCCGCCAGTTCATGTTTCACATGTTTAGACCTGGGTTCAGGAAGAGCCTTGAGGAGTACGATATCTCCCACAGTGCACTGCTGCAGGGCATCATGCGCAAAGTAGGTCTTCCTCTTGTTGAAGTACTGCAATCAAACAATTGAATTATTTTGCTGAATAGATTTTATTTCAAGTAAAAGGAATGGCACTGACAGTACACTTTTAAGTTATATATAGCTTTTTGCTTTGCTTTTCCTTTAGTGAGTTTATTTTGCTAATGACATCCAAGCATGTCAATCTTTGTTTTAGTTAGTTGAGTGAAAGCATGTACCTTGAGCAGGTAAGGGTCCAACGACAGTCTGGTGACTCGAACCTTAGCAGTCTTTATCATTTTGGTCCCTATAACTCTCCCAATGATCCATGTGGCTTGAACGGCAGATCTTTTCACAGACATTTTCAAAGATTCACATACAAGTTTCTTACAGTAGCAGCTGAAATTTAAACAAAAGCATTTATCAATAAGCACTCACAGATAGAAATTGCATTCAATATTTGCATTACGAAAGTGTCACAATATCTGTTATAAGCAAGTTCTAACTATAACTGATAAAAAGAATATACCGAATATAGTTAGCATCATGACGGCTAACGCTATCTTTTTGCTTCTTACCTTAGAAACACCACATAAAAAGATAACTGTTTGTAGCACTGGTAAGGATTAAACTAGACACATGATCAGCACAAATAACTACTGAATTAACGTACAGAAATAAATACGAGAAGGTCAAACGCGAGCCGCATCCTCCATGCTGCTCAAGAGGACATATTTTGATGACGTACGTACGGCAAAGGACGAACGACAAATTTAATAAGAAAAAGGAAAGGGGGATAGCGAAAGAGCTATGAAATGTTTCACAAAGGTATTGCCCACAAACTAAAGAACAAGAAAATAAATTATAAGACACACATTTATGTAGTTTAATATGTTTTTTATTACATTTTTTCTCACTATTTTTCAACCCTTGTAATCTAGGTTATGAGATAATAACTTGGTTATTCTAAATCAACGCTTTCCTTAGATGTGAATAATTGAAATACATGAATTGATATTTTTCTTATACATTATTTGTACACCGAGGCACCTTAATAAAAAAAAAAAAAAAAACAGTTGACATATTTGTTTGTGTGTCTCATACCTGCCTGATTCTGTTCCCTGTGCTATGTCCTCACCAGCTCATAAGGACAAAATTGCACCAAAATTACACACTCCAATAACACTTAAATTGGGTTAAATAAAAAAGGGTGTGATCAAATTTTGTTTGTGTGTGTTTGTTTTTGTTTCTTTCTTTGTTTGTGTTCATCCTTGCTTGATAATTATTATACATCCGTCATCACCTCTGTTTACAATAAATGAAATTTACAGATTAATTCATTATGTGTGCATTCAAACAGTGGTAGCCCAGAGCAGACCCTCGCTGTTGATCTCCACCACAGTTGGACCAATCTGGACTTAATCAGGACCATGCTGAAGTAAAGCTCAGATCGGGGCTTGTGTTTTCCATTTAAGGCAGTGCAAGGCTGGTACTCTTCTGCCAAAATTACATTGGCCAGCCTTAGCTTGTTTCATACAAAAACACTGAGACAATTCACAAAGTCCCAATTGTTTAGTACATTGCTTGCTCAAAATAGTTACACAAAAGTAATCAATTATGTAAAATCAAAGATGCAATGATGGTTTCCAACTTGGAAAATCCTAAAAATTCTGCACTTGCTTTCATTAAGCCAGGACCTCAACCTGCATGTGTCAGTTACATACATACCACAATGTTTATCTAAAGATAATGCATATTTCATGGAGCAGACCAGACAGTACCTTATCTCCTCTTAATCATGTGAAAAAGTGACATAATCCAGGGGCTGATAGCACACATACAGCCCCCCACACACTTGCTTAGTGTGATAAAATACTCTTGAGAATCACCAAATCAGGCCAGTTTGCTAAACTAATGAGCTACGTTCAATTTGTAACTTATAACTCCCTTGAGAGATACTTGTTAACAGATTGAAATTTATTTGATTTGATTAGTTGTACTAGCTAATTAAATGTACTTTAGTGGGGTCCATTTGACTGGCAAAATTAAGGACAAATTGCATAGTGACAATGATGTAGTTTACCTTGCAATACTTACTTTTGTTAAATGTATACTGTGTATACTTTTCTGATGCTTGCCTCCGAGGAGATGTCATATCTTTGCCTTGTAATGTTCCACAGTATGGCACCTGTCTTGCATTTATTCGATTGCAGATGTTTTAATTGCAAAAAAAAAACCTTGGAAAATGTGCACGATTCAGTGTTGTTGACGGGGCTTTCTGCGGGTAGCTGGAAGCGGTGCATGTAAGGAGCTGGAGTTATAATGATTTCTGATAATATTTGCTGTTAAGGCCTGTCCTAATGTGGTGTTTGTGATAATTGGTGACGGCGGCTGCTCCGATCACGCTCCAAGCCCATGTAGGGTGTGTTCTTCTAAATTCTAGGTAAATGCCTTTTTTTTTATATATACCTGGGGATTGTCGTTATTAATTGAATTCATTAAGTTAACCTATTGTTCCCTCTGGAACAGATTGCCACTGCTGCTAATATATTCTTGCTCTCTATTCTTACTTCCAGTGATAGTTCTTATTTAATGAATGTTGTGGGGATAATAGCTGATAGTCAGGGAGTCAAAGTCTCAAAAGCTCTAGAAAATGGGTTGAACCTGACATCGCCTGCCATACTTTTATTTGTGTTTTTTTTGTTAACTGTGACCCTGAGGACCAATAATTGGAGGGTGCTGCTTCCGGAAATATCGCGAAAAAAAATTGTGGCCATTTTTTAGTGTAGGTAACCTTCATTTTGTGATAGAAAATTTTGAAAAATGAAAAATTTCCTCAAATCCTCAGTGGATTGGGTAAGCTGTCTACAAATACATTCCAGATGCAAAGAACACATGTGGTGACAACATTCAGTGAAAAAAATATTCATAAAACACATTTCTACATGATTTTGGCTCAATTTAATGCCAAAAAAAAGGCATTTTTTCACTTTTTTCCAATATTTTCATCTTTACCTCATTGGCAATCAACTATTCCCCCAAGTTTTGACATCAGCCAATATGCCATTCTTTTCTTCAAACAGTATAGTCATTCCACAGAAAAAAATATAAAAATCCAACCAAAATCAATGGATCTGTGATGATTTCATTACCATCAACAGGCCCAGAACCTCAATAGAATGTTAGGGCTCCTCTCAACATTCCATAAGACACACTGGATATTTAGCATGTGTTAATGTCCACATTATTAAACATCATGGTCCCTCGCTCCACCTTGTTCACGAATTAGTCAAAAAGTGAAAGGCACCAGCTGTTCACCAAGAAACACCTTCCACTACAAAGAGACCAAGACGTGATGTTGCTGTAAAATGACAAGAACAAGAAAGTGTGAGCTCAGTCTGTTTGTCTTCTGTACATCTCACTTAACAAACAGGATTTTACATTGATGGTGCTCCACATACAAAGTCAAATGTTTCCTTTTTGGTCCTTCCTGTGGATCAATCCTGCCCATCACCTTCACCTTTCACTATTTTTCAATTCCGTTGTGAAGAGAAACAGTTTGAACAGAGGTTTTGCAGTCACACACATCTGATTCACTTTTGCATTTATGGAGTTCGCAAACAAATTTCTTGAGTCGTTTTCCTCTGTTAGGATCCACACAATTAACGATATCTGAATCACAAAACTAAAATATGACAATATAAAAACCAGAAACAAAAGTGATATGGTTCAAAAGACTTGAAAAGATTGACTTTGACAATAGACACATCCCACTGGGAAAACAAACATGGAGGTTTGACGCTCACTTTTTTGGAAAATCCTTCCCAGCATGGATTGCACAATGACCGGAAGTCTGAGATTCTTGATGCATCTATAGGACGCCCAAACAAAAACTTTGGGCGTAAAACCAATTTGGTACACAGATGTACCATTGGGAATAGGGACAAAAAAGTATCATTTGGTCGGCCGCGCGACTCGGCGCCATTTTCTTGTCCTCATATTGAATGAACGTCCTAAGCGTTTGACGGAGACTCATAGAATCATTTTCTGCTATGTAAGACGAAGAAAGTTGTTTAAAGCTTTTAAAAAGTGTTTGTGTGGCAACGCACAACTCCTTTTTTTGCAAACGACAAACTTCACGCGTGATTTCCGCACAAACTTTAATGTTGGTGGACGCGACCGATTTTTCAAGAGGACACAAAAGGGGTTGTGTAATCATGAATGCTCATTTTGTATTTGTAGCCGACTTAGTCATTTAAGAGTTAGGCTATACGCTCTAATTACCTGAACGCCTATGTGGCTTCATATTCTATTTATTTAAGACTTTTAATTTTTGTGCGGCTCCAGGCAAGGTATGGGTTTTTGTTTTTTTTGGGCCAATTGGTCTTTGAACATTTTAGGGTTGGAAACCCCTGGGCTAGGTGGAGGGCTATGGTTAGGAGTTCACGTAGGTTTTGGTTAGTGTTAATTTAGAATTAGATCAATGAGTAGGTGCATACTGGGGCACGGCATGTGCAAAGCTCAACGTGCCGGGGTGCGCGTGCGGCTGTGCGTTAGGCTCCGAGCGAGGGCATCATTGCGCTTGCGGCTAATTTATTATTATATTATTATTAGTATTATTATTTTAGTTAAATTATTATCCGGTGTTGTTTAATAATGTGGACCATTAACAAACCCTCAACCCAGTGTTTATGAGTTGAGAGAGCTAAATTCTATTTCGCCTGCCTTTGAAGACTCAGATCCTTGTTTGGATTTTCTGTGGAATATATAGCAAAAATAATTCTGAGCCATAGTTCAACGGGTAAAATTTTTATGTGCAAAATTTGACACAAAAACATGAGAATGTGTTGCTGAGCACTTGCCACTTTCACGGTATTTGTGACAGCTTACCCAACTCCGATTTGAGGAATTTTCATTTTTCAAATTTTCTATCACAATAAGTTACCTAATAAAATGGAATTTCGAATTTCGGAAGAGCAGACCCTCCAATTATTATTCAATTGCACAACATAAAAACGGCAGGCATGTCAGGGGTTTGAGAGCTCCCCGACTATGAGGTCTTGTTATTTGGAACAAAGTGAGTATGGCTTTTTGCAGTGCAAGCAAAGTTGTGAACTGTTTAGCACAAGCTTTAGTGGTATTTAGACACATCTTCAATTTGCACTATGCCTATCCTCAGGTACTTCAGCACACGCACTTTAAAGTTATCGATTTGCCTCATCTTCAGCCCCCAGAGTTACTTAACTTATTGTAAATGTAGGGTTTAATTAGTTTGGTTTGTGTTCATTAACGTTTGGTTTGACTTTAAGTTAGTTGTTTTTTGGTTAATTTGCTGGTTCTTTGTTGTTTATTGGTGTACCTAAAATTAATAACTTTTAATCTTCTATTATATTAAATAAAGCTTTGCAATTTTTTATACCACATTTGCCCTTGTGCTTTTTGTATGCCAGAATGAATTGTGTGGGAGTTAACTAAAAGGGGGACCCGAACCTACCCTGTTACACAGGTAAAGTAATAACGTCTCCATGAAGACACAAAGGTGGCAAACTCTCCATCTGAAAAGTTACACAGTGCACATTTAATGGCAACAAGTTAAATTTATTAGTTATAAAGTACTTTTCCATAAGCTCAAAGTCCCTTCAAAACTTGGTGCATTATTCATTCGCTCCATACTAGGTGGTGGTAAGTTTCTTTTGTAGTCATGGTTGCTCGGGGTTAGACTGACGATGCAAGGTTGCCA